TGAAGCAGATCCAGGACGCCCTCTCACATCCAGTGGCCATAGTCGGGAGACCCCTGCCCTCCTCGCAACCCGTCGCCATCATTGAGACCCTTACATCTCCTTCATTCAGTCTACAAATCCCTCCTGGCTCCTCCCTCCTCTCTTTAATGTCATCCTCACAGGAACATTGATGACGTGGACAAGACATTGGATGAGATCAACGAGCAGTCGGAGAACATGAAGCAGATCCAGGACGCCCTCTCACATCCAGTGGCCATAGTCGGGAGACCCCTGCCCTCCTCGCAACCCGTCGCCATCATTGAGACCCTTACATCTCCTTCATTCAGTCTACAAATCCCTCCTGGCTCCTCCCTCCTCTCTTTAATGTCATCCTCACAGGAACATTGACGATGTGGACAAGATATTGGATGAGATCAACGAGCAGTCGGAGAACATGAAGCAGATCCAGGACGCCCTCTCACAACCCGCCAGCACTGCTGGGATCCCTGCTCTCTGCGCAAGCCGTCAGCATCATTGCGAACTTTGCTCTTTCCTTCATTCAAATCACCTCTTTATCCTGTTGCCTCTCTCTTCTCTCCTACCCGCTCTCTCATTGCTTCCACAGGAACATTGACGATGTTGGCAAGACATTGGATGAGATTAACGAGCAGTCGGACAACATGAAGCAGATCCAGGACGCCCTCTCACAACCCGCCGGCACTGCTGGGATCCCTGCTCTCTGCGCAAGCCGTCAGCATCATTGCGAACTTTGCTCTTTCCTTCATTCAAATCACCTCTTTATCCTGTTGCCTCTCTCTTCTCTCCTACCCGCTCTCTCATTGCTTCCACAGGAACATTGACGATGTGGACAAAACATTGGATGAGATCAACGAGCAGTCGGAGAACATGAAGCAGATCCAGGACGCCCTCTCACAACCTGTGGGCATTGCTGCCGACCTCGACGAGGTACAGTACAATGCTGTCATGATGTGTTACAGGTGAGAAACCAGGTACGACTCTTAATCAATCCAGGACGCCCTCTCACAACCAGTGGGCATCGCTGCTGATCTTGACGAGGTACAGTACTCACATTATTTCATAATGTGTAACTGTTGAGAACTCTCAACAATGCTCTCATTACATGTTATTGTTGAAGTCTCTTAAAACCACTGCAGGTGCATTACTCTGATGATGACACTATGATGCATCCAGTGCTGCCACTCCCTCCAATGCCTCCGATTCGCTTCGACGGTGTCAGGCAGGCCTCTTTTTTTTTTTTTTTTTTTTTTTTTTTTTCCTCTCTCGCATGCCATCATGGTCTTTGTCCTCCGTCCAGATTCCAGACATATTGTCAGAACACCTGTGAAAGATTTGTCTGAGCATTTTATTTCCTCCCCATGCAGGGTGAAATTATGGCTGAGTTGGACGAGCAACTGCTGCAACCAGCTCTTTGCTCACACTTGTCTCCCTTAACCAGCTTTGTTTGTTCACACCACACCACAACACTTCTTTCCTATTCCTCCTGTACTTGTGACCTCCCTGTCCCATGCAGGATGAGCTTATGGCTGAGTTGGACGAGCAACTGCTCCACCCGTCCCTTTGCTCACAAACCTCTGCCACTTATCGTTTCCCCTATCCCTGTGACCTTTTTGTTCCACGCAGGATGAGCTTATGGCTGAGCTGGAGGAGCTTGAAGCACTGGAGTTGGACGAGCAACTGTTGCAACCAGCTGCCGCTGTGCCGTCACAGCCGCTGCCATCGGTGCCCAAGAAGGCTCCTGCGCAAAAGGCACCCACAGAAGAGGAGGACGAACTGGAGAAGATGCGTGCGGAAATGGCCATGTGATTGGAATGAACGTGATGGGCCAAGTGCTGGTACCTGCGCTACCTGCTCCCTTCATTGTCCAAAAAGGTTCCGGGCCAGGAGGTTCCGGCTGAAAAAGAGATTTATTCTTTAGAGGATGGCTGCCAAAATGGTGTTTGAAAGAAGGGGAAAATGTTGCTGAATGTTCTTTTGGTTTTGCCATTTGGTTACACTTGTAGTTCTGCAGGTCTAGAGCTGTTAGCAGAATTATTTCCTTGTATATTTTGAAGTGTTGTACTTCTTAGTTTGTATATTGGGGCTTTTGCTGATTTCTGTCTTTCAATTGGGTTGGGTTGTACTTCTTACTTAATGTGGGGGTTTTCTATGGGCATCTCCCATGCCCTTGATATGATACAACTGCATAGACCTTTGTAAAAAGCGTTGACTTATAGCACTGGTTGAGCACATGCAAATAAAGCGTACGACAGTTCCAGCTAGTCGCCTACACCCTCCTGTGTCCTTGCTGTGAGTGTGTGTAACCACATACGCAGAAACCAGAATTTTCGTCAGCTTGAAGTATTGTATGTCAGTTGCATTGCACTTTCATCACCATCTCCTCCCCAATGTCCCTCGCAGCCTGCTCCTTCCTGCCATACACACAGCTTCGTCTCACCTTCCCCGCGCGATTAAGGTCCTCCGCGCGTTTCACGCCCGCATCCGCTGCCATTCCCCTTGGAATCTCCGATAGTCGCGCCAGCCGTCGTATGCCCCTTCCAAGTCGTCCTTGTGGCCTCCTTTCGCTCACCCTCCCTACATTCACACCGCATTCACTCACATCCTTCTCGTTCGCGAAGCATTCGTGCACTTTTGTAACGTCACCACAGCCTCGTAACTGCGAAAGTTTCGCGAACCCGTTCTCTGGTATCCTCGGGATCGCTCCGGGGTCAGCTAGGACGAGAACATATTCGGGCAGAAACGTATCGAATCAGGCAGATTTCACTGGTCGCCGTGGTGCCGTGCGTGCGATGGGCAAGAAGAAAGGAACAAGTGCCGCTGACCAAGGGGGAGTCACAGAGGCCAAGCCGGCACCACCTGTCAAGCTGATCGGTATATAGTTTGTTCAGACTTGGGGAATCCCAATGTGAGGAATCCCATTATGTACGACAATGTGCTGTCCAGAAGCCTCATTTCTATGTAATTTCGCCTAATTCGCATTAAAACATGCACATTCGTTTTCTGCTCTCGATCTTCGGTTACAATGCTGGAGCCGTAAACCTGATGTTTCACTCACTCCTGTATTTGTTCTGTTATCCAACCCGCCTTACATGTGGGATGACCGAATGTGCATCACCCTTCACCCGGAAATATCCCACTCTCTTTCTTCCGAGCACGTGCAGAGATCGCAGCCAACTTAACAGGTAACAGCACCACCACAATAGTAATTTGGAAGGACGGTTTATTTGGCTCATTTTCTGATGTACGGTATAGAGACTGTTTCCCTTTGGAGCTCTTCTCTTTGTTTCTGGCTCCAGTCCTTCCCTCCTTCATCGGCTACGGAGACTGTTTCCCTTCCTTGTTGTTTTTTCCCGTTTCCCCTGTCTAACCAACGGCAGATGGGATGTTCCAAGGCTGCTACCATGGCAAACAGGCACATCCGCCGGACCTGCAGGCTGTGCTTTCCCGAGCCTGGGAGGCTGGTGTGGAGAAGATTATAGTGAGTGCTGGGGACAATCATAGTGAGCGGTGTTCTTTTACATTGGAAGTAGAAGGGAAGCAGTGTGAAGCTCTTTACACTGCTGATCGATCCTGTTGCTCGAGCGTGTATTACACACACTGCTGCCCTTCTACTGTGAGCAAAGAAGATCGTAGTGAGTGGTGGGGTAGATCATCGTGAGTGGTGAAGGTGACGGGGAGTCGTGCTGCTCATGTTGTCGTTCATAGTGAGCAGCACGGTTCCCCGTCACCTATGGAGTTTCGGCAGCAGTAGTGTTCCACTGTCTGTTGTCGTTCTCCTGTTACGTGTAGAAACTTCATTTCCTCTTTCATGTCTTGTGGCTGGTTTTCTTTTCCCTTTTTCCTTCCAACTTTTGTTGCTCGTCTCTTTCACATGTGTGTGTGTGTGTGTGTGTGTGTGTGTGTGTGTGTGTGTGTGTGTGTGTGTGTGCGCACGCGCGCGCACGTGCGTGTGTGTGTGTGTGTGACTGTGTGTCACTGTGTGTCATGTCAGATCACCGGAGGCAGCTTAGAGGAGAGCCGAGCAGCACTTGCTCTCGCAGAAACGGATGGTGTGTGAGTGAGCGAGTGAGTGAGAGAGTGAGTGAGGGACTGAGTGAGTGAGTGAGGAGTGAGAGAGTGCAAAAAATGACAGTGGGTGAGTTCTATGTGTGGGCCATCAAAATGTGCTAGCAGTGACTCTCAAATAGAGCTCCCTTTTTTTCCAAACTGCATCTCTCTCCCTCTTCCCTGTATCACCTCTTCCTCGTGTTTTCCTTGTATTCCATTCCACTGCCGTCATAATTAGGTGACTTTTGAGTCGACTCAAAAGTCACCCTGTATCACCTCTTCCTCTTGTTTTCCTTGTATTCCATTCCACTGCCGTCACGTCATAATGAATGAACCTTAGTGATTCTTTCTCCCACTTTGCTGTCAGAATCCTGCTCCCCTGCTTTTTTGCCAAATCACTTGTCTCATCAGATCTTCTTTTTCTTCATTTTTTGTGTCTCCCCTCTCTTCTATTCCCCCTCTATCTCCCTTCCCGCTCCCTTCCCTCCCTCCTGTACAAAGACCGCCTCTTCTGCACCGTTGGCGTCCACCCTACCCGTTGCTCTGTAAGGAACTGGTTTGAATGGGACTTGCACCTCCCCTCTCCCCACTCCCCCCCTTCCCCTCCATCCGTTTTCCTGCTCCCTTCCCTCCCTCCTGTACAAAGACCGCCTCTACTGCACCGTTGGCGTCCACCCTACCCGATGCTCTGTAAGGAACAGTTTTGAATGGGACTTGCATTTCCCCTTTCTCTTTTCCCCCTTTTCCCCCCTCCTCTATTTTCTCCTCTCCCCCCTCTTTCCAAAGACCGCCTCTTGTGTAAAGAAGGGGGGAGAGGAGAAAACATACCTCTGGCCCCTTTCCCCCCCCCTCCTTCTCTTGTTGGCGTCCTTCCTACCTGTTGCTTTGTAAGGAATAGGGGCCGGCGCATGGTGGCTTTAGCATCTACTTATTGAATGCACCATAACCTAGCATCTGTTTCGCAATCCCAATTGCACCGTTTCCAACCCCCTTCCTCCGTTCCGTCCTGGTTGTTCCCTCTTCCTCGAACCGCCGTCCTGTCCCCTTTCTGCTCGTCCTTCCTTCCTCTCCTCCCGTCTCCGCTCCCCCTCTGGTTTCATTCTCAGGAGTTTGACGCGAGTGGGCATCCGCAGCAGCACCTGCAGTCGCTACTGAAGCTGGCAGAGGAAGGGAAGGCCAAAGGCAAGGTGCGTCAGGTTGAAGGCTCGGATATTTTCTGAGGCGCCTAAGAAAAACTGCATGGAATGAGACAAGTCTTGATAAGGCCAGGTGGATCCAGGTGAAGTGAAGGCCCGAATATATGGGCCTTAGCAGATGTTAGCAGACATCTGGATGCACCTGGGGAAGAGGAGAAAACCTACCTCTGGCCCCTATTTGGGTGTATGGCTTACTGGGTACTAAGCACAAGGTACCCAGTCAAGGTACCCTGGCCATGGGCCTTAGCAGATGTTAGCAGACATCTGGATGCACCTGGGGAAGAGGAGAAAACCTACCTCTGGCCCCTATTTGGGTGTATGGCTTACTGGGTACTAAGCACAAGGTACCCAGTCAAGGTACCCTGGCCATTTTCCTTACTTAGCTACTGCGACCGCCTTGAGTTTTGTCCTTCTCCTGCTTGATCAAGTCGCCCCAAGTCCATTCTGTTCCATCCTTTGGTTCCCTTCTTGAGTCTTCAGATTTTTTACTGCTTCGTCCTTTGCCCCTCCTGTTGCAGGTGGTGGCGGTGGGTGAGTGCGGGTTGGACTATGATCGCCTTGTGTTCTGCCCCAAGGAGGTGCAGCAGAAGTGAGTTTGGAGAGGGAGGTAGAGCGAAAGGCAGTGAGATGCAGCACAGGAAGTGTGTGCCTCTGTCTCTCTTCTCGTGTGCGGTGGGCGAGTGTGGGCTGGACTATGATCGCCTTGTGTTCTGCCCCAAGGAGGTGCAGCAGAAGTGAGTTGGGGAGAGCAGAGTGGTAGTTGGAGTGAGATTGGAAGGCAGTGAGTTGTACCACAGGGGGTGTGTGCCTGTGTCTGACTCGCTTGGGCAGTGGGCGAGTGCGGGTTGGACTACGACCGTCTTGTGTTCTGCCCCAAGGAGGTGCAGCAGAAGTGAGTTGAATGGCTGGGGAGAGGGGAGAGGAGAGGGAGAGGGATTGGGAAGAAACACGGGGGGGTGTGCCTGTATTGGTTCCATGCAGTGGGTGAGTGCGGGTTGGACTATGATCGCCTTGTCTTCTGCCTTGTGTACTCTCTCTCTTCAATGCCTCCCCATCCCTTCCCTTCCCTTCCCTGCGGTTTAGGTACTTTGAGCTCCAGTTCGACCTCTCCCAAGCCACCCATCTGCCCATGTTCCAGCTGGCCTTTCCCGCCCATGGCCTCGGCCTCGAGTCAGATACTCTCTCTCTTCAATGCCTCCTCCCCATCCCTTCCCTTCCCTTCCCTTCCCTTCCCTTCCCTTCCCTTCCCTTCCCTTCCCTTCCCTTCCCATCCCTTCCCTTCCCTTCCCTGCGGTTTAGGTACTTTGAGCTCCAATTCGACCTCGCCCAAGCCACCCAGCTGCCCATGTTCCTGCACATGCGCTCAAGTCTGTATCATTCCCTGCTCACCCCTCCCATCCCTCCCACCCCTCCCATCCATCCATCCCATCCCCCCCATCCCTCCCATTCCCCAAGGTACTTCGAGCTCCAGTTCGACCTCGCCCAGGCCACCCAGCTGCCCATGTTCCTCCCGCACATGCCCTCACGGCTCAAGCCCACTACTCTCCTGTCTCATCCCCACTATGCCTCCCATTCCTCCCCTTGCTCACACGTTCCCCAAGGTACTTCGAGCTTCAGTTCGACCTCGCCCAGGCCACCCAGCTGCCCATGTTCCTCCCGCACATGCCCTCACGGCTCAAGCCCACTACTCTCCTGTCTCATCCCCACTATGCCTCCCATTCCTCCCCTTGCTCACATCACACGTTCCCCAAGGTACTTCGAGCTCCAGTTTGACCTCGCCCAGGCCACCCAGCTGCCCATGTTCCTGCACATGCGCGCTGCTGCTGATGATTTCCTAGAGATTGTGAAGAGGAACGAGAGCAGGTGAGGGAGAGCAGGGAGTGGGAGGGGGGCATAGGGCGTGAGCGTGGTGTAGGATGTGGTGGGATTCCGGGGGAAGACTGTGCTGAGATGCGGGGATAGGGTGTGAGTGTGGTGCAGTGGCCTGTAGATGGCTTTTTTCGAAGCCACCCAGCTGCCCATGTTCCTGCACATGCGCGCCGCTGCTGGCAATTTCTTAGAATTTGTGAAGAGGAACGAGAGCAGGTGAGAGCGGGGAGGGCGGAGGAGGTATGGGGAGGTTGATGAGGGGGGTTTGGGGGGAGGGGGAAAAGAGAGGAAGGGGGGGAGTAGAGAGGGGAGGGCAATACAATTGGAGATAAAGGGGGATGTTATGTTCCGACTGGGGATGTAACTGTGCCTGCCTCTCTCTGTGGCTGTGCTGCGTCCTCACGCCACCAGCAGCACCCATCATGGTTCTCCGTGCTGCTTCCTTGTGCCTTCTCCCCCATGATTCTCTCCCCTTTTCCTGCTCTCCATGGATGGGTGATGCTACAGGTTCGTGGGGGGAGTGGTGCACTCCTTCACAGGCACGTGCGACGAACGAGACGCCATTCTAGCAGTTCCAAAGCTGTCCATAGGTAAGTACAAAGGCCACACATGAGGAAACATGAGGACGCGCACGTAGGCACTTGTGGTTCTTGAGAATTCTCAAAAGGGCACAAGATGTTTTTTTAGAATTCTCTTGAGAGACTTTTGAGAATTCTCAAAAGTCACTCAAAAGAGAATTCTCAAAAGTCACTCCAATATAGATGTTTTTGAGAATCCTTGATTTTGAGACGTCTCAAAACGCGCACGCAGGCACTTGTGGTTCGAAGGGCACAAGATGTTTTAGAGAATCCTTAATAACACCCTGCACTTGTGGCTTGAGGGGCACAATTGTCACTAACCCATCCCCCCATCCATTTTGTTTGAGGTTGATTTTGAGAATTCTCAAAATCAACCCTGCACTTGTGGCTTGAGGGACACAATTGTCACTAACCCATCCCCCCTTCCCTCGCACCGTTGCTCCCTCTTCCCATTCCCCGTCCCTCGCACCCTCCTTCATAGGCTGCTGATACATGCCTTCCGTCCCTGACCCTCTCTCCCTGTTGCTCCCTCTTCTCATCTTCCCCCTTTTCAGGCATTAACGGGTGCTCACTGAAAACGGAGGACAACCTTAAAGCCATGGCGGGGATCCCTCCCAATCGTCTCATGCTTGAAACCGACTCGCCTTACTGCGATGTGCGGCCGACACACGCCGGTCACCGATTCGTGGGCAGCAAGTGGGCGGCAAAGAAGAAGGAGGCTCATTCAGAGGATGCGATGGTGAAGGGAAGAAATGAACCGTGTGCCATCAGGTGGGCATGTGGGATTGGGTATGGGATGTGGTGACTGGGGCAGCAAGTGGGCGGCAAAGAAGAAGGAGGCGCATTCAGAGGATGCGATGGTGAAGGGCAGGAATGAACCGTGTGCACTTAGGTGGGTTTGTGGGATTGAATAGGTGGGTATTTGGGATGGGGTGGGGATGTGGGATGAGGAAACGAAGGTGTGGGGTTATTTAGGAGAAGGAGGCGCATTCAGAGGATGCAATGGTGAAGGGAAGAAATGAACCGTGTGCCATCAGGTGGGCATGTGGGATTGGGTATGGGATGTGGTGACTGGGGCAGCAAATGGGCGGCAAAGAAGAAGGAGGCTCATTCAGAGGATGCAATGGTGAAGGGAAGAAACGAGCCCTGCGCCATCAGGTGTGTGTGTGGCATGGGGTGGTGGGTGGGTATATGTTGGATGAGGGACGGAAGGTGGCTGAGATTTTTAAGAGGAGGCGCATTCGGAGGATGCAATGGTGAAGGGAAGAAACGAGCCCTGCGCCATCAGGTGTGTGTGTGGCATGGGGTGGTGGGTGGGTATATGTTGGATGAGGGACGGAAGGTGGCTGAGATTTTTAAGAGGAGGCGCATTCGGAGGATGCAATGGTGAAGGGAAGAAACGAGCCCTGCGCCATCAGGTGTGTGTGTGGCATGGGGTGGTGGGTGGGTATATGTTGGATGAGGGACGGAAGGTGGCTGAGATTTTTAAGAGGAGGCGCATTCGGAGGATGCAATGGTGAAGGGAAGAAACGAGCCCTGCGCCATCAGGTGTGTGTGTGGCATGGGGTGGTGGGTGGGTATATGTTGGATGAGGGACGGAAGGTGGCTGAGATTTTTAAGAGGAGGCGCATTCGGAGGATGCAATGGTGAAGGGAAGAAACGAGCCCTGCGCCATCAGGTGTGTGTGTGGCATGGGGTGGTGGGTGGGTATATGTTGGATGAGGGACGGAAGGTGGCTGAGATTTTTAAGAGGAGGCGCATTCGGAGGATGCAATGGTGAAGGGAAGAAACGAGCCCTGCGCCATCAGGTGTGTGTGTGGCATGGGGTGGTGGGTGGGTATATGTTGGATGAGGGACGGAAGGTGGCTGAGATTTTTAAGAGGAGGCGCATTCGGAGGATGCAATGGTGAAGGGAAGAAACGAGCCCTGCGCCATCAGGTGTGTGTGTGATGTATGGTTGCATAAAATTAAGTTGGTGTGATGTATGGTTGCATAAAATTAAGTTGGTGTGATGTATGGTTGCATAAAATTAAGTTTGTAGCATCAGGTGTGTCTGCTGCATGGGGTTGTTTCTGCTTGCATAGTCAATGACGGAGGTGGTGAGTTCAATTGACGGAGGTGGTGAGTTCAATGACGGAGGTGGTGAGTTCAATGACGGAGGTGGTGAGTTCAATGACGGAGGTGGTGAGTTCAATGACGGAGGTGGTGAGTTCAATGACGGAGGTGGTGAGTTCAATTGACGGAGGTGGTGAGTTCAATGACGGAGGTGGTGAGTTCAATGACGGAGGTGGTGAGTTCAATGACGGAGGTGGTGAGTTCAATGACGGAGGTGGTGAGTTCAATGACGGAGGTGGTGAGTTCAATGACGGAGGTGGTGAGTTCAATGACGGAGGTGGTGAGTTCAATGACGGAGGTGGTGAGTTCAATGACGGAGGTGGTGAGTTCAATGACGGAGGTGGTGAGTTCAATGACGGAGGTGGTGAGTTCAATGACGGAGGTGGTGAGTTCAATGACGGAGGTGGTGAGTTCAATGACGGAGGTGGTGAGTTCAATGACGGAGGTGGTGAGTTCAATGACGGAGGTGGTGAGTTCAATGACGGAGGTGGTGAGTTCAATGACGGAGGTGGTGAGTTCAATGACGGAGGTGGTGAGTTCAATGACGGAGGTGGTGAGTTCAATGACGGAGGTGGTGAGTTCAATGACGGAGGTGGTGAGTTCAATGACGGAGGTGGTGAGTTCAATGACGGAGGTGGTGAGTTCAATGACGGAGGTGGTGAGTTCAATGACGGAGGTGGTGAGTTCAATGACGGAGGTGGTGAGTTCAATGACGGAGGTGGTGAGTTCAATGACGGAGGTGGTGAGTTCAATGACGGAGGTGGTGAGTTCAATGACGGAGGTGGTGAGTTCAATGACGGAGGTGGTGAGTTCAATGACGGAGGTGGTGAGTTCAATGACGGAGGTGGTGAGTTCAATGACGGAGGTGGTGAGTTCAATGACGGAGGTGGTGAGTTCAATGACGGAGGTGGTGAGTTCAATGACGGAGGTGGTGAGTTCAATGACGGAGGTGGTGAGTTCAATGACGGAGGTGGTGAGTTCAATGACGGAGGTGGTGAGTTCAATGACGGAGGTGGTGAGTTCAATGACGGAGGTGGTGAGTTCAATGACGGAGGTGGTGAGTTCAATGACGGAGGTGGTGAGTTCAATGACGGAGGTGGTGAGTTCAATGACGGAGGTGGTGAGTTCAATGACGGAGGTGGTGAGTTCAATGACGGAGGTGGTGAGTTCAATGACGGAGGTGGTGAGTTCAATGACGGAGGTGGTGAGTTCAATGACGGAGGTGGTGAGTTCAATGACGGAGGTGGTGAGTTCAATGACGGAGGTGGTGAGTTCAATGACGGAGGTGGTGAGTTCAATGACGGAGGTGGTGAGTTCAATGACGGAGGTGGTGAGTTCAATGACGGAGATGGTGAGTTCATGGCAGGTGTAGTGCTGCTGTGTACCACCCGGGTGACCAAGTAAGTTCATCTCTGCTCTTATTCCCCATGAGATGCATGCATGTGCAGGCAAGTGCTGGAGGTGGTGTGTGGGTACAGGGGAGTGGAGGATATAGAGGAGTTTGCTCGCGTTGTCCACGACAACACTTCCAGGTGCATTCAGCTTCCCCATTCTTCCCCCCTCCCCTCCTCCCCTACCGCTTCCTGTTTTCCCTTTTCGCCTCCCCATCCCGCCTCTTTCCGCTCCTCCTCCCTCCTCTTTCCCCTCTTCCTTCTTTCACTTGCCACCCTCTTCTCCAATTTACCTTCTCACCCTTCCTTTCCCCTCTCAGTCACACTCACGCATGAGGTATACATTAGTAGTATTTCTGCAACTCATTAAGTACACTATTGGCCCGCTATTCTCCCAAATGCTGCTAACCCACTGTCTTTCTCTGTGTGTGCAGTCTTTTCTTCCCATCTAAAAAGTAGACTGTTGCAACTTGGTGGTAACATGCACTTGCTTCTACCAATAAACGTTGTGAATTTATATAATCCCTCTACAGTGCATGCCATCATTACGGTGGTTCCTGTTACTGGTACAACAAAATTACAGCTGCCATGTCACAATACGTTCACATAGTTACATTTGTAACCCTTACAAGGTGTTACGCAGTGTGCATTGTGCCACCATCAATCTCAAACATCCCAAACATCAACCGCCGGACCTCCGGCTTCCCATACACGATATAAGCCGCCCCGTGAACAGCCTGAAACACCGCTCCTGAAACCAAGTTCTGAAACTTTTTATTCGCGTAAAAATACTGCTTCGACTCGTCTGAAAGCTCCACGTGATCGTGCAGGCCCGAGGCTCGGAGGTAGCGGCCGCAGGCTCGGTTCCGAAGCAACGTGGTATGGCGGTCGGCAAGCCAGAGGATCGGTGCGTCGAGGTGTGACTGAAGGAGGTTCTCTGCTAAGACCAGATCCTGGTGGGAAGAGAAGCACATTGGATAGAAGCACATTGGATACGGGGGAAAACACACACGGGGGAAAACAACGCGGTCATAGAGCCAGAGGATCGGAGCGTCGAGGTGTGACTGAAGGAGGTTCTCTGCCAAGACCAGATCCTGGTTGAATAAAAGCACATTGGATAGAAGCACATTGGATACGGGGGAAAACACACACGGGGGAAAACAACGCGGTCATAGAGCCAGAGGATCGGAGCGTCGAGGTGTGACTGAAGGAGGTTCTCTGCCAAGACCAGATCCTGGTTGAATAAAAGCACATTGGATAAAAGCACACTGAGAAGAACACATTTGGTAAAAGCACGATAAGCACTGCATGACACAGATTGTGCCAGGACCAGGTACTTGTAGCATAGAAGCACCTAGGATAGGAATACCACTGAAAATGTAAATGGAGGAAAAATAACCCCAACATAAAAGTGTAGTTTTGAGACGTCTCAAAAGAACCCCAAGACTGACAACTCCGAGAAGGTGTTTTTTCATATGGTGATAAGTGCTTCTGTTTCATATGGTGATAAGTGCTTCTGTTTCATATGGTGATAAGTGCTTCTGTTTCATATGGTGATAAGCGCTTCTGTTTCATATGGTGATAAGTGCTTCTGTTTCATATGGTGATAAGCGCTTCTGTTTCATATGGTGATAAGTGCTTCTGTTTCATATGGTGATAAGCGCTTCTGTTTCATATGGTGATAAGCGCTTCTGTTTCATATGGTGATAAGCGCTTCTGTTTCATATGGTGATAAGCGCTTCTGTTTCATATGGTGATAAGCGCTTCTGTTTCATATGGTGATAGCTCAAAACAAAACATTCACCTGCTATGCTATCTTGTGTCAGCCAGCCCTCATCTGGATCTTCTGCCCCAGGTACTCAAGCCGATCATAGCAGAAGTGACTTTTGAGTCGACAGACAAGATCTCCCCAACAACCCTCACCTGCCATCTCCTCTCAACCCTCACCTGCCATCTCCTCACAGCCCTCACCTGAATCTTCTGCCCCAGGTACTCCAGCCGATCATAGCAGAAGCGCGGGTGCTCCCCTCGGTACTTTCTGTGAGCCCCCACCTGCTATGCCCTGCCAGCCCTCACGTGGTATGACCTCTCACCCCTCACCAGCCAGCCCTCACCTGAATCTTCTGCCCCAGGTACTCCAGCCGATCATAGCAGAAGTGACTTTTGAGTCGAATCATTAGTCAAGCTGACTCTGAGTCGACTCAAAAGTCAGCACCTGCCAGCCAGCCCTCACCTGCTATCACCTGCCAGCCCTCACCTGAATCTTCTGCCCCAGGTACTCCAGCCGGTCGTAGCAGAAGCGCGGGTGCTCCCCTCGGTGCAGGGATGGGTGCAGGAAGCACAGCTGGGAAGGGAATGGGAGGAGAGAGGGGGGGTGGGGGGTGGGAGGAAGATGGGGGTAAAGGGGTGGGGAGTCAAGGGAAGATGAGGGGGTGGGAATGCGAGTGAGCAGAAGCAGGGGTGCTCCCCTCGGTAGAAAGACGGGTGCAGGAAGCACAGCTGGAGGGGGGAGGGGGGGGGGTGTGGAGATTGTGAGGGATGGCTGTGGTGGGAGATAAGGGAGAGCACGAGGGATAGGAAGGTGAGTATGGCGAGGAGACTCACAGGGAGCTGTGCAGGAAGCACAGCTGGGAGGTAACTTTTGGGTCGACTCAAAAGTCAGAAGGTAACTTTTGGGTCGACTCAATAGTCAAAAGGTAACTTTTGGGTCGACTCAAAAGGAGAGTCACAGGGAGCTGTGCAGGAAGCAGAGCTGAGAGGTAGTGTTGTGATGGGGTGTTTGTGGTGTGGGGCAAAAGGAGAGCATGAAGGGCGGAATGGTGAGTACTGACAAAACGATCGTATCTGCAAGCGGTAGCAGAGCATCATGGGTGCGGGAAGCAGAGCTGGCAGGTGGAGAGGGGTGGTGATGGGCGAATGTGATGGATGGGTGGTTGTGGTGCGGTGGAAAGGGAGCATCATGGATGGCCGGCCGGGTACCAGCACGCATGTACAACCTTATCAATCTTGAACATGGCCGGCCGGGCCTCAGAAGTGATACACGATGGATGGCCATGTTCCCGTGATTGAACCAGCACACATATCATATGCGTCTATAATATGTTCCCGTGTGTTGTGTCCCACCCGGGCACCAGCACACATGTACAACCTTATCAATATTGAACATGGCCGGCCGGGCCTCAGAAGTGATACACGCACAGCACAGCCACCAGCGCACGCACGCACAGCCTCATCCTCATCGTTTAGTTTTGAGGCGCCTCAAAACTAGGCCTCAGAAGTGATACACGCACAGCACAGCCACCAGCGCACGCACGCACAGCCTCATCCTCATCGTTTAGTTTTGAGGCGCCTCAAAACTAGGCCTCAGAAGTGATACACGCACAGCCACCAGCGCACGCAGAGGATTTTTGAGGCGCCTCAAAAGAAGTGATACACGCACAGCACAACCGCCAGCGCACGCACGCAGAGCTTGGAGGCGAAGCAGAGGCGCAACGCAGAGCCTCATCCTCATCCCCCCTCACCTGCAGCGACTTTTGAGTCGACTCAGAAGTGATGCACGCACAGCACAGCCACCAGCGCACGCACGCAGAGCTTGGAGGCGAAGCAGAGGCGCAACGCAGAGCCTCATCCTCATCCCCCCTCCCCTGCAGCGACTTTTGAGTCGACTCAGAAGTGATGCACGCACAGCACAGCCACCAGCGCACGCACGCAGAGCTTGGAGGCGAAGCAGAGGCGCAACGCAGAGCCTCATCCTCATCCCCCCTCACCTGCAGTGCCATCACCATGTCTTCATTGCGCCGCTGCTTCGCCTCCAAGCTCATTCCCTCTTCAGCCGGTCTCGGCCAAGCCATCGCCCTCAGTGCCGCCTCCAGGGATCGGTGCATCCAATCAGCGCCCGCTATGGTTGATGCATGAGCGACAAGCGTCCACCCACTCAGAGGCACCAACACTACCGTATCGCATTGCCTTGCCTGCAGCGAGTGAGTGTGTGTCTCCATCCCCCCTCACCTGCAGTGCCATCACCATGTCTTCGTTGCGTCTCTGCTAGCATAGTAAAACAGTTTCGACCTGGATCCAACAGGTAACTCGTCCTAATCTCCTCTAGGCTGAGCTTAGGCTAGTAGGGATTGAATAGGTAAGAAATTGTCATTCAAACCTGAGCGTGCCTCATGCTACCATTCTCCTCTCACCTGCAGTGCCATCACCATGTCTTCGTTGCGTCTCTGCTTCGCCTCCAAGCTCATCCCTGCTTCTGCTGGTCTCGGCCACGCCAGCGCTCTCAGTGCCGCCTCCAGGGATCGGTGCATCCAATCGGAGCCGCGGAATCGGGACATTCCGGGCGGCACGCACGCGTGGAAGAGACGCAGGTTGGGGAAAAGGGAGTCCGATGGGGACTGGAGGGAAGGTGGGGCGGGTGGGGCGTTGAGGGAAGAGAAGAGAGAGGGTTTTAGAGGGGTTTTGAGTCGACTCAAGAAGGCACCTCGCACGCGTGTAAGAGTCCCACCCATCCACCTACACACCCACCCATGCTCCCCCCCCTCCCCCCGTCCCCTCTTCCTCCCCCTACCCGCCCCGTTACCCGCTCCACACACACACACACCCACGTTCCCCCCCCCACACACCTGGTAGCACGCCACATCGCGCCACGTCAGCGGGTCGCCATCCAGGTCAGCGTGCATGAAATCCTCGTCACGCACGCGCTCAATCTTGGGGCACATCTCGGGATGGTCGGGGTCCAAACCGAACACCTCAAACAGCAGCCTGTAGACTTCCGGCATGCCGCGGGTTAAGTAGGCTGAAGCAATGAGGGAGGTGAACACACTCCTGCCAGAAGGGAAGGAAGGGACGTATGGAAGAGCACACAGGCGGCTTGTTGGGGTGGCTGGGATTAGGATGGTCGGGGTCCAAACCGAACACCTCAAACAGCAGCCGATACACCTCTGGCATGCCTCTTGTGAGATAGGCTGAGGCGATTAGTGAGGTGAAGACGCTCCCGCAGAGGCGTACATGGGGTGGGTGTGAGAGTGAATGGTGCAGGTGGAGCAGGAACGATCTTAGGGCACATCTCGGGATGGTCGGGGTCCAGCCCGAACACCTCAAACAGCAGCCGATACACCTCTGGCATGCCTCTTGTGAGATAGGCCGAGGCAATGAGGGGCGTGAAAACACTCCTGCAGTAGAGGGGAGGAAGAGAGATGTGGATGGTCTGGGTCCAGCCCAAACACCTCAAACAACAGCCTCACTTGGCAGCTCACTCACTTGCCAGCTCACTCACTTGGCAGCTCACTCACTTGCCAGCTCACTCACTTGCCAGCTCACTCACTTGGCAGCTCACTCACTTGCCAGCTCACTCACTTGCCAGCTCACTCACTTGCCAGCTCACTCACTTGCCAGCTCACTCACTTAGCAGCAGCAGCGGGACGCTAGCAGCACACAAGTGACAGGTTTCAAAGCCAGAAACCATTCAAACATCAAAGACAAGTCAGTCACTTGGCGGCCATTTGCCGTAGGTTGGTGGGGGCGCGCATGAGCAGGGCGCCGGGGAACACCAGGCGGTCCAACCCCGCCTGGGTGAGCAGCAGCGGGAGGCTAGTGGCTGGCAGCACACAAGTGTCAGGTTTGACGCAGGCTCGTCGCCATTTGACAGCTCACTCACTTGGCGGCCATTTGTCGTAGGTTGGTGGGGGCGCGCATGAGCAAAGCCCCTGGAAACACCAGCCGGTCCAACCCCGCCTGGGTGAGGAGCAAGGGAAAGCGGCGCTTATTTCCCAGCTCCCTGGCCCGCTCCCTGAGTGATGCTACCGGCTCCCTGGGATAGCACTGCGGGGAGAGGGAGAGAGCAGCACGAGGAGGGAGAGAGCAGCATGAGGAGGGAGAGAGGGAGAGAGCAGCACGAGGAGGGAGAGAGCAGCAGTGAATGAGCACTCAGCAGCAGCGCGCCGGGGGAACACCAGGCGGTCCAACCCAGCCGGTTTTTGAGAATCCTAAAAAACCAGCGCCGGGGGAACACGAGGCGGTCCAACCCGGCCTAGGTGAGCAGCGGGAAACGCCGCTTGTTGCCCAGCTCCCTGGCCCTCTCCCTGAGTGATGCTACCGGTTCTCTTGGGTAGCACTGGGGTTCATGGAAACGCAGGGAAAGCAAGGCAGAGACAGAGTGGGAGGGTGAGCAGCAGAGGGAAGCGGCGCTTGTTGCCCAGCTCCCTGGCCCTCTCTCTTAATGATGCCACTGGTTCCCTGGGGTAGCACTGAGGGTAAGGGAAACACGAGGAGAAAGGAAGGAGGAGCAGCAGCAAGAGACGAGAGCAGTGAGTAGAACCAGTGGCATCACTTAGAGAGCGAACCAGTAGAATAGAAGAGTAGTTTCGACTTGGATCCAGCAGTCCTAACTCGTCTTAGAGAGCGAAGCAGTAGAAGAGCAGAGCGAAGCAGCCCTCGTTGCCCAGCTTTGAGGCGCCTCAAAAGTAGAACCAGTGGCATCACTTAGAGAGCGAAGCAGACCAGTAGAAGAGCAGAGCGAAGCAGACCAGTAGAAGAGCAGAGCGAACCAGACCAGTAGAAGAGCAGAGCGAAGCAGACCAGTAGAAGAGCAGAGCGAACCAGACCAGTAGAAGAGCAGAGCGAACCAGACCAGTAGAAGAGCAGAGCGAAGCAGAGCAGTAGAAGAGCAGAGCGAAGCAGACCAGTAGAAGAGCAGAGCGAAGCAGACCAGTAGAAGAGCAGAGCGAACCAGACCAGTAGAAGAGCAGAGCGAACCAGACCAGTAGAAGAGCAGAGCGAACCAGACCAGTAGAAGAGCAGAGCGAACCAGACCAGTAGAAGAGCAGAGCGAACCAGACCAGTAGAAGAGCAGAGCGAAGCAGACCAGTAGAAGAGCAGAGCGAACCAGACCAGTAGAAGAGCAGAGCGAACCAGACCAGTAGAAGAGCAGAGCGAACCAGACCAGTAGAAGAGCAGAGCGAAGCAGTCCAGTAGAAGAGCAGAGCGAAGCAGACCAGTAGAAGAGCAGAGCGAAGCAGACCAGTAGAGGAGCAGAGCGAACCAGACCAGTAGAAGAGCAGAGCGAACCAGACCAGTAGAAGAGCAGAGCGAACCAGACCAGTAGAAGAGCAGAGCGAACCAGACCAGTAGAAGAGCAGAGCGAAGCAGACCAGTAGAAGAGCAGAGCGAAGCAGACCAGTAGAAGAGCAGAGCGAAGCAGACCAGTAGAAGAGCAGAGCGAAGCAGACCAGTAGAAGAGCAGAGCGAAGCAGACCAGTAGAAGAGCAGAGCGAAGCAGACCAGTAGAAGAGCAGAGCGAAGCAGCCCTCGTTGCCCAGCTGCCTTGTCCTTCCTGGCTCGCTCCAGCAATCACCTGCAGCAGCATCGCAGCCAGAGCCAGCACCAGCACGAACCCGGCCATCCTGCCTCCTGGTCTCTGCTACTCATGCCATTCGCCTCACCTGCAGCAGCATACCACCTGCACCACCACTAGCACCACCGTACCTGCAGCAGCATCGCAGCCAGAGCCAGCTCCAGCACGAACCCGGCCATCCTGCCTCCTGGTCTCTGCTACTCATGCCATTCGCCTCACCTGCAGCAGCATGCCACCTGCACCACCACTAGCACCACCGTACCTGCAGCAGCATCGCAGCCAGAGCCAGCTCCAGCACGAACCCGGCCATCCTGCCTCCTGGTCTCTGCTACTCATGCCATTCGACTCACCTGCAGCAGCATGCCACCTGCACCACCACTAGCACCACCGTACCTGCAGCAGCATGCCACCTGCACCACCACTAGCACCACCGTACCTGCAGCAGCATGCCACCTGCACCACCACCAGTCACCGTACCTGCAGCAGCATGCCACCTGCAACACCACCAGTCACCGTACCTGCAGCAGCATCTCAGCCAGAGCCAGCTCCAGCACGAACCCTCTCTCAGCATGCATTGGGGCAGCAACACTCCTGTACCCTGCAAGCACTGCAACCACGCTCATCCCATGCTTTAGCAACACCACCAGTCACCGTACCTGCAGCAGCATCTCCGCCAGAGCCAGCTCCAGCACGAACCCTCTCTCAGCATGCATTGGGGCAGCAACACTCCTGTACCCTGCAAGCACTGCAACCACGCTCATCCCATGCTTTAGCAACACCACCAGTCACCGTACCTGCAGCAGCATCTCCGCCAGAGCCAGCTCCAGCACGAACCCGCCCAGAAACGCCAGCCGTGATCCTGCCACCTTGAGAAACCGTGACTTGTCCGGCTGGTCCCTGAAGGGTGCGGTGGGGTGAGGTGTGAAGAGGTATGATCAGGTGTGATGAGGTGCGGTTTGGTGTGGTGTGGTGTGGGGGAAGAGGGAGGAACAAACACAGTCAGCACGAACCCGCCCAGAAACGCCAGCCGTGATCCTGCCACCTTGAGAAACCGTGACTTGTCGGGTTGATCCCTGGGGGTTGGGAGATGGTGCGTGGTGTGGTGTGGTGCGGTGCGGTGTGGTGTGGTGTGGTGTGGTGTGGTGCGTTGCAGTGTGGTGTGGTGTGATGAGGAAAGGAGGGGACAGACCGACCACATGCAGCATCTCAGAAACGCACAGGAGAGGAGAAAACAATATGCCCAAATGCAGAAACCAGAATTCTCTCTGAGTTCAATTGACACCTACCCCCCCTCACCGAACCTTTGCTGTGGACCAATAAGCTATAACACACGCATAGGAAACGTGGCAGATACCCATCTGTGACTCTGTGACACGTGGCACCCACCTGTGCATATACGAGAGGTATAGGAGCTCGTCTAGCTTGCTGGCAGGGTTGAACGAATCCTCTTCTGCCACGTGGATATCCTCCTCTCCTCCCGCAACCCCAGCCCCAGCGTCCCTCCCTTCCCGCAACCCTAAACCTCTCCTGCCTAATTCTTGACTCAGTTCACCCACGCTGCTATCTCCTACCGCTGCTGCTGCTGCTGCCGTTTCTGCTCCTGCCGTTGCTGCTGCTGCCACTGACTCTCCTCCTGCCCTTCCTGCTGCAGGCACTCTTCTCACAGCACTGCTATCCCCCTTATTATCAGCTCCGCTTCTGACCTCCACGTTGTCTCTCCCTCTCCTTTCGCCTCTCCATCCCTCCTCACTTCCCCACTCCTCCTCTTCACTTTCGCCCTCCTCCCCCTCCCCTTCCTCATATTCATCATCATCCCCATATTCCCATTCCCCCTCTTCCCCTTCCCCTTCCGCTTCCCCCTCCTCCCCAGACCCAAACCCTGAACCCTCTCCCACTGTCTCCCACCAATCCCCCCCTTCCGCCATCAAAAGCCCTAAGCCCTCCTTAATCTCGTCCCCATTCGCCCAAATCCATTCCCGATCCTCACGCGCTAACGGCAACGGGGAGAGACACGCGCTAAGCAGCGGCCAGCCCGCCGCGTTTCCCGCCGCTAGTTGCGGGCTCTGCAGCAGGCGTGACGTCAGCTCGTCCTGGCTCAGCTGCCGCCCGCCGCGCCGGCCGCGGCGGTACAGATTCGTCCGGTGAATGCCGCCCGGGCGCTTCTGCAGTCGGCGCATGTGCGCGGGGGAAACCTTCCGCCGAACCACGCGCGGGGCCGCTTTGCTGCGCCCGGCGGCGGAAATGAGGAGCCGGCGGGGTCGCGGAGCCAGGGGTTCGCGGAGGCCGGGGGAGGCATGGCGCTGGGGGGACAGGCTCTTGGCGGAAAGATGCGCGGGAAAGGGGGTCAACAAGCGGGAATAGGCGGAGGAGAGGGGAGCGGAGGAGGCGCAAGAGGTTCTACGCGGATACGGGGTTGGCCGCGATTGTGACAGTATCGAGCAGCCTAGCGTCGAGGAAGGAGATCGTGACTGTATCGAGGGTTGTGATGGTGACAGCATTGAAGAATGCGCAAACGCGGGATTAACGGATATTGGAGCGCGGATGCCGGGCATTGCGGCGCCTGAGGAGGGCGATGCGAAGCACGAGGTTACCGCCATTCTAATCCGCCTTTTGCTCGCATGAGACCAGCACGAACGAGATAACTACGAAATACACAAGACCTTGGGATTACCAAGCACAGGGTTGCATGTGACTGGATGTCTTTCCCGCCTGCGACCACAAGGATGACATCGGGCGTGGTTCGACACCTTGGAAGGATGGATTCGAAAATCAAACTTTCGGATCGGATGCGTTTCTGTACCGTACTGACACCAAGGACTTGAACAACGAGGAATCCGTCGATTAGGACGTGTAACTTTTTCCGTCCGTACCGTATGCGAACAGGGTATCCCGCTCACGGTACGTACCGTCCAAGCTCGTTATCGAATTGCAGATCATGCGGGTTTTGACGAGATCCGGATACCAATTTCGTATACGGTACGGACGGTCAAAAAGAGAAAAAGTTACACGCCCTTATTTTCGTTTTGAGCGTTTCTGAGTGTAGTTTCAAGCCTCGTGTCGTTTCAGCGTCCCCAGGTTTCGAGTTCACCTGCCGTTGTGGTGCAACATATTCGAGACGCCGTTCGCACCGAGATATGCCGAGTGTTGCGATTGGTTTGATAGGCGGCACGCTCGGAGTTGCAGGGTACTATCCCCGACAGTAATTTCGCGAATGGAGAACGACTTGGAAGGAGGATAGTAACATTATTGAAAGCGTTTCGCAAGACGATTTTCGCCAAACAGTTCGTCCAAAGTTTGGCTGCGCGGAGGTTCCATGATTTTCTCCTTCCTGAATTCCAAGCAGAGTCTGGAAACCGGGGCTGTTTTGCTCAGCTATTTACGCCAAAGGCACATTTCGAGGAAAGCTTCCGTTCCGTACCATTCCTACGTGCAATGCGAAGGCAAAAGCATTTCATTCGTTCTCTGTCACAAGGACCCTTTTCCTAAAAAATAGCCGCGGCGGACAAATACTCACGAGCCACGTCAGCACTCATGCGTAGGCCACTAGGAACCTCGCATTTGAACGCGCCGCGAGGCGGCGATAGCAGCAATACTAGCAGCTTCGTGCGACTTTACATAGATTCGCTCAGCCTGCCGACTCGAGGATTCCTCTTAACGGTCGCTATTCTAGTAACCGCGCTCGTCCTCCTAGTCGCGCGACGCGACTCCTCGCCGTCCGCCGCCTTCTCCTCCTCCGCCTCCGCGGACCGCGGCGTGAATCCCGGCAGCGACCCCGCGGCGATGGCGGCGCGTCCTGCGGAGGTCGTGGTGGAGGAGAGGGAAACGGTGGTGAATCTCCCGCCGGAAATCACGGAGGAGGAGGGGCGGCAGCGCGTGACGCTGCGGTTCCTGGAAGGTTCCAGGAAGCCCGGGACGGGAGGAGGAGGAGGAGCGGAGGGTGCGGGTGGGGGACCCTCGGGAATGACGGTGGTGCTGCTGCATGGGCGATCGTTTGAAGCCAAGACGTGGAAAGACATTGGTAAGGCCGCATGGAATGTAGTGCCTATTCCCTTCCTCCATAGAAAGAACCCGCTTTAATGACGCGGGTAGGTACTGCTGCATGGCAGTGCTTGAAAGCCGCGACGTGGAAAGACATTGGTTCGATTCCGTGCCTTCTCCTCCCCTCCCCTTCCCTCTCCTTCAGACGCCGCCTCCCGTTCCCCCCCACTTCGCCACGCCTCTTCGTCTGACCGATACGGGCACTGCAGACCATTTGGCAGCAGCAGCAGCACCAGGGTATAGAGAAAAGATTATTCTTTGCCAGGTTTTCCCTTCACCCTCTCCCTTCCATTCCCCCCCACGTCACCGCGCCTCTTCGTCTTAGCCATACGAGCACTGCAGACCATTTGGCAGGCTTCCACGCCACACCTCTCCTGCAGGGTAGACAGTAAAGAGTCTTCTTTGCCAGGCTTCCCGACCCCATTGAGGTGTATTTTGAGGCGCCTCAAAATACTTCCCGGCCCCGCTCTCCCCTCCACTTCCTTCCCTCCCTCCTCACCGTGATTGAGTCTGCCATACAGGCACCATCGAGCATCTGGCAGCAGCAGGGCAGAGTACAGAGTCGTACAGAGCCATTGCAGTTGACTCAAAAGCAGAGGGCACAGAGTACAGAGTCGTACAGAGCCATTGCAGTTGACTCAAAAGCAGAGGGCACAGAGTACAGAGTCGTACAGAGCCATTGCAGTTGACTCAAAAGCAGAGGGCACAGAGTACAGAGTCGTACAGAGCCATTGCAGTTGACTCAAAAGCAGAGGGCACAGAGTACAGAGTCGTACAGAGCCATTGCAGTTGACTCAAAAGCAGAGGGCACAGAGTACAGAGTCGTACAGAGCCATTGCAGTTGACTCAAAAGCAGAGGGCACAGAGTACAGAGTCGTACAGAGCCATTGCAGTTGACTCAAAAGCAGAGGGCACAGAGTACAGAGTCGTACAGAGCCATTGCAGTTGACTCAAAAGCAGAGGGCACAGAGTACAGAGTCGTACAGAGCCATTGCAGTTGACTCAAAAGCAGAGGGCACAGAGTACAGAGTCGTACAGAGCCATTGCAGTTGACTTGCGAGCCCTCCCCTCCCTCTTCCCTCCCCCCCCCTCTTTCTTTCTCCGCCTCGCCTCATTCGTGTGTGTCTGGCCCATGCAGGCACCATCGATCATCTGGCAGCAGCAGGGCACAGAGTGATTGCCGTTGACTTGCCAGGTGCGTTGACTTGCCAGGTGCGTTGACTTGCCAGGTGCGTTGACTTGCCAGGTGCGTTGACTTGCCAGGTACGTTGACTTGCCATGTGCGTTGACTTGCCAGGTGCGTTGACTTGCCAGGTGCGTTGACTTGCCAGGTGCGTTGACTTGCCAGGTGCGTTGACTTGCCAGGTGCGTTGACTGGCGTTGACTGCCATTCATTAGCCAGGTGACCTGCCAGATGTGCCAGGTAACGTGCCCGGTTATTTGGCTGTCATTGACTTTAGTGGTTGACATGCGTTGCTCGGTGCTGCCCCCATGCCCTCATGTCCCCATCCCCCCATGCTCCCATCCCCCCATGCTCCCATCCCCCCATGCTCCCGTCCCCCCATGCTCCCATCCCCCCATGCTCCCATCCCCCCATGCTCCCATCCCCCCATGCTCCCATCCCCCCATGCTCCCATCCCCCCATGCCCACATACCCCCATGCTTTTGTGTGCGTGGTCCGTGTTCCTACCCCCCTCCACCACAAACCAGGTGGCAAGGGTCGCACCAAGGACACTCTCTCAACCCGAGCAGCACACGAGGGCTTTATCACTGTGGTGAGTGTGTGGAGGTGTGTGCAGGTGTGGGAGGACGCCCTCTCCACCTGAGCAGTGCATGAAGGCTCAGCTCAGGGAGGGTTCCTATTGAAGAAAATTTGAGGTTTTTCCTTAGTCTTCTCAAAAATCACCTCTAAGAATGTGCATAGGTGGTTAAAAGAATAGGCACTGTAGCCACTTTTGTATGGCCTCTTTTCTTAACCGTAGTTGTACGCAGGTACTTTTGAGTCGCCTCAAAATTAGACTTTCGGATGGTCTCTTTTCTTCACCGTAATCGTATGCAGCTCACTCCAGCCCATGTCCAACCCGTGACGCCAACCCAACCTTTGTGCGTTCCATTCCAGCTATGGCAGCACTTTGAATTCACCAGTCGATCGGTCCTCGTGTCGCCGTCTCTCAGCGACAGAGCTCAGCCCATCCACCCTCTGTGTCCACCCTCTGTGTCCACCCTCTGTGTCCACCCTCTGTGTCCACCCTCTGTGTCCACCCTCTGTGTCCACCCTCTGTGTCCACCCTCTGTGTCCACCCTCTGTGTCCACCCTCTGTGTCCACCCTCTGTGTCCACCCTCTGTGTCCACCCTCTGTGTCCACCCTCTGTGTCCACCCTCTGTGTCCACCCTCTGTTGCCCAACCCACCCCTGCCTTCCATTCCAGCTGTGGCAGCACTTTGAGCTCACCAATCGCTCCGTCCTTGTCTCTCTGTCCAGCGGCCGTTACAGCCTGCCGTTTGTGGCGCAGCACAGCTCAGTCCGTTTCCCCCCTCCTCCACCCCCCCTTCCTTTTTTGCCCCGGTTGTTGCCCAACCCACCAGCTGTGGCAGCACTTTGAGCTCACCAATCGATCGGTCCTTGTCTCTCCGTCTCTCAGCGGCCGCTACAGCCTGCCGTTTGTAGCGCAGCAGAGCCAGCTGAAGACCGGGCGACAGGCCACGGGCGGGCGGCAGGCCACGGGCGGGCGGCAGCTGGGCGGCTATGTGCCGGTGGCGCCTGTGATGGTGGACTCATACAGCGATAAGATAGCAGGCAGCCAGGTGCGTGTGTGATAAGCTATCAAGCAGCCACGTATGCTTGTGAATATGCTACCTTTGTGCGGTGGCGGTGGCGCCTGTGATGGTGGACTCATACAGCGATAAGATAGCAGGCAGCCAGGTGCGTGTATGATGAGTTTGATGTGCTACCTTTCAGCCAAGTACGTGTGCTTGTTGATAGGTTACCTTTCAGGCAGTTAGTTGTGTGAATGCGGCTATGTGCCGGTGGCGCCTGTGATGGTGGACTCATACAGCGATGAGATAGCAGGCAGCCAGGTGTGTGTGCGTGTGTGCGTGCGTGCGTGCGTGCGTGCGTGCGTGCGTGCGTGCGTGCGTGCGTGCGTGCGTGCGTGCGTGCGTGCGTGCGTGCGTGCGTGTGATGAGCTATCGAACCGCCGGGTATGTATGACAAGCTATCGGGCAGCCATGTATGCATCTGACAAACTTTGGGCAGCCATGTATGCATCTGACAAACTTTGGGCAGCCATGACGTGTCTGACAAACTTTGGGCAGCCATGACGTGTCTGACAAACTTTGGGCAGCCATGACGTGTCTGACAAACTTTGGGCAGCCATGACGTGTCTGACAAACTTTGGGCAGCCATGACGTGTCTGACAAACTTTGGGCAGCCATGACGTGTCTGACAAACTTTGGGCAGCCTTGACGTGTCTGACAAACTTTGGGCAGCCTTGACGTGTCTGACAAACTTTGGGCAGCCATGACGTGTCTGACAAACTTTGGGCAGCCATGACGTGTCTGACAAACTTTGGGCAGCCATGACGTGTCTGACAAACTTTGGGCAGCCATGACGTGTCTGACAAACTTTGGGCAGCCATGACGTGTCTGACAAACTTTGGGCAGCCATGACGTGTCTGACAAACTTTGGGCAGCCATGACGTGTCTGACAAACTTTGGGCAGCCATGACGTGTCTGACAAACTTTGGGCAGCCATGACGTGTCTGACAAACTTTGGGCAGCCATGACGTGTCTGACAAACTTTGGGCAGCCATGACGTGTCTGACAAACTTTGGGCAGCCATGACGTGTCTGACAAACTTTGGGCAGTCATGACGTGTCTGACAAACATCGGGCAGCCCGGTATGCATATTTCTGATGGTGGACTCATACATTGATAAGATAGCAGGCAGCCAGGTGTGTATATGATAAGCTATCGAGCAGCCGGGTATGTGGCAGCATTGGTGGTGGATGGTGGTGAATGGTGGTGAGTGGTGCGATGTGGTACAACGCCCAGTGGATCCCCCCCTCTGTCTTGCCCTTGGGTTGTATCCGCAGGTGCCAGCATTGGTGGTGAATGGTGGTGAATGGTGCAGACTGGTACAACGCCCACTGGGTCCCTTCCTTTTTTCTCTCTTTTTAATTGCTACCCGCAGGTTCCAGCACTGGTGTTGGATGGTGCAGGGTGGTACAAGGCCCACTGAGTTCTTTCCTCATGTCTCTCTATTGATCTGCTACCCCCAGGTTCCAGCACTGGTGGTGAATGGGGAGAGGGATCACCCCGACAGGGCGCAGCACCTTGCAAGCCTGTTTGCCAACCACAAACTGGTACGGCTGGACTTGTCTTCTAGTGGTCGATTATTGGAAACTTTCGAACATTTTGAAGCAGGTGGCCATGCATGCAGGCTACTTCAGAGCAGCTTGCGTACAGTACCCAAACGAATAAAAAGTGCTGAATGTGTGTTATCTATCGCCTTTTCCTTTTTCCTTTGCTTTTCCTTCGCCTTCTTTTCTCAGGTGATATTCAAAGGAGCAGGTCATGCATGCTATATGGAGCAGCCTGAGTACTTCAATAGTCTTGTGGGGCAATTCGTGCAACAACTGACCGTCCCAACCGAATTTCAGTAGTTCTGGGCTGAGATTCGAATTAAGCTGAACATACCGTATGAAGTATTCAGTGCCAGTACATATATTTGTCCGGCATTTTTTAGGGGTGTGGGGTGGGAGATGGGGGGGGGGAGGGAAACGGGAAGCTTATACAAAGTCCCATTTAGGCAATTCAAGAGTTTCACAATACAGATCCAGTATTGAAAAAAGCCCAAGAATGGGGCAGGGATTATGATTGGATAATCTCTTATCGCCCCTTCGTGCTGGTGTTTAGCTTCGAGGTGTATCCTAAGGGGGCAGAATACTAGTAGGGGAATGCCGTATTGAGGCGTTTCTTGATGGTTGTATTCAGTGTTTTCCAAACGTCCATTCCCCGCCAGGAGTACCTGTCAATTGTAGCATGTTATAACGAGAAGGAATTCCCTCCCCGCTCAGAAAGCAAGGCCCTCTCGCGCCGCTGACAGCGCAACGGATCTCTCTCAACAAGATTGGTTTGGCAGCCAACCGTGCCGCTATGATTGGTCCCAAAGCAAGAGGAAACACGAACCCCTGTCAAATCCCACCAGACCAGACCTCCCCGGTGGCGTCGCTGAAGTTGATGCTGTGCTGTCCGGACGGAGGCTGGTATGGGGGACGCATGGGGGCACCAATTTTCTTCGCGAGGGCCGAAGGTCCCCAACCATGAGGCTGCTGAAAACGAAGCTGTTTTGTATCCTCACAAGTGGTGGTTCGGTTCCGACGTTTTTCGTTCGGGGGCCTGGTCCGGACCAAGCCTCGTGCGCATCTTTCCAGTTGTGGATGCTACCGCCCGTATGTCCTGTCCCTGTCCACACCAACCTGTTTCCAACGGTCCTGTAAATGCTACGTCTGTTGATTACATGTGTCTGGTGAAGACTTATCTTGCAGCATCAGTTTCTTGATGATGGTACCGTCTGTGCTGCTCTGTGATATTTCGTGGCGCTTTGCTTGAAACCTGCTGGGATGAGCTCCATTGAATAATTTATTTCAGTAGATGTCCAGAAAATTAATGCAGGCAGCGACGAGTTTGCCAAGTATTAAAGGCGAGTCTTAGAAGTGAATGGACTCGAATACTGGGGGTCCTGAAGATCGAGACAACGTTTCTTTGAGAGGCAGGAGCGTGAATAGTGTGGCTCCGGGATCTCCAGACTCGTACCAGAAGCCAGGAAATCCGGTTCGACGTTCATTTCCTAACTCGCCGTTTCGCCTGGCAGAAGAAGATCGAAACGAGACTAGTGCCGCCATGGAGCGTTGCAAATGTGGTGCTGTGGTGGGCCTGGACGGCAAAGGAAAGCAGCAACCTCGAGGATTCGCCAAGTGTCTACGTCTGTTACTCTTCGTCGGGATATTAGCGGTTGCCGGGATCTTCGTGTATCGTACAGTGTCAGCTTACCCTGATTACCATTTCTCGTCTTCAGTCGCTCCGATGGAAGATGTATTTAAGTCGAGCGATTGCAGCGACACGGACGCTTACGAGCAAAGGATGCTCCAAGACTCAGAGAAGGCATACATGGTAAGCCCGAAACAGAATTAAATATAGAACTTGTTAACCATTATTCACATTTTATTGATTCGCCTTATGGATAATGACGCAAGGTTAGCGTCTTTCTTCGAGATAGACTGTATATCACAATCACATCGGAATTTCCGACGTCGATTTATCTTCATTGCGGTCTCGGAATTGTCGTCGCAGGAAGCCACGGCGGTGTTGGCGGAGGCGTTCGGCGGGGCGACGCAGCCGCGGGACGTGGACGTGAAGCGCATGTGGGACTTCATCTTCGTCCCCACGTACTCGTGCCCTCGCGAGCGACGCATCGGCCGCGCTGGCGACGGCGGGAAGGTGAGCCGTTACTGTCACCCAGGTGAACCGTTACTGAAACCTTCGTTCCACGTTGAGCCCTTACTGTCACCTTCCTTTCAAGGTGTACGACGATTTCTTTCTTGCTATTGATTTCGCCCCTTGCCAGAGAGGTTGCATTGTGGCAAAATTAGACGGTAGCGATGGACGGGCGTTGCATTAACAAGATAATGCATTGACGACAAGTGGCTTCTCAACACAAAAGACAATTGAATGTATTTTTCTCTTACCAACCTCTTGAACAACATAATTTTCCTGCCTCACTCATTCTTCCCCTTGTCCTTCAAGTCCCCGCTTTTCCCCGCTCTCCCGCCACTCCCCCCATTCTTCTTTCAACCTCCCTATCTTCATTCCCGCTTCCGTCCCACCTCCCCACTTTCCCCTCCCCTGCTTCCTAATGTCCCTTCCTCTGTCTGCTGTCTGTCCGCGCAGTGGACTTGCATTATGAGGGCGTTCTTTGCCAAGCCGAAGATCACCGTCTTCAGGTGAGCTTATCAAATCAAAAGTTGCACTCATTAGGTGAACACAACAGCTTACGGATCACTGTTTTCACAAACCCTGAAAATGTTTAAATGGGGATTCTAGTCGAGACCATACCTCCTTACCACTGAGACCACAGTTAAAATCAGCCGTGCAGAATTTGATTGCGGTCTCTTATGTCGTTACCACCCTTTGTAAACCTCCTCGACCATACCTCGTACCTCCCCGCGCACTTGCAGCATTGGCAGCCATGGGGATCCCAGCTTCGAGAAAGCCGTGCAAAAAGTCATCCATGCCAAGCCCTACACCTTCGACCCGTTCCTGAACGCGTCGGTTCTCGCCGAGATGCAATCCCAGCCGTTCATGCGCTTCCGCAACGCGGGCCTCGTGGGTTCGCGGACTAAGGCGAATGCGACGAGGCAGTTCCCGGGAGTGACTTTTGTGACCCTAGAGGAGGGCATGCAGCAGGCGGGGAGGGATTACATCGATGTGTTCAAGATTGACTGCGAGGGGTGCGAGTACCCAGTATTGGATGATCTTATGGAACGGTACACTGCCAGACGGAACCCCCCCATTGGTCAGCTGCTCATCGAGTTCCACGGGTGAGTTTTTGGTTTTGGGTTTTTTTTTTTTTTTTTTTTTTGCACTGCACTTATTCCCTCAGTCGATCAGGTCCGGTTCGGCCTTTTCTGAGCCTCAAGACGAGGAACCAATCTTATTCCCACCCTACCACGCACCTCTCCATCTTTCTCCGCTCCCTACCAGTGCAACCACTCTGCACCTGTGGAGGAAGTGTTTCTTCTGAATATATGAACCTTAAAAGTCGTCTCAGTGCGAGCACACTGTATCTAGTCAATAAGTATTCTCACGGCATTCAGAACTCGCCGTAAACTCACGCTTGTTTCACGCTTTCAAGTAGCCTCAAGCACCTACCCTCCTTCGTTATTTTATCTTCCTCACTCGCTCACCTCCTCCCTCCTTCCCGATGCTTCCTTGCATCAAATGCACTCTACACCTGTTGAAATAGTATGTCTACATATGTACAGTAGTGTGGGTTTCTTCTCCTTACTGTGATTCTGATGGACTGTCCCTTTTCCTCCTCTCCTCCCCCCTGTCCGTGCTCCCCCCTGCAGGGCAAGCACTCAACCCGTTATGGAGAAGTATTTCTACGGAATTCAGAACATGGGTTTCCGCCTCTTTCACGTTGAAAGAAACGCGTACTATCCAGGGTTTTGTGCAGAGTTCTCCTTCATCCACGAGAGCTTGCTGCCAGTAGAAAAGGATGATGGAATCACTTATTAGTAGTACCTAAAACAATTCAGTTGCGCTGGATTGATCCTTTCTTGCTTGCTCCTACTGTACAAGGTTATTGTTAAGTTATACAGCACTCAAGCCAAAGCTGATTTGTACAATGTAGTGCATGACGTTTCCACACCATGCCTTATCCAATAGCCGAGCCAGTAACAAGGTGTATAAATTATGTTTTCCTGCGTGGCCAGCATTTCAGCCTGTATTTGAATTATTTAAAGCAGGTTATTCAGCCTGGCCACCTCTGCCTTTATCTGTTCATGATATTCTGTATAAAACACATCGTATTCCCCATAATCAACCGCTGCGTCCGGCCTTTCAAGGTAACTCGGGCGATACGTTACGCGGTGGTAACCAGTTCTGGAAATGCGATCAAAGTCACCAGCATCACCAGAGGATCCCTTCCGGGGATACAGACGAGCAACCTGGTGGCCATGGGGGGGTGGGGAGGGGGGAAGGAGAGGGGGAGAAAGTGATGAAGGGGAAGGGAGAGTGTGATGGAGGGCAAGGGAGAGTGTGAAGCGTGGGAGACAGTGAGAGTGGCTCTTCTGAATTGACTCACGCATCACCAATGGATCCCTTATGAAGGTAGAGACGCGCAATCTGGTGGTGTGCAAATCAGTCCTCGGGGAAGGGGGAGGGGAGGGAAGGGGGAAGAGAATGTGATGGGGGGTGGGAAGGGAGAGTATGATGGGGGGGATTGGCAAAGGAGTGACTTGTGAGTCGACTCAAGCATGAGGATCCCCAGCCCTCCACACAATCACCAGAGAGCAATAATCTCAACTGGTACCCACTAAATATCCACCTCACCTGGTAACGACTAAATATTTACTTCACCTGGTAACCACTAAATATTTACTTCACCTGGTAACCACTACATATTTACTTCACCTGGTAAGCCACCAAATATTTACTTCACCTGGTAACCACTAAATATTTACTTCACCTGGTAACCACTAAATATCCACCTCACCTAGTAACCACTAAATATCCACCTCACCTGGTACCCACTAAATATCCACCTCACCTAGTAACCACTAAATATCCACCTCACCTAGTAACCACTAAATATCCACCTCACCTGGTACCCCAATAACTCCCAAAGATCACAAGAAACTCACCTGGTAACCAGACAGCCACACCCGCATTGTCAGCTGCCAGTCCAACACAATCCCCGCCTCGCCCTCGCGGTCGTCAGCCTCATCCAGCCCACCCAGCCCAGGCGCCTTAACACATCCCCCATTGCCCCTTCAGTAACCCAACCAGCAGAAACCTCACCTGGTAACCAGATAGCCACACGCGTGTTGCCAGCTGCCAGTCCGACTGCCCGCCCTCGCGGTCGTCAGCCTCATCCAGCCCACCCAGTCGCCTCGGCACATTTCGCCGCACCACCAGAGGACACAAAGATCACCTAGTACCCCAGGTGTCTCAGCACACACCCACCAAGAATTTCATTTCAGAATAACCTTTTCCGTGTCTCTCTTCTCACCTGGTAACCAGACATCCACACTCTTGTCGCCAGCTGCCAGTCCGACACAATAGCCGCCTCGCCCTCGCGGTCATCTGCCTCATCCAGCCCACCCAGTCGCCTCAGCACGTTTCGCCGCACCACCAGGGGTAACCCCGTGACAAGCCCCGTGAAATGCATCCCCACTCCCGTCTCGGGGTCTCTCCTTTTCCTGCTCTCCACCCCATCTTCCTCTCGAGCCAAATCCGCCCAGAACTTGACGATCTTGCTGGTTGTAGGGGCGGCGAGATTTGTCATATTATCCGTCCGATAGCCGACCATTCCGAGCCTAGGCCATGCGAAAAATGCGGAGAGTAAATCCTGCAGCCAATCACAGCTCTCGGGCGGCAAGTAGTCGTCCTGTAGCAGCACTAGCAGGTCGCCTCGTGCCATCCATGCCAGATCATTATACCCTCGAGAATCGTCCACTGAATGGGGTAATACCGGCACGACAAAAATCCCCGGATCGGTTCTGTTCCACATTTGTATCCACTGCCCGAGGGTTTTTTCCGGCTCTAAAACATTTACGAGTAACTCTGCCCGAACACCCGGTAATTTTCCAGTGCCCAGCATCCCGTTTGTACACTCGTATAAACGCTCCACCAGCGGTTTTACCCGCTCCGGAGCCCCGTAATACCGAAGCAAGAAGGTGAAGTGCGCCCGAACCTCCGGGTACTGGTCCGGAAACAGGTCCGGATCCTTTTGCCAGACGTAAGGTGGAGCTTCTAGGCCCGGCCGATCCTCGTAACCAGGATCGAGCATCTCCCAGTCCATGCACTGAGGCGCGGCACCAGCCGCGGCAGCTACAGTGTGAAACCGAGCCAGAAACTCGTCCTGCTGTGCCGTCCAGTTGCTGTGTGGTAACCGCAGCCCGCAATCCCCAAAAAGCCTATCCTGAATTTGCCGAAGAGCGGACGATGCTGACGTGGCACGTGCCAGGCTGGCGTTGCGATCGGATTGCACGTCAGCGACGAATGCTGACGCGGACGGGTGGCCGGGTCCTTCTCGGTCAAACCAGAAGGAGTAGAGCTGATACCACATGAGAAAGGCTTCAAGTCGTGTCTTATTGGCTGTGGGGAGGAGTGGGAGAGGGGTAGGGGAGAGGGGTAGGGGCGAGGGGTCTCTGTTGGTTGAACCAGAAGGAGTAGAGCTGATACCACATGAGAAATGCTTCAAGTCGTGTCTTATTGGCTGTGGGGAGGAGTGGGAGAGAGGTAGAGGAGAGGGGTAGGGGTGAGGGGTCTCTGTTGGTCGAACCAGAAGGAGTAGAGCTGGTACCACATGAGAAAGGCTTCGAGCCGTGTTTCATTGGCAGTTGGGAGGAATGAAGGGAGTGGGAAGCAGGAAACAACACTTGAAGAGAAAGGGAGAGGAGGAAACACGGGTACAACTGCTGGTGCAAACGGGTGGTCAGGCCCCTTTCAGTCGAACCAGAAGGAGTAAAGCTGGTACAACACGAGAAAGGCTTCAAGCAGCTGCTTGTTGGCTGTGGGGAGGAGTGGGAGAGGGGTAGGGGTGGGGGAGGGGGAAGGGGGATTGATACAATTGCTGGTATCACATGAGAAGGCTTCAAGGCTTCAAGGCTTCAAGGTGCTTGATGGCGCTTCTTATTGGCCCCCCCAAGTCCCTCAGCAGCGGTTTTTGAGGCGCCTAAAAAAACTCAAAGAAGGCTTGAAGGCTTCAAGGTGCTTCTTATTGATCCCCAGGTCCCTCAGCAGCGGGCGGTACCCACTCCAGCTCCCTCAGTCGCCCCAGCATGAACTGCCCCACTGTCCCTGGGTTGTTACTCGGTTGTCCCTGGGTTGTTACTCGGTTGTCCCTGGGTTGTTACTCGGTTGTCCCTGGGTTGTTACTCGGTTGTCCCTGGGTTGTCACTCGGTTGTCCCTGGGTTGTCAAGGGACAGCCGTCACAACTCCCCACTTCAAATCCCCCACATGACTCCACAAACAACTCACGGTTCTTAGCATCCATAGCCTCGGCAGTGGCGTTGGCCTGGGCGGCACTGATCCTCAGATCTTTCAGCAACTGGCGGTACCCGTCCAGCTCCTTCAAACGAGCCAGCATGAACTGCCTCACCGCCACCTCCCTGTCCCATTGCTGGTACACCTGCAGGGCTGGACGGGTGAGGGGGGTAGCGGGGAGGCAGGAGTAAGGGAAGTGGGCTGTGCAGCGCAACGTTCATTCAATCCCAGCACAGCCCCTCAGCAGCGGGCGGTACCCGTCCAGCTCCTTGAGTCGAGCCAGCATGAACTGCCTCACCGCCACCTCCCTGTCCCATTGCTGGTACATCTGCAGGGCTGGGGGAGGGAGGATTGGGGTGGTGGGAGAGGGGTGGGGTGCAGGTATCAGGTCCCCCTACCCAAAGTCCCTCAGCAGCGGGCGGTACCCGTCCAATTCCTTGAGTCGCCCCACGTGAACTGCCTCACCGCCACCTCCCTGTCGTATTGTTGATACACCTGCAGAGCTGATGAGGGAGGGACAGAGTGGTGGGGGAGTGAAGAGGGGAGAAGGGGAAAAGCGAGGGAGTAGCGGCACTGGGCTGTGCAGCGTCCATTCCCTCAGCAGTGGGCAGTACCCATCCAGCTCCCTCAGTCACCCCAGTATGAAATGAACTGCCTCACTGCCACCGCCCTGTTGTATTGTTGATAGATCTGCAGGGCTGGTAATTGGGGGAGAGATGAGCTTGGGGGAGGGGGAAGGGGGGAGGGGGGAAGGGGGAGAGAGGGGCAGTAAATGCAGCTTCCTCAGTATGAACTGCCTCACTGCCACCTCCCTGTCGTGCTGCTGGTAGATCTCCAGGGCTGGTGGGCGGGAGGGGGGTAGTGGGGAGGCGGGAGTAGGGGCATTGGGCTGTGCAGCGCCCAATTCTTTGAGTCGCCCCAGCCTGAACTGCCTCACTGCCACCTCCCTGTCGTGCTGCTGATAGATCTGTAGGGCTGGTGGGGGGGGCAGAGGGGAGGGGAAGGAAGTGGTGTTGGTGCCCACTCCAACCTGTACCGGGATGCACCCCTCTGGATCCCTCTGCATGAACTGCCTCACTGCCACCTCCCTGTCGTGCTGCTGGTAGATCTGTAGGGCTGGTGGGGGGTGAGGGACGCGGGGGAAGAGGAGAGGGGAGGGGGAATAGTGGGGGGAAGAAGGGATGAGGGTGGGGAGAGAGGGGGCAGTGGCAGATCCGCAATGACAGAGAGAAAAGACGATCCGCAGCGCCGTCCACTTGACCGCAAGGCACCCATTCAGATCCCTCAGCACTCCTGGAGTTGCTTTTCAGAATTCTGAACTCCTGTAAGTAGCTCACTCCTCTCACTCACCACTTTTCCAGCCCCTAGGCTCGAGTATAACACTCCACCAGCGACCACTTCCCTCCCTGCATTTCACCCCCCTGTCAGAATACCCGTGTGTGAATTATCACTCCAGCTGCTACCCACCTGCATGGAACCTCTTTTCCAGCCCTTGGGCTCGAGAATACATCTCCAAACACTCCACCAGCGGCCCCTTCTCTCCATCCCTCCTCTCCCCGTCCACATCTTTCTTCCCACCTCTCTTCTCCCCTCCATTATCCCCCCCGTTCCCCCCTACTCTCCCCTTATCCCGTTCCCCTTCACCCCTCTCTGCAAGCTTCCTCAGGTCAACAGTGGTAGCCTGCAAGCCCCTTAGCACTGCAGATGCCGCCTCTATGCTGGGTGCTTTGAGAATCGCCTCTGCTGTGGCCTGATCGACCACTGTTGCATGTTTGTCTGCTCGTTCCCTCTCCTCGCTCAGTTGCTGCAGTGGGCAAAGAAATCGGTAGACGTGGGAGAAACAGAGCAAGAAAGCAGCAGGATGAGCAACCTCTGTTGGCTTCAGATGCCGCCTCTATACTGGGTGCTCTCCGAATCGCCTCTGCTGTTGCCTGGTCGACCACTGTTGCCTGGTCGACCACTGTTGCCTGGTCGACCACTGTTGCCTGGTCGACCACTGTTGCCTGGTCGACCACTGTTGCCTGGTCGACCACTGTTGCCTGGTCGACCACTGTTGCCTGGTCGACCACTGTTGCCTGGTCGACCACTGTTGCCTGGTCGAACACTGTTGCCTGGTCGACCACTGTTGCCTGGTCGACCACTGTTGCCTGGTCGAACACTGTTGCCTGTGCCTCTGCTCGATCCCTCTCCTCCTCACTGCTTGGTCAATTGCTGCAGTAGGCAAAGAAATTGGCAGACGAGTGGGTAGACTGCAGAGAGACCATTCACCAAGCCGGCCTTCTTTGCTCACGATTCACCAAGCCTACACGTATGGCTCGAAACCTACCGAGCCTACCTGTATGGCTCGGTCGAGCACGGTGTTGAGGTGTGCTGCATCCCTCTCCAACCGCCTGTCCATGTCCTTAAGCCAACCAGCCGTCTCCCTGTTGTGCTGCTGCAACAGACGCAGCAGGGGGGAACTGGAAAAAAAAGGGAAAAGGGGGGCTCAAGACGGGGGGGCAAACAGTAACAAAAAGTGGGGGCGTATTCTACAACCCCTCTCCAGCCGCCTGCCCATTTGCTCAAGCAAACCAGTTGTCTCCTGGTTGTGCTGCTGCAGCAACAGACGCAGCAAGGGGAGAACTGGAAGTGGATGAGGAGAGCACGGGAGAAGAGAGAAAGAGATGAGTGTATTTTACTGTATTTTCTTCCCGTATCCTCCTTCCTTCCATCCTCATCCCTTGTATAATAACCCTTGCTCCCACTCACCCCAGCCCTGTCCCCCCAATTAACCCCCCCCCCCCCCCCCCCCCCACCGCAATCTCCTCCCCGCCAACCACCTCCCACCCCTACTCCTCACCTCTCACCCCTACTCCTCACCTCTCACCCAAATCCGGATAGAGCGAATTATCATCTGCCACGTCAGCATCGTCCCGTCCCCTGCCCAACTCTGCCCGTGACGGAAATTTCTGGCCCTCAAACTCGCTGTCAAGGGCGATGGAAAGGTCGTCGCGTGCTGACGTGTAAGAAGGTGATTGGACAATGGGGGTAGAGGGTGAGGACGAAAAGGCGGAGGGGAAGAAGGAGGAGTGGATGGGAGAGAGGAGGAAGTGGAGGAAGGCGATGAGGAGGGCAGCGGAAATTCCAACGGCTGTTCTGACAGATGTGCCGCTGGGTAGTGACCTTGGCGGGATGGCACTAATCAGCCTGGTTGAGTCCGGTTGATGTAGGGTTATCCTCGGTAATAACCCTGTTAGAGTGCGAGATACATGGCTGATTATCACAACGAACCAGCTGATTATATGATTGAGCCATGTGCTGCTACCGCCACTATCACTGCTACCACCGCCACCTCTGCCTCCTCCGCCACTGCTGCTGCTGCTGCGGCTGCTGTCACCATTGTTGCTGCTCATACTGCTGCTGCTGCTGCTGCTGCTGTTGCTGTTGCTGTTGCTGCTGATGTTGCTAACGCCGCCGCCGCTGCTGTTGCTAACCTCGCCGCCGCCGCTGCTGCTGCTGCTGGTCTTGACGCTGCTGCTGCTGACATCCCCAGCGGCTGCTCGAGAGGCCCGGGATGGCTCCTTCTCTTTCCGCGGCATCTAGCTCAGAGTGTGATTTCGAAAAAAAACACTCGACATTGAGTTATGAGACGTCTCAAAAGTTGCGTGCGATGCGCGCGTCACGGTTTCGGGTAAATGACTTTTGAGGCGCCAAAATTAAATAAATAAATAAAAAATTGCGCAACATTGCTTCTGTTGCGCGCTTGGACGCGACACGGTTTCGGGTTAGGAGGCGTGTTGTGGCTTTTCATAAGGCGGACGAAAGGAGGGCGTGTTCAAGAACTCTTACACAGGTTATCACTCGCTTGAAGCTAGTATGTTTCAGTTGCGCGGCAATGGAGTGTGTGAGGCGTGTGAACGGCGCAAGCTATCGCTTACTATGGTCGTACTCGCCGTTCGCGATCCCTCCACACACTTTTATGAGAGCCACATTCGCGCAACGGTATATTGTGGAGAGAATGTCGTAAGATGAAAGACGGCGCCAGCTAGAAGTAGTACTGTAACAAGGTTCTGCGTCTGCTTTTATCGGAACTCTTCTTGTTCGGTATACTGCTGACCGGCTCCAGGTACAGTACGTATGGACCCTGGATTCGGCAATTTCGAAGAGCTCGACCCGGAGTCCTCTATTCCTTTTGACTTTTACGAGAAGGGTTACGGAAACCGTTTCACAGCTTCGGTTGTTTTAACTAACTGTACACACCCTCGTTGTGTTGCCGTTGCAGCCGAAAATCTCAAGGCTCGAATTTTCTGGTCTTTTACAATGCAGCAACCATGGCACATGGCCTCATGTACTAGGTTTGCCTTCACTACCCTGGCCAGTTTTCATGGCCGAATCCCTTTCGCCACGTGAATCCCTCAGCCTGTTGCACGTTTTTGTTCCATTTTTCGCTGGGATCGTCAGCGAGCGACAATGTCGTAGTTGTTAACGATCATCCCGATTCGGATCATTCCTGCTCTTTGGAGAAGCGATACGAACCATTTCGTGAAATCTTCCCTTCGATTCGCAAGGATTGACCGTGCACGTGTTTGCTGTTGGTCTAGGGGGGCCTCTGCATCGCGTTTCGGAAAGACTAGATCCGTCGTCACTGCTTGTTTCTGAAAAATATAGCGGCCATTGACAGCCATGCTGCCGAATCGCGCGATCATCGCGTCGCAGTTTTGGAACCATGAGTGCGGCTCGGCGCAGTCGCTCGAAGCGGTGGTCCCCGCTGTCCCCAACGAGCCGCCTTCGACCGGCATTCACCTGGGAAGCGGTATCGCGCGATCACAGCAGCTGCTGCTCCTGCAAAAACTCCTGCCAAGTAACGCTTCTTCCTTTCTAGTAGCCAGGTGACTTTTGAGTCGACTCAAAAGTCACCGCGGAATCGCGCGATCACAGCAGCTGCTGCTCCTGCAAAAACTCCTGCCAAGTACCCCTCCTTTCTCCCGAGCCTTCCTTGCACTTAGCCATTCTCTCTCTAAACCATATTCTCCCCCTTAGCCATTCTCCCTTTTTACCGTTCTCACCCTTTGCCTTCCTTGCACTTAGCGTTTCACCCTCTTAGCCTTCCTCTTCTCCCTCATTCGTTCCGCTAGTTCATTTCCCACTCCCGCAAATCCTACCCGTTGCCCTCCTTGCACTCAGCGGTTGGATTTCCAATCAACCGTTGCACTCCTCCCTTTTTCCCTAACTTTGTGAATCACCCTCTCCTTGCACTTCCCCCCCTCCCCTCCCTCCCCACACCCCCATTCCTATTTATCGTTTACCTCCTATCTGCCGCCCCCACCCTTCCTAGGGTCAGTCGAAAATCGTCTCATTCTCAAGCCGTCATTGCGTCATCTCATTCTCATTCTCTTTCTCCTTCTCCTTTTTTTTCTCTCTCTCCTACATTTTCTCTTTCTCCTCCTCTTTCTCCTTCTCTTTCTCGTTCTCCGTCTCCTTCTCCTTCTCTTCTCTTTCTCTTTCCTCCCCCTAATCGACCTCTCATTCCTCTCTCACACGCCTCCGCCCCGTCCTTTACTCCTCTCTCCTCCCGGGCGGCAGTCCCCTTCACGCCGTCCTATGCTGCTGACGTGGACGATCAAGGCGGATGGGTGGTTGACAGAGTGCTCTCTGGTGTGGGCGGCAGGGACTGGTATGTACAAATAAACCCCACCCAACCCCACATTCTTATGTATCATCTCTTTTTTGTGTATCATAGATCGATTAACACGAAGCGAGCGATTGTTGTATTATTGAGGAGTCTTCTCTTTGGTGTGGGCGGCAGGGACTGGTATGTACAAGCAAACCTTAACTCCGACCCCATGTCTTACCATATCTTGCCAGATTTGATCATATCTTATCGATTCTGGGCATATTTTGCCATACCCTACTAGATTTTGCCATATGATGCCATGCGTTGTATTTCGTCTTGCTGCTATCAGGTGGGCGACATTAGTGGGCGGCTGAGAGTCAACGCATGTGGAGAAAGCATTTCCAGCAGCAGGAAGCAGCAGAAACCTTACTGGCGATAACCCCCATATCTTACCACCTCTTACCATATCCGACCACCTCTTACCGTATCTTACCGTTTCTTACCACGCCATGCTTCACTCCTCTGCCGTCAGGTGGGCGACAGTAATGGGGCGGCTGAGAGTTCAACGCATGTGGAGAAAGAATTTCCAGCAGCAGGCAGCAGCAGAAACAGCAGCAGATGTGACTGGTACTACCACAGGCGGCAGCAGCAGCAGCAGAAGGGCCAAAGCTTGCCCCAGCTCCTCCTCAGGATGGTTCCAGGATCCTTCCATGTACGCGCTCTCGGCTCGTACGCGCGTAGCGCTGGGGAAACAGACTTGGCTAAGCGGCAGTGCTGAGCTAAGCACGCTTGCAGGCCTGGCATCGGCACTCCAGGGCAAGATGATGGGCCAATGGAGGAGGAGGGGTGCACGTGGGAGCAGCAGTGGCAGCGGTAGTGCTTCAGGGAATGAGGCAGAGAGGGAAGGAGGAAATGTGACAGGGAGTGAGGAGGGGGATGGGGAGGGCGGAGGAGAGGCTTCGGGTTTCAGAGGCTTTGTCTCGCTGCGTCATAAGGTACACATGGCTATTGTAGTGGCTAAGCTGACGTTTTTTAGTAGGCTAAGAAATCGACTCGTTACACGCGGTTTCTACATTCAGAGGCTTTGTCTCGTCTCGCTACGTCATAAGGTACACATGGTTCTTGTAGTGGTTAAGATGACTTTTAACTCGACTTAATGGTGGCTACTGATAGTCCGATGGTTCTTTGGTTTAGTCGACTCAAAGCCCGGACAAAGGACCACGATCTGAGAGCCAGAGCAGGGTGGGGCGAGCAGTGTGTGGGCTGCTACTGGCCGGTACTGGCCACTACTGGCCGCTACTGGCCGCTACTGGCCGGTACTGGCCGGTACTGGCCGCTTTTGGAAATCCTGTGGAGCGTTCTTTTGCCTGCCTTCCCTCTCCCTGCTGTGCTCCCATCCCCACGTTTCCAGATGAAGGGTCAAGATTTGACCGCCCGAGCGGGGTGGGGCGAGCAGTGTGTGGACCGTGCTGGCCGCTACTGGACGCTCGTCAGTCGACTCAATCCAAACGCCTTCATTTTCCCTCTCACTTCCATGCAGATGAAGGGCCACGATTTGATAGCCCATGCGGGGTGGGGCGAGCAGTGTGTGGACCGTGCTGGCCGCTACTGGACGCGCTCACAATCAGAGCCTTCTCTTGCCTACCTTCTCTCCTTCCTTCTCCCTCCCGCGGTCTCAATCCCACCCGTCCTCACCAGATGAAGGGTCACGATTTGATTGCCCGAGCAGGGTGGGGAGAGCAGTGTGTCGACCGCTCTGGCCGCTCCTGGACCCGTTTAGAATACGTGTTGAACCTTCTTTTGCCTCCGTTTCTTTTCCCTGTGTGCTCCCACCCACTATTGTGCCTCCAGATGAAGGGTCACGATTTGATTGCGCGAGCAGGGTGGGGCGAGCAGTGTGTGGACCGCGCTGGCCGCTACTGGACGCTGCCCCGTGCGCTCTCCCTTGACTTCGCCTCCCTCGTCACAAGAGAAGGGCTGCGCTACCGCTTTGGCCTGCAGCACGTTGGCGGGAAGCCGGAGGTAAGGCTTCTCTTATCTCTTGGAATTGTCCTTTTTGTCCTCACTTTCCTGATTGGAGGGAAGCCGGACGTGAGACGAGAAGGTCTGCTGCCGGAGGTGAGACGAGAAGGTCTGCTGCCGGAGGTGAGACGAGAAGGTCTGCTGCCGGAGGTGAGACGAGAAGGTCTGCTACTTGGCTCGCCTAAGCTACTGGACGCTGCCCCGTGCTCAGCCTTCCCCCTCTCCCTTGACTTCGCCTCACTCGTCACAAGAGAAGGGCTGCGCTACCGCTTTGGACTCAAAACACGTTGGAGGGAAGGTAGAGGTGAGGATCTGTTTTCCATCGTTGTCCGAATTGCGGTGCTGCTTGGCTTGCAAGTGACGCTTTGCCGCACCTGAGCAAGCCTCTTCCATCTCTCCCTGCCCGCCCACATCTCAAAAATCTCCCATCTCCCCCTACCCGCCCACGCCCCATGCTCGCGCACAGGAGAGTGCAAGGCCAGGGCACGGGGCGGCGTTGGTGGTGCCGTGGGGGGCAAGGGCAGGCACGCGGGCACAGGCAGGCATGTCGCTGGAGGGGAAGGTGACCGTGTGGAAGGACCGATGTGAGAAGAGATGGCAACAAAAGGAAGCCTTGAGAGCACCTGCTTGGCTGTCTCTCTCCCTCAAATCTCTCTCAATCCCCCGTCTCTCCCACTTCTACGTATCTCTCTATCCCCCTCCACACCCCATGCGTGTGTGCAGGAAAGTGCAAGGGGCGGACATGGGGAGGCGAGGGTGGTGCCGTGGGGGGCAAGGGCGGGCACGCGGGCACAGGCAGGCATGTCGCTGGAGGGAAAGTCTTTGACACGGGGACCGTTGTGAGAAGAGGCGGCGACAGAAAGAAGCCTTTAGAGCACCTGCCTGACCCTCTCACTCCCCATCGCACTCTCCCTCTCCCCCGTCTCTCCCTGCTCCTCCGTCTCTCCCTCTCCCAGGAGAATGCAAGGCCAGGCCACGGGGCGGTGAGGGTGGTTCCCTGGGGGGCGAGGGCAGGCACGCGGGCACAGGCAGGCATGTCGCTGGAGGGGAAGGTGACTGTGCTCTCTCTCTCTCTCTGCGACTCTCTCCCATGCGTGCAGGAGAATGCAAGGGCAGGCCACGGGGTGGTGAGGGTGGTGCCATGGGGAGCAAAGGCAGGCACGCGGGCACAGGCAGGCATATCGCTGGAGGGGAAGGTGACTGTGCTCTCTCTCTCTCTCTGCGACTCTCTCCCATGCGTGCAGGAGAATGCAAGGGCAGGCCACGGGGTGGTGAGGGTGGTGCCATGGGGAGCAAAGGCAGGCACGCGGGCACAGGCAGGCATGTCGCTGGAGGGGAAGGTGACTGTGCTCTCTCTCTCTCTCTGCGACTCTCTCCCATGCGTGCAGGAGAATGCAAGGGCAGGCCACGGGGTGGTGAGGGTGGTGCCATGGGGAGCAAAGGCAGGCACGCGGGCACAGGCAGGCATGTCGCTGGAGGGGAAGGTGACTGTGCTCTCTCTCTCTCTCTGCGACTCTCTCCCATGCGTGCAGGAGAATGCAAGGACAGGCCACAAGGTGGTGAGGGTGGTGCCATGGGGAGCAAAGGCAGGCACGCGGGCACAGGCAGGCATGTCGCTGGAGGGGAAGGTCACTGTGTGGAAGGACCGATGCGAGAAGAGGCGGCGACAGAAAGAAGCTGCCAAAGCTGCCTCCTCCTTGCCGTCCTCTTCCTCTTCCTCCGCCTCCTCTTCCTCCTCGTCCTCGTCGTTATCAGCAGCAATATCGAATGCATTGTTCCCATCCGCGTCCTCCTCCTCCTCATCCTCCTCCTCCTCTTCTTCCTCCACCTCATCCTCCTCCCATTCTCTTCCTCCACCTTCCTCTACTCCCTCTTACAACTGGCTGGCAGCGCGTCCGCGCATCACCCTCTCAGCTGTGCTCGGTGAGTCTCACCTTCGTTGCTCCTGAGCCACCTCAAGTTGCTGTCTCAGGTGCCTCCAAAACGTTTCCGCGTTTTCGGACACTTCTCTTTCCACTCCTACAACTGGCTGGCAGCGCGTCCGCGCATCACCCTCTCAGCCGTGCTCGGTGAGTTTGTTCTTGGGTTGACTCAGAATTCCGTGCTGTTGAATTGTTGCCTCTACCCCCTCTTCTCTCTACTCTTCTCCCTCTTCCTCTCTTCCTACCCCGTCCTACAACTGGCTGGCAGCGCGTCCGCGCATCACCCTCTCAGCCGTGCTCGGTGAGTCTCACTTCTGTAGTGGCCCTGCAAGTCACTGTCCCAGGTTCCTCCAAACCGTAATGCTGTTATATTTTTTCTCGACTCCTTCTCCTCATGGATTCTCCTCTGTTCTTTACCCGCTCCGAGCTTCTGGTGTTTCCTTTCTTTCTTTCGTTTCTTTTTTTCTTGTGCTGCACAATTTCTATGTATGCTCACACGCACGCATACACACACGCATGCATGCTCCCCACCCACCCCCTCCACTTTCTCTCCTGCAGGAGGTTTGGCTTCCACCGAGATCTCAACTACCACCACCAACACCACTACAACCGCAGCACCCACAGCACTGGAAACAAGTCAGATTCAGGCATCTAGTTCAGGGGTAAACGGAGCAGGGATAAGAGGGGCGGAGGAAGCAAAGGGTTCTCTCCGCCTCTCCTCTCTCCGGCCCTCCACTCTTCAGCTCTCCTCGCTCTCCACCGATCTCTTTGCATCGGTGGCGGTAACCGCACAGCTCGGCATGTTTGAGCGCGCTCTTTTCGACCACACTCTCTTCAACGCCACGCTCACCTGTGGCTCCCTCTCCGCTGCCGGCTACAACCTCTCCCAACCCGCGTCCGCCACGTCAACGCCGGCGCCGGATGCCACGTCAGCGGTGGCGTCAGATGCCACGTCAGCAGGCTGGCGGAGAGAGGAGCGGGGTGCGCCAACGCTCTCGCTGTCGTTTCAACAACAGGTGCGTGTGACTGAACCGAGTGTGGCCTTAACACGCAATGAGAAATATTAACAAATCTTGTTGCCTGTCTTTTACCATCTGAGCCGGCTCCTTGACTTCCCCCCTGCCTGGTTTTTCGAGTCCTGTTACACGGCATCAATGGCATCCCTTCTCCCCAGTCAATCCTCTCCCCCCAATCCCCCTCTCCCCCTCTAACTCCATCCTCCTCTCCCCGCTCCTTCCTCCCCCCACTTGCCCTCCCTCCTCTGCAGATTTTCGGGCCATTGAGGGATTGCTGGGATGCATTCATAGATGCCAAGGCCCTTTTCGCTGCACTCCACTTGCTCCACTCAGCCTGCTCCCTCCACCTCACCAACTGCCCCCCTTCTCTCTCGTCCCCCCTCTCCTTCCTCTCTCCTCTCTCCTCTTTTCATGCTTTCCCCCCACTCACCCCTCTTCCCCTCCCCCCCTTCCCCACCACGTGCAGATCTTTGGCCCAGTGAGGGGTCGCTGGGACGCATGCCTGGGTGTTGATGCCAAGGCCCCCCTTGCTGTTCCCACCTTGCTTGATTCAACCTACGCCCTCGATTGCTTCCCTCCCCCCCCCCTCACTTGCAGATCTTTGGCCCAGTGAGGGGTCGCTGGGATGCATGCATGGGTGTGGATGCCAAGACCCCTCTCACTGCTCCCACTTTGCTCGACTCAACCTACGCCCTCGATTGCTCGCTGGAGAGGCTCGGAGCTGCCAGGCTCGTCGTCTGGTATTCCCCAACCAGACGGGAAGGCATGGCGGAGGTTCGGTTGCTGGACCGGTAGTAGATGCTATGACCTATGAACCTCGGTGGGTACGGTATGTCCTCTACACTACACTACACTACACTACACTGCTTCTGCTGCTGAGGTTCTCGGGCAGTGCATGCAGCCAGTGAAGCTTGCTGCAGGTTTTTCCAGTTGTTGAGGTATGGTACTCTGCCCAACTCAAGTCTTCGTATGTATGGTACTACTACCATAAATTTGCTTTTCCCATTTGCCTGACCTACAGGTATGTGCCTGATGCTATAGATGGCAGATATGTAGGGAACTGAGTATAGGATATCTTCACTAAGTTAGACTAGCCAATGGTAATCCATTCGAAGCGTTTGAATGAAGAGGAGTACGGTACAATGTCGTGAATTAATTGCAGTAGTTCCACTTCACTCCACCTCACTACCCTAATTCTATGCCTTTTCAGTGTAGCATCCCGAGCATTAATCTTCTATCAAACTATACTGTCACTAGCTCGTCTGACAGACACGATGATACATACAACCTCACAAATGGTTTCCCCCTAGTTCCAGGACATTAGCCTGGACGGCATTTCCACTAAAAGAACTGTCGCACAAGAACTCCAAACCAAAGATTGTGACTAATGAATTGCGACCCTGTAAGGTCACGCTACCTAACAGGCACCTGCATCACAAGTCATGCGCCTTCATCCGCTGCACATACCACGAGTCTCCATCCTCGTCACATCATCTTCAGGTTTTCCTCTTTGTCGTCCCAATCCGTCTTGCATGGCTCTCTCAAACCTGCATCACATGCTTCCCAGATCCTCCTCAGTGCCACACGCCAGCCAGTCAGAGTGGGTCAGTCAGTCAATGGACATGAGCTGGCGGAAGGACTGGCTGTTCATCTCAACGTCTGTCAGCCCAGCATGGCCGTTCAGGATGTCTCTGCGACTCAACCCGTGCATCTGCGACTCCCGCATCATCGCCACAAACTCGTTATAGTCTATTGTGCCGTCCTGCATTGGACAGACAAGTGAGCGGGGTGGGTGCAACGGGGGTGGGGGGGAAGAGAGGAGAAAGGAGAGATAGAGAATGTGCTTATCATTGCGTCTGCGCCTTGAACACCATTGCTGCACACTCGTTGTGGTCTACCGTGGCAATTTGCAAGGCGCCTGAAAGGTCTACTGCACTATCCTGCAACAGCAGAAAAGTGGGGGTGGAAGGGAAGAAAGATACGGAAAATAGTTCTCTGAGCACAAAATCACCAGCACTGCACCCTGAGCACTGAAGCATATCAATGTTTTTTGTTGTTGTTGTTTTTTTTTTTTTTTACTATTGATTTAGTTGTTGCGTCTCCATCTTACCCCCATCTTCAGCAACTCACATTGTTCTCGTCCACCTCTCGCATCATGGCCTCAATCTCCTTGCGGCTCATCTTGATGTTTCTCTACTCCCATCACCATGGCCAGCCCAGACCCATCCCCAGACCCATCCCCAGACCCATTCCCAGACCCATCCCCACACACCCATCAACTCACATTGTTCTCGTCCACCTCTCGCATCATGGCCTCAATCTCCTTGCGGCTCATCTTGAGCTCCTCACACGCCTTTTGTAGCTCGTCCAGGGTGATGCTGCCGCTGCCATCACGGTCAAAGAACGCAAAGGCGCGCAGCAGGTGCTCCTGCTGGTCCAGCTTGCTCAGATGCATCGTGGCGGCGAGAAATTCTCCATATTCGATCTCTCCACTCTGGTCTATGTCCGTCTGCTCATGAAGAGAGGCAAGACGGGGGGGGCATGGGGGGAAGTGCGGAGGAGCAGGGGAAGGGGGAGGGGAAAGTGGGAGGACGGGGTAAAGGGAGAGCGTATGGGGGTTCGATTTGAGAGAGTGGGGGAGATGATGTGTGTGCAGAGTGCATCTCGGTCAAAGAACTCAAAGGCGCGCAGCAGGTGCTCCTGCTGGTCCAGCTTGCTCAGATGCATCGTGGCCGCGAGAAATTCTCCATATTCGATCTCTCCACTCTGGTCTATGTCCGTCTGCTCATGAAGAGAGGCAAGACGGGTGGGGCATGGGGGGAAGTGCGGAGGAGCAGGGGAAGGGGGAGGGGACAGTGGGAGGACGGGGTAAAGGGAGAGCGTATGGGGGTTCGATTTGAGAGAGTGGGGGAGATGATGTGTGTGCAGAGTGCATCTCGGTCAAAGAACTCAAAGGCGCGCAGCAGGTGCTCCTGCTGGTCCAGCTTGCTCGGATGCATCGTGGCCGCCAGGAACTCTCCATATTCGATCTCTCCACTCTGGTCTATGTCCGTCTGCTCATAACCGGGGGGGAAGGGGAGAAGAGGGACGGGTTGAAAAAAGAGGAGGAGCAGGAGGGAGGAGGTGGGGGAGTGGGGGGAGAGAGAGTGGATGCGGAACAACGGGGAGTGCGTGGGGAATCGTATTGAGACAGCAGAGCATCCACCCACCTCTTCCATGAGCTTGTTGATCTATAGGTCGCTCAGCTGTGCTCCGAATTTCCTCAGTCTCGTGCGAAGCTTCTCCCACTGTGATGGCGCCGCTGCCTTTGAGGCGCTGTAGCAATGATATACATGGTGCCTCCGACATGCGTTAGCGTGAGACAGCAAGCAAAGGGCCCACCTCTTCCATGAGCTTGTTGATCTCTAGGTCGCTCAGCTGTGCTCCGAATTTCCTCAGTCCCGCTCGAAGCTCCTCCACTGTGATGGTGCCGCTGCGGTCCGTGTCCATGACTTGAAACATCTCCCTCAAGCCGCGAATCTCCTCCTCCCGCAAGGATTCGGCAATGACCTGCAGAGGACGGTAGCGAGGTGGGGGGGAAGACACAAGCACATCATGGTGCCGCTGCGGTCTGTGTCCATCACTTGAAACATCTCCCTCAGCCCACGAATCTCCTCCTCCCTCAAGGACTCTGCAATGACCTGCAAGGTCCAAGGCAAGGCAGTAGCAGAGAGAATGAGAGCACAGCCGCGCCACTCCACTGTGATGGTGCCGCTGCGGTCCGTGTCCAGTCCATGGCCTGAAACATCTCCCTCAGCCCACGGATCTCCTCCTCCCTCAAAGACTCTGCGCTCACCTGTAAAGGAGAACGAAGGAGGAGGTGGGGGGTGGGGGATGGGGGTAGGGGACGCCGCACGCATAAACACATGATGGTATGAGTCGTGTTTTGAGTCATAAACTCAAAACACGATGGGGGCAGGGGATGCCGCACACATAAACACACGATGGTATGGCCTGGCGTGGCTTGATTGATTGAACCTTCTCCTGCCATCAACTGCAGTCACCTGCCGGGATAAGACTTGAAACCCATCCTCCATGGCTTGAAACATCTCCCTCCGCGAATCCCCTCCTCCCTCAGGGACTCTGCAATGACCTGCAGAGGATGAGAAAGCAGCTGGGGGGTGGGTGATACAAATGCTCGGTCTGTCCGTGTCCATGTCTTGAAAAATCTCCCTGGGCCCACGGACCTCCTCCTCTCTCAGGGACTCTGCGATCACCTGCAGAGGATGGGGAAGCAGGTGGGGGGTGGGGCGGGGGGGTGAGGAGGTGGGGGTACACAAAAGGCATGATGGCGTGCTGAGTCGGTCCGTGTCCATGGCCTGAAACATCTCCCTCAGCCCGCGAATCTCCTCCTCCCTCAGGGATTCGGCAATGACTTAGGGATGGCCTGAAACATCTACTGCTTCAGCCGTGTCGGCAACCCAGCGACGCCACCGCGAACCATGTCACTCTGAAAAAATACCAGATGTTGAACTTCTGAGACGCCTAGAAACTGCATCACCACACCACGCATACCTTCATGGCCATCCTCTTCATCTTGACCATGGATGTGAACTGCTTCAGCCGCGTCAGCACCACCGGAGGCAGAGGCTCCACATACGACAGGCCCTCTGAGAGCCACGGATGGCCTGTGAGGTGGGAGGAAAGGTAACACACAAGCGAGGGGGAGGTGGGAGAGGGGTGGGGGAGGTAAGGCCTCCATGTAGTCAGCAGCACAGCACCACGAGAAACAGAGGCTGAAAGTACAGCCAGCCAAGCCTCTGATAACCACGGATGGCCTGATGCAGGAGGAGGGGACACAAGTTGGGGGGAGGTGGGGAAGATGGGTTGCAAAATGTGAAAGGAAATTCCAATATTGAAGGGGGTTGCATGCAGCGCGGCCTAAAACATCTCCTTGCTGGGGTGGACTTGGATTCCTGCATCGGGTTTGAGGGCTTTGGATTTGGACCGGTTCGGTTGGATTTGAAGTCTCCAGAGGAGCCACTCGCATAAAAAGGCATTACACCCACAGAGCACTTGGTGAGCGGTGGGGCGCTTGGAGGGGTCAGGGTTGAGCATGGACTTCACGAGCTCCTTGGCATGGTCCGAGATGGACGGCCACGGTGCAATGGCAAACGTGGGGTTGCCTTGATACATTGAAACTATTTTTTTGCAAACACTCAAAAGGATTTTCCGATATTGAAGGACGCGGGGTTGCCACGCAGCGCGGCCTAAAACATCTGATTCCTGGGGTACATAGATCCCTGCATGGGTTTTGAGGGTTTTAGAGGAGTCCCAAGAGGAGCCACTCACAGAGCACTTGGTGCGCGGTGGGGCGCTTGGAGGGGTCGGGGTTGAGCATGGACTTGACGAGCTCCTTGGCATGGTCCGAGGGGATGCTTTGCAACGCCGCCTAAAGCACCTCCTTGCTGGAGCTACGCCCTGCATGGGTTTCAAAGGCCGAGTGAAGTCTAAGAGCAGTGCGAGCACTCACAGAGCACTTGGTGCGCGGTGGGGCGCTTGGAGGGGTCAGGGTTGAGCATGGACTTGACGAGCTCCTTGGCATGGTCCGAGATGGACGGCCATGGGGCAATGGCAAACGTCGGGTTGCCTCGCAGTACCGCCTTGAATATCTCCTTGGTGGAATGGCTCCCTGCATGGCCGTGGTTACAAACAAGATTGTTGGCAAAAACATCAAAGAAAAGGGAAAAAAGAAGGAAGTGAGGACCAGGGATGGATGGCAAACGTCGGGTTGCCTCGCAGTACCGCCTTGAATATCTACTTCATGGAATGGCTCCCTGCATGGTCAAAGTGGGAATGTTTGTGGAAACGGGAAAACAAAGGGCAAAAAGACAAGAATAATGACGACCAGGCAGGGAGGGATGGCGAGCAGGTGCCTCGCAGCATGGCCTTGAATATCTCCTTGGTGGAGTAGCTCCCTGAATGGACGAAGTGGAAATGTTATTGAAACAAAGAAGGAGCCTGAGACGGAGGAGAAAGGTATGATGCATACCATGATAATACTATCTGATCTGTACTCGTTGCATCAATAAAAGGACCATTCGAGGAGAAAGGCGAAAGGAATAAAGCTGGAAGTGAGAAAGGTGGGTGGACCAGACCATCACACGAGCGAAAGCCAGAGCACCGGCCTCAGTATTAGAGACAGGAACGTGGGGAACCGCAACACATTCGATAAATACCTCACAACCCAATGTCAAGACTCAAGACCAATTGCCATGGAGCATTGAGACATCTCGAAACGACGAAACCGAATGTTAAGAAGTCTTGGAAGTCCAGAATGATTGCAAAAGGCAGTGGAAGAGGGCGCGTACGGTGGTAGAAGGGCGGGAAGCCACAGAGAAGAGCGTAGATGATGACGCCTGCGCTCCACACGTCCACCTCCGGGCCATACTTGGGCGGCCGCTTGGCCATTAGGAACGCCCCTGGCCGCCACTTGATGACCTCCGGTGCCATGTACATGGGGCTGCCACAGTGCCGCGACATGCCTTCTCCTGGAAGAAGGGCGTGGGGAGAATGGGGAAAGAGGGTGTGGGAAGTGGAATGGGGTCATAGCATCCATCCTGGCCGCCACTTGATGACCTCTGGCGCCATGTACATGGGGCTGCCATGGTGCCGCGACATGCCCTCGCCTGGGAAACGGGCGTGGGGAAGGGGGGGAAGGGAATCGGGGGTCAGCTGGGGTGAGGAGAGCTAGGGTGAAGAGAGCTGGGGTGTGCTGGTGTGGAAGGAAAACCGGCGGATGGTGAGGAGAGGCGAGTAGCGATTAACGGGGAGTTGGGGGAAGGCGAACAAGGGATTGGGTGGGTGGGGGGGAGGAGATGGGGGGGTTTTGGAGGTGATGGACGCGGGATTGTTGTGGGGAGGCGAACAAGGAGTTGTTGTGGGGGGGGAGGGGGGTGGAAGATGGGGGGTTGGGGGGGCGAACGGGTTACGGGGGGTTGTTGTGGGGAGGCAAAAGGGGGATTTGGTTTCTTAAGCGAGCACCCACCCACCTTTATAGAAGCAAGAGAGGCCAAAATCCGTGGCCTTGAGCTCAGCCGTGGCCTCGTCCCGGCTGGAGAGAAGGAAGTTCTCAGGCTTGAGGTCCCGGTGCACGACGCCCAGCGAGTGACAGCACTCCACCACTCGCACTATCACCTTCGCCATCTCTGCTGCGTCTTTCTCCCTGTGGCGCGTGGCGGAGCAGAGGGCAAGGACGAGGAGGGATGAAGAACAAGCTCGCATCAGAAGGTATGCACCCACCACGCCACCACCAGTTGCACTGCTACCTTTGCGTCTCTAACAGAGAGAGCAGGCACGAGATTTCAGCTTCTGGAGAGGCATTGCAACGTGGTAAGAGAAGAGACCTTACTTCCTTGTAGGTCTGCATGCATGAACTTCCCTTCCACTCACACGAGTATTCTAGTGCAGGAAAGGCCCACCCAGATCAGACCCGCATGGGTACTCACGAGTAAGGCACTCCTCTGGCCTCTATCCTCTTTATAATCGTGTCGTACAGCTCTCCTCCCGTGCACAGCTCCATCACAATGTACACGTGATCCTTGTCTTCATACGCATCCTTGATGTTCACAATGTTAGGTTGATTCTGGATCCCAAAAAGGAGCACAGAAAAGCAACACGAGAAGAATCGTCGAGTTAAAGCCTGATAGAACTCGTTATCAGGAAACAGCAACACACTGTTGCCTGATAGACATCACTTCTGGTTGTGAAGAATCTAAAACTGGAACATTGACGTGCATATCAAGCACACAGGCAGGTGATGACGGGGCAGAAAAACACCCACGCACCTGCACGTGGTACAGTATTGCTACTTCTCTCCTGACATCCTCCACGTCTCCCTCCGTCAGCAGCTCTCTTTTGAGAATTCTTAAAAGTGCCACCCACGCACCTGCACGTGGTACAGTATTGCTACTTCTCTCCTGACATCCTCCACGTCTCCCTCCGTCAGCAGCTTGCTCTTGGGAATGCACTTGCATGCGTACGCCTGTCCTGTGGCCCGCTCCACGCACACATAGGTTGTGCCGAACTGCCCCGAGCCCAGCTTCTTCCCCATGTCAAACACATCCGGGAAGGATGCTGCGTGGAGATTGGGAAAATTGATGGACGGGTTGGGTTGATTGAAGGACGTTGATGGATGCAGGGACCATGAATCCGAAGCAGACGCACAAATGACATGGATGTGCAAGAAAGAACGGGATCTGATCCTCAACCCTAATCAAACCAGGTACCTAAAAGGCCATCTGATACGTTGTAAAGAGGGCGCGACACAATGCACTGGGATCGACTCCTGGGTTGAGCAAGGACAGCAGGGACTTGGTACCTGGGTTCGTGGTGGAGAGTACCCTCCCAGTGAAATGGCGTCTCCGGCCCTGCCACGACAGTAAACGATGGGAAGAACTGAGTTAGCAAAAAAACCAAGGTTCAAAAGGGAGCACGACAACAATCATTCGAATGTTCATATCTTCCTTCTGTGTTAGCAGGAGAACCATGCAGAGCTACCCTCACGCCTTTATTCGGTAGTAAGAGAGCATTAGGAGCCTATCGAAAGTGAGAAAGGGGCGCGATTCAACTAAAACAATGTCGCGCAAACAAAAGAAAAAACGGAAAGGAAAGAGAAGAAAATGAAGGAAAGGGGTGAAAAAATACGAAATAGACGGAAGGCCATCCAAATGACACAGTTGAACGAGATTGAGGCTCACCGCATCCATTCGGAGGCCTTGTCAGACGCTCAAAATCGAAGCTGATCAGCTATAGGGAAGTCTTATTGGCACGATTCTGGAAATGCCACAGAATATAAGTAGTACGCAGTTGCTAACGCTAGAAAGTGCCGTCCAGCATCACCTCGAGTATAAATGAAGGAAACTGCTAACGCGGCTGTAACAGCTGATTAAAAAAAGTGTACGACGGAATAGCGATGACTGCACAGGTGGGGAAAAATATTGAATACGTCCAGGAACCTAGACTAGTCAGCTATTCTGACGACATTTGGGAAATGACCACCTGCACATAGTAGTTGCTGTTGGACTAGCTAGCACATCATTTCTGCCAAGCACTGTGTACTGAGAAAAGTAGGGTTCGTGGCAACTTGAAACACTGATGAAAAATGTGCGGTGAGAAACCTGTAGAGAGGAGGTGTAACCTTTGTGTTCCATTGGTCAAGGCTCGTTGTGGGAACGCATAAACGATCGCCTCTGGTACTTTTGGATTGTGGCGATGGCCAGATGGCCAAATCGACGATAGAGTGCAGGAGAAAGGGCTCTTCTATCACTGGACCTGACATGCCTCGGAATGTGGGGTGATTCGCAACTGTAGAAGTGTTACTATTACGTACGTTAGAGTGGTAACTGATGTGGTGACACTCAAAGTGCAATCAGTCACGTGACTGTACAAGGTCTTCGGGTAGAGAGTGTATATTGGGGGGTGCTGGAGCCTACAGAAGGGGTACTACAGCTGATGCTCACCTAATCCCATTGCATTTGCCCGGCCCGTTTTCAAACGTGCATTTGAGCACGGGCAACGGCCCTTCATGTACAGTGTCAATCAGTAGATCTTAGCCGTAGATCGAACTGTTTATCACGCTGTCAGCCGTCCCTTCGCCAGATATTTTCAAATTGTTACATGGTTTTTCGCTACCCTGTCCACTTGCCCCTTACAGTCCCATTTTTTTCCCGTGGCGACGTAGGCGAGGTAGGCGAAGTGCATGTGCTCAATCCCGGCCCTTTGATAAGGCGAAGTTGGCGTTCTTCTAATGGGAATCAGCTGTACTCGCGTGTGCGAGGAAGATGCGGCTGTTCCACAATCGAAAAGGCGAAGTAGCCAAGGAAACAGCAACTGGGTTGGATGGGAGGTTGCGAAAGATGCGGCGGTGTGATGGCAGAGGCCTCAACTTTAAAGCCCGAGTCCAAAGTTGCACAAGAATAGTAATCTTGATGGCAGTGCACATGGGCTGGCAAGGTGTTTCTAGCACTTACGTCTTCTTCTTAGGACGCGTTGAAAGTAAGAATATCGCAGGATCGCGCGTGTATATCGATCCGCAGAATTGATTGGGCGGATCGTTTGGCGAAACGATGCGCCCACGCAGTTGTAACGATCGCCCCTGCATGATGGGTTGGATGTTACAGAATCAAGATTTCGGTTTTGCCTGCGACACCGTCTAAGAAAAACCCCCTTCGCCCAACTACACATGAGACATTCGCAACCAACAGGGCAACCAGCTTGAAATTCCGCGAAATGCCAGAATTATGCGTGTCTACGTTATCGCTATGCGAAATTTCAGCACTTCGCAGGCATCAGCATCAATCGTGCGGTTGTGATCGGTTCGTGCACATCATCTGCGCATTGATGCTGCGGAAAGTTCTACAACGATCAGTGATCAGTCGCATTCACTTACCGTGCACAAAAATTGGACAAAAACCTTAATGTAGTATGGTTACACAGTAGAAAACAGGGTAACTAATCCGCATACCGATCGCAACTGATGATCGATCGTCTACTTTCACCGTGTCCTGGGCTTGTGTTTGTGTTGAAGTCCCATATTGCTGAACACGGTTCTTCAAGTTGAGTATCGGGACTCGTATGTAATTGTAGAAAGTGGCGCAGGGCAACACCTGGGTCATCAAGATTAGTAATCTTGATGCCCACGGCTTGCAATTTGGGACTCGGGTTTTAACATCAGCGTTTCCATTAGCAACACAGTATTGTGCATTTCAAAACTCTTTTCAAAGCTGATATTTTGTAGCGAGGTATTCTGGGGCGAGTACATCACAGCTCTAATATTTCTTTGTTGGTCTTGGTTCTTAGGTCGTCCTAATCACCCGCAGCAAATTTCACCTTGTTCCACTCTCGCCAGCGCGCCTTAGGTCGTCCTAATAATGCTCCAACTTGAATCTATCGTTATTTTTGCTCTCGTTGTTTTGCTTCATGGAAGCTGCATGGCAGCGGTTAGTAGACTGCGTTTTCGCGTGTCTAGGTGGAATTCTCTACGTGAAGTAACATAACGAGTGCTTGCAGGCGTACGATGGTAATATAATGAAATCTTCAATCTTGAGCAAATATGTCGCTAACGCTCAACGGTCAGCTGAGTTAAGGGTAAGCATAATTTCTTTCTGCGTGCTGTTTCACCTGCACAGCTCACCTCATCCTTCCGCAGGAGCGCTTACTAGATTATTCCCCTCCAGGAGAAACGACTGTAAAAAAATGTGGCAGACGTTTTCATGACCTAATTCATAGGCTACGTGAGTGTTTGTTTTTTCTATCGTTACTACTATGCCATACGGAATCTCCTCATTTGCCTTTTGCAGCTCCCTACAAGCCGACTGGTTCATTCCTTGTCACCGTTTGCAATGGCGGTCTCAATCAGCAGCGGGGAGCAATTGTCAATGCCGTTGTCCTAGCACGATTTCTAAATTTGACACTTGTTGTGCCATTCTTGAAAGCCCACCCTGTCTGGGGAGATAGCAGGTGATTTTTCTGCTTAATCATTCAGATTTATCTCCTGACCGTCATCCATGGGTCAATAACAGTTGAATCAACAGCTCGTTTCAAGATTTATTCAACCTGACGCATTTTGAGTCGGTGATGAAAGGCTTCGTCAAAGTGGTTACAACCATCCCTGAAGAGGCAAAACAACTTCCCATTCATGAATTCAGACCTCCTGAAGATGCTCTGGCAACGTTGGATTGGTAGGGTGTAAGATTTGTTGAATGCCTGTGCCAGCATTCGTGTAATTTCTCCTGAGCACAGGTACGTGGAGAACGTTAAGCCTTCAGCCCAAAACAGCAGCATTGTTCTACTAAGTCCCTTCGCACGGCGCCTTGGAAACGTTCTTCCAGAATCGTGGCAGCTATTCCGGTGCAAGGTCAACTATGAGGTGCGCTTGTTCTGTTCTGTGCCTTGTACTGGGCTTAAATGATTGCGCTTGTAACATTTGATCTGTAACAGGGCCTCAGATTCGTGAATTCAATTCTTGTACTGGGAAGAAAGGTCATACGGAGAATGAAGAAGATGTCATCCAACTTCGTGTCATTGCATTGGAGGTTCGAGACTGATGCTGTTGCCTATTCAATGTGTGAATTCGGAGGTGGTGAGAAGGAAAAGCTGGCTCTAGAGGTATGGAACTATTGTCCTATACCCAGTCTATAATCTTTCTGCCCAGTCTAAAATCTTTCTGCTTGCTGAGATCTCATCTATTGTTGGCAGGATTACCGAGTAGAGCACTGGGACAGAGCAACAAGGAAGCTTCGTGAAGCACTAAATCCTGCTAGCCAGCGTGTACTTGGTCAGTGTCCAATGAGTGCCATCGAGACGGGCATTTTTATGCGAGCAATGGGAGTTCGCAAAAGCTCAGCCATCTACGTCGCCACATTAGAGGGACAGCTTTTTGGTGGTAATTATAGCCTTCAGTCTCTGCGATCCATGTTCCCAAATGCTCTGACCAAACGGGACATTCTGACACGGGTACGAGTACTAACAAGGCACACCATGCCACCAGTGTCCACGCTATTGCTGTGATCACCTCTAATTTACATTGTATATGCAGGAAGAACTTGGTCCGTTGGAGGGGAGGGCATCTGCACTAGCAGCTATTGATTACATAGTCTCCACAGAAAGTGGCATCTTCATTCCAACCGCGACGGGAAATTTTCCAAATTTTGTTATTGGGAACAGGTGATGTGTATGCTCACTCATTATGCCGCTGCCTTGTGTTGCTGTGACCCTTCTGACTTGTGGAAAGTACAGGCTTTACTATGGCCGGAGGAGTGTACAACCGGACTTGAAAAAACTGGCATCCTTATACTCATGCCACCACATGTCCAAGGAGCGTGAGTTGCTTGAGCTCGTCAGAGCTGTCCATGAGGACCGCTTTATTTACCACGGGAGGTCAGCAACAAGCAACTTCTTTGCAAACCCAGAAGAGTGCCTATGCCCACCCTGAATGTTAAACCACAAGCTTCATGTAGCATGAAGAATATGTAAATGTAACTACTCACTGCTGGAATTTTGTGACAAGAGTACTTTTTAATTCTTAATCATGAATCATGGTTGTAGGCTTGCCAGCCCAATCACATCCTTTACAAGCAATTGGGAGTCAATAAAATTGTCATAACCGTGGATAGACACAATGGTCCTTCCCATTGCATTTACAACCCGTCCACCTTCTTTCACTTCAAACGAGTCTTCTGCACTAAACCGATGCAACACATTCCCTTGCTGTGCATCCTCTATCTTCAAGAAATCTATACCTTCTTTCAAACGCCCTGCATCACAGCAGTCAGTCATTGATTAGGTAGGAGTAAAGGGAAACAGCCTGGTAAAAAGGCAAGCCGATGCATCAATGCTTTAGATCGCACGAGATGGTTCACAACAGCTTCATCGCTTCCCTCCAGCGCTATACAATCCTCTGGTAGCCTCTCAAAGTCTTCTATAACCTGTATCAAAAACTCTGGCACCTGGCTCATAGTCCCCGCCACAACGCCGGATGTGATTATTCGTGAGTTTGCGAGCGAGAATGCCAGGCGGGTGCCGTAACATGCCGCAAGGCGCTTGTGCTCTGGAGGCAGGAAACGGATGCCATGTGTTGGGTATGTGGTCGAGCCCTGGAAATGGAACATGAAGAACCACGGAGGGTAAAATGGAACAAGTAGCATAAAATTTCAGCCAAATACACACAGGTGCACGTGACACACACAGAAGCAGCCATTGTGATCTGACCCACTTCCCTTTCCCCAATGCACCAGCCCGTCATGCTCCCAGTAAGAAATTTTACCATGCAGTGATAAGACATGTCACTGTGAGACGTTCTTGAGGTTTGGAAAAACACATGATAAGGAAACCTACCGTGTAGAGATGAAAAGACATGTCATTGAGTGTAGGAAACGGGTTGGCGAGAAAGAGAACATCTGTAGGGTCAGCAAGGATGACAGTGCCCTCAAAGTCCAGCGAGCGCAGGAAGAGGTGGAAGGCACGATAGCGCAGGTTGGTGGCATGCGCTGCTGCCCACTTGCCTGGAAAGGGTGGGTGGGATAGGTCAAGGGGTTCCAGAAAAACATTATGAGCTTGATGGTGCAGGTTGATGGCATGTGCTGCTGCCCCACTTGCCTGGAAACGAGTGAGAAAGGTCAAAGGGCTTCAGAACGGCAAAATGAGAACCACGGCAGCAAAAGACAGAAAGAGTGGGATAAGGGACGAGGATACGGAACTCAGAGTAAGCAAGATAATTCAAGCTGATTGGAGGCATGTGGTGGCAGGTTTTGTCACTTGGGCTGGTAAAATGAAGCGTCGCCAGAGTTGCCCGGGAAGATGGGTTGGTTTGATTGGAAAGAATCTTGGGGTTTATACAAAAGACATGATATGAAGACAAGTGGAGGTTGAGGGCGTGGGGGTTGACAAGACAAGACAGGAAATAGAGACTGACCGACCTTCTTCCGGTGAGCAGAACGTTTGCAGTGCAACCCCCGGTTGGTGCTTCCATCCCTGTGGCCACTCCTGCACGAAAAACACCAGCAGGGAACCACCATGTCCCCCCTCACTCCCACTCTCACCCCCACCGTCACTCCCATCCCCTCCTCCTCCGCCACCGCTAATGCTACTGCCACTGCTTCCTTCTAAGACGAATTTTCTGAATGACGTGGCGAGTGTTGATAGGTTGGCAGCGGAAAGGCCGAGTGCGAACGAGAGGATGAGGTTGGCGGGAAGCGTTTTGGGAGTGAGCTTGAAGGGCGTCGGGGAGAGCAGCTTGCGCAGCACAATGTCGTCCTCTGCCACTCCCTCACACGACCGCACTCTCTCCACTGACGGGTCTGGCATGGCACGCATGGGCGAGGGGGGGAAGGGAGGGGTGGAAGGCGAGGGGAGTGAGCTTGAGGGGCGTCGGGGAGAGCAGCTTGCGCAACACAATGTCGTCCTCCGCCACTCCCTCACAGGACCGCACTCTCTCCACTGAGGGGTCTGGTACGTGCCAAGAGAGAAAAGGGAACGGAGTTGGAGGGGAGAGAGGGGGGGGGGGGGGGGGGTGAGCTTGAAGGGCGTCGGGGAGAGCAGCTTGCGCAGCACAATGTCGTCCTCTGCCACTCCCTCACAGGACCGTACTCTCTCCACTGAGGGGTCTGACATGGCGAGGATGGGCGAGGGGAGGAGTGGAGGGGTGGAGAGGGGCGGAAGGAGGAAAGAGAGGGTATCGGAGAAAGGAGCTTGCGCAGCACAATGTCGTCCTCAGCCACTCCCTCACACGACCGCACCCGCTCCACTGAGGGGTCTGGCACGGGCCAAGAGGGAAAAAGGAACGGGGTAGGGAGGAGGGTGGGGGAGGGAGAGGGGTTGGATGGTTGGGGAAGGAAGGGTGGAGGGATGGGGGAAAGGAGCTTCCGCTTCACAATGTCGTCCCCCGCCACTCCCTCACATGAAGCTCTTGAAGAGCCCTGTCCTCCCTCCTTCTCTCGCATTCTTTTCGCTCCTTCTGCTCCTTCTCCTGCCGCCGCCTCCACTCTCCGACTCGCTCCTTCCCCTGCTGTTGCTTCCTCTGCGTCGCCACCCGCAAGCGCCTTTGCCCTGCCTCGTCCCGGTTATAGCGGAGAGGGGGGGAGAGAGGATTGGAAAGACCAATGCTGTCCTCCGCCACTCCCACACATGACCGCACAATCTCCACTGAGGGGCCTGGCATGGCATGGCGAGGATGGGCGAGGAGAGGAAAGGAGGGGTGGAGAGAGGGGGAGAGAGGAGTTTGGAAAGATCAATGTTGTCCTCCGCCACTCCCACACATGACCGCACAATCTCCACTGAGGGGCCTGGCATGGCATGGCGAGGATGGGCGAGGAGAGGAGAGGAGGGGTGGAGAGAGGGGGAGAGAGGAGTTTGGAAAGATCAATGTTGTCCTCCGCCACTCCCACACATGACCGCACAATCTCCACTGAGGGGCCTGGCATGGCATGGCGAGGATGGGCGAGGAGAGGAGAGGAGGGGTGGAGAGAGGGGGAGAGAGGAGTTTGGAAAGATCAATGTTGTCCTCCGCCACTCCCACACATGACCGCACAATCTCCACTGAGGGGCCTGGCATGCGTCAAGAGGGGAAAAGAACGGGGTTGGAGTGGGGAGTGGGGGAGAAGGGAGCGGGGAATGGGAGGGTGGAAGATGGAGGGCGGAGAGGGCGGAGGGGCGAAGGGGGAGAGGAATTCGGGCGTAACTTTGAGTGGGTTGCAAAAGAAGGGGAAGGGGAGTGGGGGACGTTTAAGGGGGGAAGGGGAGAGAAGGGATGGGGGGAAGGAGGGAGAGGAAGGAGGGATGATAGAGTCTCGCTTACAGGATAAACACTTCCCTCCCCCTCACACACCCCTCCTTCCTCCCTTCCTTTCCCCTCCAAATTATATCTAGAAGGCTCACATTTCATGGCAGCTGTGCCTTGTGTTTCCATTGACAATCCAGCTACCGACCCCGTTCCCTGCCCTGGGTGTCGTTTCTCGCCTCCCCTCCCTCCCTCCTTCTCCTCCTCCTCCTCATCGTCAAACCTGAACACCTTGTCCTCCTCCTTATCCGCCTCTTCCTCCTCCTTCCTCTTCCTCTCCTCCGCCTCCTCCTTTTTGACCTCCTCCTCTCTCTTCCTCCCTCTCTCAATCTCCGAAAGATTGCGTCCTCTGTTCATCATAGGCTCCACAATGCTACCCTCGGCTTTCAGCTCTGCCGTAGCGCCACCTTCTCGGGTCGATTCTCTATTGGTCCCCTTCCCTTCAATATCATCACTGCTGTTATGATTAATATTCACCGATGGTGGAGTTCCCGACTGGCCACCTTCTGATTGATCCCCATTACTCGTTACTGTACCACTCGTTATTTCACCCTCCGTGTCAGCAATTTCCCCTCCTCCTCCTCCTCCTCCTCCTCCTCCTCCTCCTCCTCCTCCTCCTCCTCCTCCTCCTCCTCCTCCTCCTCCTCCTCCTCCTCCTCCTCCTCCTCCTCCTCCTCCTCCTCCTCCTCCTCCTTCTCCTCCTCCTCCTCCCACTCCGCCCATCCCTATTATTCTCCGCCCGGTTCCCAGCCTTACCCTTCCGCCATGGCTACCGTCAAGTGTTTGCAAACCAGGAGACTCGTTAAGATTCATCAGATGCCGATTCGTTACGGGGATAACTACCGTGACCGTGAATAGTAAACCGAGTAGATAAAGCGTCATTAGACGCAGAGGTCGCGGACGAGACGAAGCTTCGGGGAATGTAACGCGCACGCTGATGTTGAGGTTCTTCGCAAACGCGCCATCGCCGCGAAACGCGGCTGAACTCGCGGGGATTCTGTCGCTGGTTTCCCGGGTGCGAAACCAGCGGCGAATCACTGACAAGACTCGTGACATTCTGGTCGTGCGATGATCGGACGGTCGGAAAATTGCGTCGCATTTGGCATCAATGACAGAAGGGGTAGACGTGAAAAAACGAATAATGAAGGAACTGAACGCCAGACGGTGAAACATAGGTATTCATCATACAAGTTATGTACAGTGGATGCTAAGAGAATAGCGGGTCAGTTGCAGGCGGACAAAGTCAAAGTCTGTAGGTATTCCATGGTAATGTAAGGTAAATAACGTTCTCAGTACGCTGCGATGCGGTGACCATCGAGCCTGAAACAAAACCACTGATGAGGCTTTCAGTAGGATGTCGTGGGGGTGCGGCCGGGGTGCTGGGTGGTTCTCGTTGTAACCTCGTCAGTTCAAGGCCCGCTCGTGGGTGCTGCGTGTCAACGACGAATGTCGCGCTCCACGTCTAGTGGGGAGTGTCGGTCGGTGCAGCCTGCTATGAAAACTGGGTAATAACCGTGTTACTAAGTGTCACATTGAGAGGGGAGGTAGTGTGGGAAGGCGGACAGTGTGAAAGTTCGTAAGCATTAGACGGTGGTAGGCTACGGTTCAATGCACAAACCGAACCTGGAACAAATACACTGATGAGGCTTTTACCACGGGATGCCGTGGGGGTGCGGCCGGGGTGCTGGGTGGTTCTCGTTGTCCTCTCGTCAGTTCAAGGCGCGCTCGTGTGTGCTGGGTGTCAACGATGCATGTCGCCCGTGTAGAAAACAAATTCGCCTCTGACAGACAGTCGGGCTTTTTTACGGTCCAACCCAATCCCCGACAACCGAATGTGCGTTCCGTTGACAATGACGTGCACCACGGGCAGCTCATGGTCATTGGTCAACCATCAACTTCAATCACCCAGCCGAAAGTTGCCAACCACCACCTCTTCAGGCACCGAACCGAACTGAAATTTACAACCTCCACCTTGTAACATTTTTGTTCAAGATTCGTATGACGCGGTTTTAAGCATTCCAAATCGTTTAGGATCGGTTTCGACTATCACTGACCCGGACCATTGCACACCAGAATGAACAAACCTGCAAAGTCAATTGAAACTTGACGGACAAATGTGACAATGGTACTACCAGAGCTGCCAAACTGTTGGACGATGACATCGAGGCAGGACGAGTCCTCTAGGGAACATCCTCAAGTTGTGACTGAGCCCCATCGGAGGCAGGAATCCATGGGGGATGTAATGTGAACCCCTCAGGGCAACCACCAGCAAACTCCCCTGAGGCAAGGACGGTAGGGGAAGATGCATGATTCAGGAGCACGTTTCGTAATGGTCGTTTTTTACCAGCGTGCGAGCGGCCAAGAAACGTCGACGTGTCGCTCATTTCTTCGATCGCTGGGATCATCGCGTTTCCGTTTAGCCTTGAGCTGGTTAGTGAGCTTCGAGGATTCGGCTTTTGTTTTGCTTTGAAGTCAACAAGTCTACAGTGCCAAGTTCTTTCACTAGTCATTGCACTTACGAGTGGTAGCTGCTAGTCTCTGATGACGCGAATGCTGTGTCATGGTAAAACGAACTTGTAGGTTAAAGCTTCAATTACTGCTCCGGCTTATCCGGACTTCAATAAGCTGTTTCAGCATCAGTTTCCGTAGAGAGGTAACCACATCATGGTTGTCTGGAGCAAAGGTGTTCTAGTCGCAGCGCGAAGAAGGAGCAAAGGCATCATTCTAGTCGCAGCGCTGCTTGTTCTTTCCAGAGGCGTCTTCGCTACTCAAGAAGGTCTGCTCATTCGCCATTCTCGTTTCCACTCGTAATAAACCTGACATGTCTCTCAGGAATTTTGTATTTCTAAACTTGCACAAGTTGAATCCTACTATTTCTCGCCATTTCCATGTATTCTTGTCAAACAAGGACCTCCACTGCACACCAGCGTGCCGAAAGTCTTTTGGAAATCCATGCTGTGGCATTTAAAGTGATTCTAGTCACCCTCTTACGTATCTATGAACCCGTGCAATCAATGCGCCAGGCCCTTACCTGTACAACTTCGTGCTACCAGCGTTTAAGAACCTCGATTATGACAAGTGGAGCATGGACTATTTTGGAGGAGACCCGTGCCTGCTCCCTCCTGTTGCATGCAATGCACAAGGCTACGTGACTCGATTGTGAGTGGCTCTTTTAAGGTATAAGATAGATAGCCGTGTCAACAAACTCTCCCTGCAGTGGTGCCCTACTAACCTCGCCTGTGATGCCACACAGACCGACCTTTGATCTTGCAAATGACATACTGACGGTTGATTCTTCCACTACTACACCTACACCACTTTCTAAAGCCATGTCAGTTGGCCTGGTTTCAATGCAGCAGTAACCTAATTTTCTTTGCACGTTTTGCTCCCCTCTCTCTCTCTCTCTCCATATTTCCCATCCAATTTTCTCCCAGAATCCTGGCCTCGTTTGTCCCGCATATCAACGGCACCTTAAGCCCCTACATCCGCTTCTTCCCATACCTGCAAGAACTGTTAGTACTACACCCCATCCGCTCTATAGCGCATACTCTACAAATGCTTCGATAGCTTCCATTCAAGGCTACTTTCCTTGAATGTCTACCAAACATGAAATGTCTATGTGTATTATAACACCTCGCTACCCACTGGGTGAAAACAAGGGTGTTATTTAGGCATAGCGGATGCCCTTAACACTAGCGCTCACCACAGGCGCTACATGTATATTGATTTAATGCCGAGGTGTTCTCTGTGCATGCATGGCCTCATCTCATGATTGCATTCCATGCATGGGTTTCTTCTGCACTCGTCTTCCTCTTACATATGCTTGTGTGTCCGTGTGAATATGTACATGCGTGCGTGCCTGTGTGTGTGCGCGCGCGCATGTGTGTGTGTGTGTGTGTGTGTGTGTGTGTGTGTGTATGTGGTTGGTGTGTGTGTGCGCCGAACGCTCATGTGTGTACATGTATGGTTGCGGGTGTGTGTGTATGTGCGCTCATGACCTCACATCTGCAGGAGGCTAAACGACAACGATATGACAGGTGAAGTGGTGAGCCTCAACCCCACAATAACAATACCACCACACAGTGACTATATCTCACCCTCAGATCAATGAGTTCCTTTGTTGGGCTGCACTGCACTGACAAGGTCAGGTAGTTGGTGAGGGAAATGTCTCCCACGCTGCCAGCCATGCGCTTGCCTTGCAGCCATGGGACGCACTGGGCGAGCTGAAGGATCTGAGGGGGTTGGATTTGAGCAACAACTCGTTCATAGGGGGAGTGAAGGCTGTTGGCAGCCTGCCTGCTTCTCATGCACTCTCCCACTCCCCCTCGCACCCCAACATCCGCTTGCAGCCATGGAACGCACTGGGCGAGCTGAAGGATCTGAGGGTGTTGGATCTGAGCAACAACTCGTTTGCATGTTGAAATCCTCTCTCACTGATTCGCTCTCTCATTCGCATGCAGCCATGGGACGCACTGGGCGAGCTGAAGGATCTGAGGGTGTAAGTAACAACTCGTTCACAGGGGGAGTGAAGGCTGTTGGCAGCCTGCCACGCGTTGCTGACCTGTAAGCTGATCTTAATAGTCTCAGAAGTGCACCTTAGTGTTGGATTGGATCTGATCCGATGCGAGCAACACCTCTGCCTGCCACGTTTAGCCGTTCTGTAAGCTCTACTGAGGCGCTTTAACCAAGAGATACATGGAGGAGTGCATGTTAAACCGTGCAGATTTATATTTGTAGTTCTTATGGTGTTGTTTTCAGCATCGGATGGTTTTCCACTGCCCACTGCCAGTTTGAGACGTCTCAAATAAAGCAGTGTATGACAATCATTGGAGATTGAGATGTTTTTATTACGGTGTGCAACAGCATAGGATGGTTCTCCACAGCCCTCAACCCATTCTTTGAGGTCACGTAGGCCACTTGTGCTCTTCAATCCCTCTCTGGCCTGCACCTTCCCTCACCGCCCCACACCTTCCCTCACCGCCCCGCACCTTACCTCACCGTCCCGCACCTTCCCTCGCCGCCCCCCATCTTCCCTCACCTTCCCGCACACCTCTTCTTGCCTGACCATCTGCAGGCGGTTGCAGAACAATCGACTGTCTGGTACCGTACCTGCTGCATTCAAGGACAAGACATGTGACCCGTAAGTGAAGCAGAGAAGCGGAAAGCCCAGTAAGAGAACAACTGTCGGTCAAGGGCAACAGTTTCGAGAGGACTCAAATCATGGTGAAATAAGGTGTTTTGAGACGTCTCAGAACAGTATCATATTGACCCGTATAACCTTCTCATCAGGCATCCGTTTAACTTTTGACTCAGACATCCATTTCGGAACGCCCCATCCCTTGGGTAACTCTTAAGTCATCCAAGAGGAAAGAGCAATATCGTATCCACCCGTCTAACCCTTCCAACCCTTCCCTAATCATCCACTCACTGTCCATTCCCTCTGCTCATTCTGCCCATGCCATACACCTCTCTGACTGTATACATGTGCAGGTTTTCGGGCAACTCCAATCTTTTCTGCCCGCCAGGTACATGCACGTGCTCTTGTTGTAATAAGAATTGCGCTGGTTCTGTCTGTGATCCTCCTTTTAAGGCCCAATCTTTGGTATCTCTCCACGTCCTCGCTCTCCCATCTGTGTTTCTTCCGCCTCCTGCTTCCCCTGCTTCTCCCGCTCATCCTGCTCCTCCTGCGTCTCCTGCTCCTCCTGCTCCTCCTGTCCCCCCGGCGCAGCCTTTGCCTCTGCAGCGCCAGCCATCCCTGCAACAGTGCCACAGGCTCCATCTTCCTCGTCCTCTCCACCCCCCTTTCAACCCTCTGCACCGCTGTGCACCCCCCTGTACCCCCTTCCCCAGCGCAGACTTTGCCTCTGCAGCGCCAACCATCCCTGCAACAGTGCCAGAGGCTCCACCTTCCTCCTCCTCCTCCATCTGGCCGATCGTTGGCGGGATTGCGGCTGGCGTCGTTTGTCTTGTTCTGTTCCTAGCTGCTGCATGGTGGTGGTGGCGGCAGCGGCGGCAGAAGGAGAGGGTCATGGGGGACGAAGAGGGGTTGGAAAAGGACGATATCAATGACCCGTTGCATGGTGAGAAGGGAGAGAGAGGGGGTGGGAGGGAGCTTGCTTTCTGTGTGGGGAACCGATTCTCAAGTCCACTAGAAAAATCACCACCAGCAGCAGCAGCAGAGGAATTGGAGAAGGACGATATTAATGACCCGTTGCATGGTGAGAAGGGAGAGAGGGGCTGGGAGAGGGGGCTTTCTTTTCTGTGTGGAAAAGCGATGTTTTAGTCTAATCCCAAAGCACCACCAGTGGAAGGAGAGAATCGAGGGAGACGAAGAGGGATTGGAGAAGGACGATAGTGAGTGATTTTTGAGAATTCTAAAAAATGACCCGCTGCATGGTGAGAAGGGAGAGAGGGGGTGGGTGGGAGCTTTCTTCATCACCCGTTGCTTCATCAACTCTAGGCAGCGCTTGAAACATGGCAAAAGTCTGCTCAGTTGTTGCTCCTAGGCACCTCCTCGTAAAAAAGGTGTTTTTGAGAATTCTGAAATACACCCTTGAGACGTACCGAAAGGTCTGCTCTGTTGAGCAGGGAAGTTGTTGCTCCTAGTTTCCTCCTCGCAAAAAACAGGGGTCGTTTTTGACCCACTTGCAACCGCTGCATTGGTTTCGCCTGGAGGACCTTTTGAGACAGCTTCTTACTACCTCCCACTACACCGCTCTACCTCTCACTACCCCATGCTATTCCTCACTACCACTCTCAACCCCTCACTACCCCATGCAGAGGAGATCCTGGGCCACCTGCAGCAGCTGCAACGGATTTGCTTGCTGGGCCTTTTGAGTCGACCCCCACCACCCTTCAGTAACCTTCACTACTCTTCACTACCCCTCTCTACCTCTCCCTACCCCTCGCAACTCCTCATTATCCCTGACTACCCCTCACTACCCCATGCAGAGGAAATTCTAGGCCACTTGCAGCAGCTGCAGCTGTTTCGCCTGGAGGACCTTCCAAGTCGACCTCTTACCACCTCGCACTATGCGTCTCTACCTCTCACAATCCCTTGCGACCCCTCTATACCTTTCACTACCCCTCACTGTCCCATGCAGAGGAGATCCTGGGCCACCTGCAGCAGCTGCAGCGGTTTCGTCTGAAGACCTTCCAAGTCGACCTCTTACCACCTCCCACAACGCCTTTCTACCTCTCACTACCCCTTATTACCCCTCACTACCCCTTGCTACCCCATGCAGAAGAAATCCTGGGCCACCTGCAGCAGCTGCAGCGGTTTCGCTTGGAGGACCTCCGCAGGGCAACCTGTTACTACCTCCCAAACCCCACGACACCTCTCTCTACCTCTCTCTATCTTTCACAATCCCTCACTACCCCTCACCACCCGCAGAGGAGATCTTGTGTCACTTGCAGCAGCTGCAGCGGTTTCGCCTGGAGGACCTTTTGAGTCGACCTTCACCACCCCTCACTAACCATCACTACCCTTCTCTTCCTCTCCCTACTCCTCGCAACCCCTCACTACCCCTCACAACCCCTTGCAGAGGAGATCATGGGCCACTTGCAGCAGCTGCCGCGGTTTCGCTTGGAGGACCTGCGCAATGCAACCTGTTACTACCCCCAAACCCCACGACGACACCTCTCTCTACCTCTCTCTACCTCTCTCTACCTCTCTCTACCTCTCACAACCCCTTGCCACCCATCGCTACCCCTCACCATCTGCAGAGGAGATTCTGGGCCACCTGCAGCAGCTGCAGCGGTTTCGCCTGGAGGACCTTCGCACGGCAACGAGCGGGTTCAGCAGCACTCTGCTTTTGGGCGAGGGGGGATATGGGCTGGTGTATAGAGGGAGCCTCAGGGATGGGAAGCAAGTGGCAATCAAACTACTAAAGGTACGCGGTTGCTGTTGAGGATGTTCTGTGGTATTAGGCTCTGGAGGAACCATCTCAGGACAACGAGCGGGTTCAGCAGCAGCCTGCTGCTGGGCGAGGGGGGATACGGGCCTGTGCATAGGCTGCCTCTGGGATGGCAAGCAAGTGGCGATTAAATTGCTCAAGGTACGGCATTGCTGCTGCTTGATAGTGCTCTGTGGTAAGCTCTGGAGGACCTTCGCAAGGCAACGAGTGGGTTCAGCAGCAGCCTGCTGCTGGGGGAGGGGGGGTACGGGCTGGTGTACCGAGGGAGCCTCAGGGATGGCAAGCAGGTGGCAATAAAGCTTCTCAAGGTAAGGCTGTGCTGCTGCTGTGGTGAGGCTACTCTGTGAGTTCTGGAATCGCCTGCACGAGGCAACGAGCGGGTTCAGCAGTCAGTCAGCTGCTGGGGGAGGGGAGTACGAGCTGGTGTGAGTGAGTGAGCCCTCCCTCTTCCCCTACCCTGCCATCAGCCGCGCCGTGCACCGCAACCTGCTCAGGGCTGCATACATGGGTCCCCTCCCCTGCCCTGGAAGGCTTCTGTGTTCCTTTCTACCCCATCCCTCCCCCTCCCTCCTCCGCTTCTGCACCCACCACCATAGCCACATCAGAAAGAGAGGCGGGGCAGTGAGGAAGCGTTCATAAACGAGGTGAATGCCATCAGCGGCGCCGTGCACCGCAACCTGCTGCGGCTGGAGGGCTTCTGTGTGGAGAGGGGCGAGCGGTCTCAGGCTGGAGGGGTCCCTTATTCAGCCTTCCCACATCCCCCCTGCTCCTCTGCCTCTCCCTTACTGGCTCACCCCCTCCCCTGGAACAGAAAGAGAGGCGGGGCAGCGAGGAAGCGTTCATAAACGAGGTGAATGCCATCAGTGGCGCCGTGCACCGCAACCTGCTGCGCCTAGAGGGCTTTTGTGTGGAAAAGGGCGAGCGGGCGCTCGTGTTCCCGTTCCTGCCACATGGCTCCGTTGCTGACTACCTCAAAGGTGAGGAGTTGAGTGCGGTGCAGGTAGGAGACGCAGTGGTGTAACAGGGCGTCTGCACCGCAACCTGCTCCGGATCTGTGTGGAGAGGGACGAGCAGGCGCTGGTGTTCCCATTTTTACCGCATGGTTCCGTTGGTGATTTTCTTAAAGGTGAGCGGTTGGGTACAGCGTGCAATGGTGGGGCAGGGGACACAGTGATCAACTTTTGAGACGTCTCAAAAGTTTTCTTAAAGGTGAGCGGTTGGGTACAGCGTGCAATGGTGGGGCAGGGGACACAGTGATCAACTTTTGAGACGTCTCAAAAGTTTTCTTAAAGGTGAGCGGTTGGGTGCAGCGTGCAATGATGGGGCAGGGGACACAGTGGTCAGGCTGGAGGGCTTCCGCGTGGAGAGGGGCTGGAGCGCAACCTTTCTTCCCTTCTCTTCTTCTCTTCCCTTTTCTTCCCTTCTCTTCCCCTTTCTTCGCTTCTCTTCCCTTTTCTTCCCTTCTCTTCCCTTCTCTTCCCTTCTCTTCCCTTTTCTTCCCTTCTCTTCCCTTTTCTTCCCTTCTCTTCCCTTTTCTTCCCTTCTGTTCCCTTTTCTTCCTTTTGTCAACTCAAAAACCGCCTTTCCTTTCTTATCCTTCCCCCAATGTGCCAATTCACGCATGGCAGGTGGAAAGATGAGGAGCGATGCAACACCGCTGACGTGGAAGCACAGGAGGAAGATTGTGCTGGGGATAGCTGAGGGGCTGGCATACATGCACACTGACTGCACTCCCAGACTCATTCACTGCGATATGAAGGTGAGTGGGGGAGTGAGTGAACGAGAGTGTGTGAGAGTGAGAGTGTTTTCTCTAAGGTTAGTGAGTGTTGTGCCCCTGGGCAGCAGCAGAGGGGCTGGCATACATGCACACTGACTGCACTCCCAGACTCATTCACTGCGACATGAAGGTGAGTAGTGAGGGAGTAAGGGCACCAGGTCTGGCATACATGCACACTGACTGCACTCCCAGACTCATTCACTGCGACATGAAGGTGAGTAGTGAGGGAGTAAGGGCACCCGGTCTGGCATACATGCACACTGACTGCACTCCCAGACTCATCCACCGCGACATGAAGGTGAGTAGTGAGGGAGTAAGGGCACCAGGTCTGGCATACATGCACACTGACTGCACTCCCAGACTCATTCACTGCGACATGAAGGTGAGTAGTGAGGGAGTAAGGGCACCAGGTCTGGCATACATGCACACTGACTGCACTCCCAGACTCATCCACCGCGACATGAAGGTGAGTAAGTGAGAGTGAGTGAGCGAAATTGAGTGTGCTTTTTTTCAGGCTTGAAGTGATGTCCTGGCTAGTTTTGAGGCGCCTCAAAACTAGACTTGACGTCCTGGCACCAGGCAACAGCATGCCTCCCTTGCCTTCCATGTCCCCCAGGAAATTATCTCTATCCACCATTTCCCCTCCCTCCCTCCTCACCCCCACCCCCCCATCCCCCCCCCCCCTCCTCCCCCCCCCCCCTCTTTTTTTCCCCTTCCCCCCCCCCGCTTCAAGGCCAAGAATGTGCTTCTAACGGAGGACAACGACCCGGTCATTTGCGACTTTGGCCTGGCCTAACACCCCCATGCTCTACTCTCCCTTCCCTTGCCTTCATCTCGCTCCCGTACCCCCCCTCCCCACCCTTCCCCCTCGCGCAGGCCGAGAATGTGCTGCTATCGGAGGACAACGACCTGGTCATTTGCGACTTTGAACTTGCCGTCATCTCTTTCCCATACCTCCTCTGTCTGTCCCCCTCCTCCGTCCTCCTCTTCCCCTCCCCACCCTTCCCCCTCGCGCAGGCCGAGAATGTGCTTCTAACAGAGGATAACGACCCGGTCATTTGCGACTTTGGCCTGTCAAAGCTGGTGGAAGTCGACGTAATACCCTCAGCTGCCAGGGGAAACAGGCCCAGTGCAGCAGTGCGGGGAACCCTAGGCCACCTCGCTCCAGGTAAATAGCTGTCAGTAGTGACATTTGACCCTAGGCGGCCTGTTAAAGCTGGTGGAAGTTGACGTAATACCCTCAACTGCCAGGGGAAACAGACCCAGTGCAGCAGTGCGGGGAACCCTAGGCCACCTCGCTCCAGGTAAACGCTTCTGCTTAAGCTTTTAACTCCGCACTGATCGTCTGGTGCAGTAGTGGCATTGGAATCTGAGTGCGGCCGCGCGGGGAACCCTAGGGCACCTGGCTCCAGGTAAACGCCTTCACTAGCCTTTGAGGAAATCTCACCCTGTGATCTGGCATTTGGCATGGCTAGGATAGTGTCATGGAGGCATGTGGCCATCCATAGGTGATCTCTGGTGCAGCAGTGTGGGGAACCCTAGGCCTCCTCGCTCCAGGTAAGTTTTGAGGCGCCTCAAAACCCTAGGCCTCCTCGCTCGCTCCAGGTAAACGCCTTCATTACTCTTTAAAGGAAAGCACCCTTTGCCCAAGCCTTTAGCGCTGTGCTGTTTGTCGTGTGCAGCAGCGGTACCAGAACTAGGGTGGATCAGTGCGTGAACCCTAGGGCACCTGGCTCCACGTAAGGCTTCCCCCATTAGCCTCTTGCGGAAAGCACCCTAATGCTCATGCCTTGACCGCTCTGTGCTGATTGCCTGGTCTGGTGCAACGGTGTGGGGAACCCTAGGGCACCTCGCTACAGGTAAGCTCCCCTCACTAGCCCTATTGCCCCTCACTTGAGGCAAGCACTCTGTGAAAGAATTGAAGTCCTCGTAGAGTGTTAGAGGACATAGTATTATATTAGTATAAATGGACACAAGAGTTATACAAGGTGTGGCTCGGGCACCTCGCTCGAGGTAAGGCTCCCCTCACTAGCCTCTTGAGGCAAGCACTCTGTGAAAGAATTGAAGTCCTCGTAGAGTGTTAGAGGCAAAAGGTTGTTTTATTACCTCAAAAGGGCACAAGGGTTATACAAGGTGTGCAGACCGGTCGTATTAGAAAATATGTCAATATTGGGTGCCGCAGCTGCACACGTTTCTGAGAAGCCATAATATAACACACGATATATATATATATATATATATATATATATATATATATATATATTTATCGCAGTATTGTCATCCTTTGTTTCCTTGTCCATGTGACCCTGTTCTCATATCCCCCTTATAGAGCTGTACAACACGGGCAAGTGGTCTGAGAAGACTGACGTGTTTGTCTTCGGTGTGCTGCTAGTCGAGCTCGTTGCTGGCTGAACCCATTTCCCTCTTCACCCTTTCTCCCACTGTACCCCCCCTGTACCCCTTATAGAGCTCTACAATACCGGCAAGTGGTCAGAGAAGACTGACGTGTTTGGCTTTGGTGTGTTGCTAGTGGAGATCGCTGCTGTTTGCTACCATTTCCTTCTTCTTTGCCCTTTCCTTCCCCTGCTGTACCCCCGCTGTACCCCTTATAGAGCTCTACAACACGGGCAAGTGGTCAGAGAAGACTGACGTGTTTGGCTTTGGTGTTCTGCTAGTGGAGCTCGTTGCTGGCTGCTGCGTTTTCGACCTGCCCATGGGCCAACGTGCACCTAATCCCAGACGTGAAGACAGAGACAGAGGGAGAGGGGGAGACGGAGAGGGGAAGGGTAAGGATGAGGAGGGAGGAATGGAGAAGGAAGAGCGTGTGGAGGAGGAGAAGGAGGGGGAAGGCAGGGAGAAGGAAGAGAGACTGGAGGAGGGGGAGAAGGGAAGGGAGGAGGGGGGTGAAAAGGAGGAAGGGGAGGAGATGTCGCTGTGGGAGTGGGTGACGGGGGAGATGCAGCAGGGGCATGTGGCGACGCTGGTAGACGTGCAGATCCGATCCCACCCGGCTGACTGTGATCCGCTGGAAGTGCAGGTGAGTGAGAGGGTGGGTGAGAGATGGGGCAAGACAAGGAGTGGGTGACTTGTGGGATGCAGCAGGGGGGCTTGGCGACGCTGGTAGACGTGCAAATCCGATCCCACCCGGCTGACTGTGACCCTCTGGAAGTGCAGGTGAGGGTGGGGGCGGCTGACAGGTGAGAAGCAGAGGTGAGAGGGTGGGTGACAGGTGACCAGCGCCTCTCCCTTGGCTCTGCTGTGTTTGCAGCATTCACCGCCGACTGGCCCACCATGAGCGAGTGTGTTACGATTCTGCAGGGCACGGGCCTGGCTTGTCCTAACCCCACACCCTGTCTCTTTCACCACATTGACCCCTCCCTTCCGCCCATATCAGGTCTTCCTGCAGGTGGCTCTGCTCTGCCTGCAGCAGTCACCGTCAGATCGGCCCACAATGAGCGAGTGTGTGACTATGCTGCAGGGCACGGGCCTGGCGTGTCGGTGGCAGCTGTGGCACAACACAGGCCTGGAGGATGGTCTGCAGCCTCCGGATATGCCTGTGCCATATGGTGTTGTTTCGGACTCTAGTGAAAGCTACATGCCTCTCGATATTTCAGGACCACGTTAAGCTGGTTATTATGGTATTTTGCCAGTTTGCGATTGCCTTGGATATCCTGCTCAATATGGTGCTGACTGTGGGAGGAGTGCTGGGATCGGGCTAGATTTTCCAAGGCAAGGATGGCCTAGAGGGGTGCACTCGCTCACTCTTAACTAAACAAACCATTTTAGCTCATTGGCTAAGTAGCTGAGCTTTACCAGCACTGAAGGTCCTTTTTCATACTAATAATACTGCCCTTGTTGGTACTACGGTATGACTGCTGCTAATCGTTTTATTATCATTCTTCCAGGGATATAATGCAGTAAGTCTGGAGTCCGATTCTGGGTAAAAGAAATTCCATCTTAAACGAGGACAGAAGTGACTCAGCTCGTTTTTATCACACCATGCAGATTTGCCGCACCGCACCGCGCATCGTCCTGGGCGAAGCGCGATCCCACGATCACAGCGCCCTGCCCAGCAAATCAACGTCCCACCCACCGCTCTGGTTCTTCGTCTGTGAGGGGATTGGGCAACATCGCCTCGCTTGTAACTTGTCGGCAACTTCTCCCGAAGCAAAAATGCCTGACCTAACCTCCAACTGGCAAACCAGCTCCCCAAACCAAACACGCAGTTCCCGAGGCTGGAGAGTCTGTCAGTTCGGTTTGGGAGCTGGCTTGTCGAAATTTCAAAAGGCTCTCCCATCCCAACTGTTTCGAACTGATGCAACGATGCTTCAGAACGCATCGAAACGTTTGGAACCGTTTTGGTGAAAACTGGTTCTGTACGAGGTTCCCAGCTCAGCACCAGTACCCCAACAAACACCTGTCCCGTAACCCGTTGTGTTGGTAGAAGACAAGTCGTTCATCGAAACCAAAACCAATTACTACGCGAGTGAACTTCGGAAAAGACGTTAGATAGATCCGAAGCTTGGGAATTGACTTTCTGGCCGGGTTATCAGCGGATGACAACATTAGGTTAAATCGATAGCCCCCGCACTTTCAGGCGTCCCACCGCAGTTGAAGAAATATTTTACGCCATGCGCGTTATACGTCCGCCTCTTCACAGTTATTGTTCTAGGCACCGACAACTTCGGAAATGCCGACACACTTAAGAGCTAGCTCGGTAGGTGCAGCTGTAGCAGTAGCAGCCAGCCAGACAGGGAGCAGCATGCGGAAACGATTGCATGCGCGAATAAATCGGCGGCGATTCATCTGCGTACAATGGCAACTCCTCGTCGCCATTCTCTCACTTACGCTGCTCGCGCTTCGCTCCGCAAACGCCAAGGTAATTTCTCTTGAGTCTACTATATTTTCGTTGTGACTCGATCTTTTAAACTCCTTTGAAAATTTTCCTCTTTATTCTCCAACTTTCTCGTCTACACACACCTTCGTTTCCCCTCGAATTTCTCGTTTCATGCAAATCAGCCTTTCGTAAACCAGTCGCCGCGAGATGGCGAGTCTTCAGCGCAAGCCGAGCTTAGAGCCTTGATTCCCAGGAGGCGTCTGGGGTTCTACTTATTCGCAGAAACCGGGCAGGATAAAGTCCTGGGTAATTTCCTTGTGAAAAAGGCAGCCAAACCGCAAACACAATCACTGCAGCTGGTGCGGGAGCAGGAAAATCAGCAGCCGGAACTATGGCAGCAGCTTCAGGAAAAGCAGCAGAAGCAGCAGCAACAAGCGCAAGGCAAGGAACTAGGTGTGGGGAAAGTTACGAATCAGGGGCAGAGAGTAGGACAGGTGTGGGCTGACGAACAAGAGCTGGACAAGGCGCTGGGATCAGGGGAAGATGTAGCGCCAACGTCGCTGCAGAAAGCGCCAACACCGCCGCCGCAGCAAGCGCAACCGCCGCCGGGGCAAGCACCGGGTGAGACGGAGGCGCAAGCGGTACAGCAGGAGCAGAGAAGTTCGGACAAGAAATTTCCACGGGCAAATGCGGACCAGCAGGAGGAAAACTCGACGACGGTAGAGGGACAGCAAAGCAGAAACGAGGGCGAGAGGACGCAGGAGGAGCGAGGTGGGGGTGGGGAGCACTGGGAGAGGGGGGACTGGGAGGTCATTCCAGGTGGGAGCTCCCAGCGGAAGACGGAGGGAAAGGCGGAGCGAAGCGCAGAGGTGAAAGAGGATGGTGGTGCGAGGCCGAGCTACAGACAGGGGTCGAGATTCGACAGGGTGGCGGCGAGGAGTGCTATGAGGCGAAGGAGAGAGGGCGAGTGCTGGAGCAAGGAGGAGCGGCACCTGTACCACACGGTGAGAATAACAGAGTGCATGTGTGAGTGCATGTGTGCGTGCATGTGTGCGTGCATGTGTGCGTGCATGTGTGCGTGCATGTGTGCGTGCATGTGTGCGTGCATGTGTGCGTGCATGTGTGCGTGCATGTGTGCGTGCATGTGTGCGTGCATGTGTGAGTGCATGTGTGAGTGCATGTGTGCGTGCATGTGTGCACTATAGGCAGCACTAAGGCGTGCTGGAGCAAGGAGGAGCGGCACCTGTACCACACGGTGAGAATAACAGAGTGCATGTGTGAGTGCATGTGTGAGTGCATGTGTGAGTGCATGTGTGAGTGCATGTGTGAGTGCATGTGTGAGTGCATGTGTGAGTGCATGTGTGAGTGCATGTGTGAGTGCATGTGTGAGTGCATGTGTGCGTGCATGTGTGAGTGCATGTGTGAGTGCATGTGTGCGTGCATGTGTGCACTATAGGCAGCACTAAGGCGTGCTGGAGCAAGGAGGAGCGGCACCTGTACCACACGGTGAGAATAACAGAGTGCATGTGTGAGTGCATGTGTGAGTGCATGTGTGAGTGCATGTGTGAGTGCATGTGTGAGTGCATGTGTGAGTGCATGTGTGAGTGCATGTGTGAGTGCATGTGTGAGTGCATGTGTGAGTGCATGTGTGCGTGCATGTGTGCGTGCATGTGTGCACTATAGGCAGCACTAAGGCGTGCTGGAGCAAGGAGGAGCGGCACCTGTACCACACGGTGAGAATAACAGAGTGCATGTGTGAGTGCATGTGTGAGTGCATGTGTGAGTGCATGTGTGAGTGCATGTGTGAGTGCATGTGTGAGTGCATGTGTGAGTGCATGTGTGAGTGCATGTGTGAGTGCATGTGTGAGTGCATGTGTGCGTGCATGTGTGAGTGCATGTGTGAGTGCATGTGTGAGTGCATGTGTGCACTATAGGCAGCACTAAGGCGTGCTGGAGCAAGGAGGAGCGGCACCTGTACCACACGGTACGCAAGCGTCCCTTCCTTCCTCACAGCAGTGCTTCCACACGAGATGCAGAGGGAGTGAAAACCCTGACTTTTGAGTCGACTCAAGAGTCACCTCGAGATGCAGCGCTAGTGAATGTTCCTAGTTTGCAGTGGTTCGGACCGTTTTAAACCTGTGGTCGATTCCTAGTCTCCTCCTCCCTCCAACCCTTTCCCACACAGGCGAACCCAGACCCCCCGTCAGCAGCCTTCCAGGCAGCAGTGCGGGCGCATGAGGCGATGCAGAGGGAGTGTATGCTTTAACTCTGCATTCTTGGTGCTTACCTGTACTCTCTTCTTCTCTCACACTCACAGGCGAACCCAGACCCCCCGTCAGCAGCGTTCCAGGCAGCAGTGCGGGCGCATGAGGCGATGCAAAGGGAATGCATGGGAACTGGGAAAAGGGAGGAGTGGGAATGGGTTCGGAGTGGCGACTGGTGAGTGATTTCCGGGGAACAGAGAAGGATGGAGGAGGAGCGAGAGAGGGGGTGGGGGGGAGTGTGTAGTTGTGCGTCTGTCCTGCAACCACGCATCCATGAAAACCCACAATCTTCCATCCATGCAACCATACACTCATCAATCCATCCATCCATCCATCCATCCATCCATCCATCCATCCATCCATCCATCCATCCATCCATCCATCCATCCATCCATCCATCCATCCATCCATCCATCCATCCATCCATCCATCCATCCATCCATCCATCCATCCATCCATCCATCCATCCATCCATCCATCCATCCATCCATCCATGCACCCATGCACCCATGCACCTGCCCACGCCAACAGGGAAAAGGACAGGCCTCGATACGGTCCAGACAGGAAGCCATGTCAATACATCTACGTTCCTCCCTTCCCCCGAGGTTTGTATCTTCCCACTTCCCCCCCTTCCTCTCCCCCCTTCCTACCCCCCTTCCCTCCCTCCCTCAGCACACGCCTCAATTCTTTCCCGTCCTTCTCCCTTTTCTATTGAAAGAACCCACCACGGACCAGACAGGAAGCCATGCCAGTACATCTATGTTCTTCCCTTCCCCCGGGGTGGGTACCTCTCTCCCCTTCTCATGCATCCCCCCTTCCCCTTACCCCCCCTCCCCTCCCCCTTTCCTTCCCCATCCGCCCCGCCTCTGTCCTCCTTCCCCCTCCCCCCCGCTTCTTTCAAAAACAAAAGAACCGGCTCGGAGCAGACAAGGAAGCATGCCTCTCTCTATTGTACGCTTTTATGGATTCTTTCTGCGTCTCCTGTACCCTGTACCTGGTACTGTATGCTCTGACCTTGTTCGGACCTCCCACCTCCCAATCCCCTACCAACCCTTACACGCCCTCTCACTCCCATTCTCCACTTCCCCCCTCCACCTTCCTCATTTCCCAGTCAGGTTCGGGCAACCGCTTATCACCCACCGAACCATGTCAACGCGTTCATGCTAGCGCTCATCACCCACTGAGCCATCATCACCACACCACACCACACCACGGCCCTCCCTCTGTTCTCTCTTCCCTCTCTCCCCCCTCTCGTCTCCTTCCCACACCCACACCCACCCCCGTATCAGGTCTGGGCAACCGGTTAGTGAACCATGTGAATGCGTTCATATTGGCGCTCATCACCCACCGGGCCATCATCACCACGCCCTGGTCCTTTGTGGTCCGCCGCTTCTGCAACCCCTTTGGCAACTCCACCTCGTGGTCGCTGCCCTTTCCTGTGCACAGGTGCGCGTTTTGATATAAGCACACTAGCACTCTGGCTCACCGGCGCACTGGTGCACTGGTGGCGCACTGGTGCACTGGTGGCGCACTGGTGCACTGGTGGCGCACTGGTGCACTGGTGGCGCACTGGTGCACTGGTGGCGCACTGGTGCACTGGTGGCGCACTGGTGCACTGGTGGCGCACTGGTGCACTGGTGGCGCACTGGTGCACTGGTGGCGCACTGGTGCACTGGTGGCGCACTGGTGCACTGGTGGCGCACTGGTGCACTGGTGGCGCACTGGTGCACTGGTGGCGCACTGGTGCACTGGTGGCGCACTGGTGCACTGGTGGCGCACTGGTCACTGGTGGCGCACTGGTGCACTGGTGGCGCACTGGTGCACTGGTGGCGCACTGGTGCACTGGTGGCGCACTGGTGCACTGGTGGCGCACTGGTGCACTGGTGGCGCACTGGTGCACTGGTGGCGCACTGGTGCACTGGTGGCGCACTGGTGCACTGGTGGCGCACTGGTGCACTGGTGGCGCACTGGTGGCGCACTGGTGCACTGGCGCACTGGTTAGAAACTGATCTCACCCAAGAGCCAAACCGATTCTGCAATCCCTTCGACAACTCCACCTCGTGGTCGCTGCCCTGGCCCGCTCACAGGTGAGGCAAATAGTCAGTGCCGATGAGACGCTCCCAGTGTAAGCCCTTACTCTCAAAGCGAGTCATCATCACCGCGCCCTGGTCCTTTGTCGTCCGCTGATTCTGCAATCCCTTCAACAACTCGACCTCATGGTCGCTGCCCTTGCCTGTGCACAGGTGAGCTGCTTTCAATAGAAGCACACAGGTCAATCAAAAGTCACATTGTTTCTGCAACCCCTTCGACAACTCGACCTCATGGTCGCTGCCCTTACCTGTGCACAGGTGCGTTTTGCCCCACCCCAGACATTCCTACTGATACAGCGAGCCATCATCACCACTCCCTGGTCCTTTGCAGTTCGCCGCTTCTGCAACCCCTTCAACTCGTCAACCTCTTGTTCGCTGCCCTGGCCCGCTCACAGGTGCGTTTTGCCCCAGGCATTCCCATATACAGCAGCCTGCTCATAAATTTTCCTCAGCCAAGCTTCTGCGATCCCTTCAGCACCAACTACTCCACCTCCTAGTCGCTCCCCTGGCGCGCTCGTGGGTGCTGTTTGGCCCAGACATTCCCGTTATTGGCAGACTTTCTCTGGACTTCCTCACGACTCCCTTTTTCCTCCTCTCCTCTCCGCTACAGCCCTTCATTGGAGTGGTTAAGAACCGAATGCTGGAGTTCAAAAGACTTGGTTAAGTACCACACAGGGGGCTAGCCTAACAAATCAGTCCCCGTTTCCTCCCCCCCCTGCTGTGCAGCTCGTTCATTGGAGTGATTAAGAGCCGAACGCTGGAGTTTAGAGACTTGGATAAGTACCTGTGTTCTTCATTGGTGTCAGAACGCGGGGCTAGCGGAAAAGTGAGGAGCCTAACGAATCATCTCCCCGTTTCCCTCCTCCCCTGCTGCAGCTCGTTCATTGGCGTGGTTAAGAACCGGACGCTGGAGTTTAAAGACTTAGTTAAGTACCACTCAGAGCGAGGAGCAGCAGGAGGGGTGGTAGCAGCAACAGGAGGGGTAGAAGCAACAGGAGGGGTAGCAGGAGCAGCAGGAGGAGGGGTAGCAGCAACAGGAGGAGCAGCAGCAGGAGGGGGAGGAGCTGTAGGAGGAGGAGCAGGAGGAGGAGCAGCAGGAGGAGCAGCAGCAGGAGGGGGGAGAGCAGCAGGAGCGGCAGGATTGTTGGAGCTGTCAGCGGAAGAGGTGGCTGGGCTGATTCGCACCCGCACTGTGAACATTCACCTGGCTGGCAGGTGAGAGGGAGATGAAGAGGGGTGGAGGGGAGAGGGGTAGAGGGATGGTGGAGTGGTGATTTCAAGGGCAGAGGTGGCTAATGACGTCTACTTTATCCGTAGTACCCAACCCATTTCTGAGTGTCTTTCTCCCTTGCCCATGTGTTTCCACAGAGGAGCGCACACGTTCTGCACGGATGCGTGGAGCAGCATCAACGCAGCTGTCTTCTGGAGCATGGCGATTGACGTCTACTTCGTCCCCAGCCTCTACTACCTCCCCACATATGCTGTAAGCTGCTTCCATGGGAGCCCCTTGCATGTGAGCATCTGTTGCTCGCTACCAACCATGTCTGTCGCCCTCGTGTGTTTTGGAGCATGGCGATTGATGTCTACTTCGTCCCCAGCCTCTACTACCTCCCCACATACGCTGTAAGCCTCTTTTCTGTTCATGTTTATGTGTCTATACATACATTTATATATACACATATATATATATATATCTCAAATGGTCCTTTGTATTAATTCAGCAGGGGGTACAGACATGCGGTTTGACTCGTGATTCCCTTAGACCCTCTGACCCATTAACCCATCCCTCTGACCCTGCCCCCCCCTGAGTGACCCTCTACCCCTCCAGCGTGTGGAGGATGTCCCCTAGGTGCAGCGGCCATGGGTCCGCTGCCATCTGGGGGTGCGCTGCCTCAATCCCCGCCCTGGCCTTGGTGTGCAGGGCATTCGCCTGGGAGCGCTGGAGGGCCACTGACCAGCGCTGGCTGAAGTGGCAGGCCATCTTCTTGGCAGATTTTGCCAAAGGGGTTGGCCCTGAAGCGGTTCCTAGCTGTTGCTGTGGCCAGCAGCTTCAGGAACGCCGTCGTGGGGGGCGCGTTTGCCCCATAGGTCTCGACGGCCAGGGCGCAGAACACCACGTGTTCTGTGTGCCGATAGTAATCCCTTTCCTTCCGCTTCTGTGCCTCCCTTGCAGCCCAGCCTGGGGGTTTGCGGGCTGCGGGGTCCCGGTTCTGTAGCACAGGGTCGGTGATAGTCGTGTCTGTGATCCAGGTCTCTCCACTGTCTGGGTCGCGTACGATCACGTCGGCCTTCTTTGGGTCATCCGGTGGTGAGTACATTGCATTCTCCAGGTATACCACCAGCTGCGCCTCCCTCGCCATTTTAGCCACGGCGAAGGCCAGCTGGTTGTGTGTGCGAGTTTTGTCCGGTCCTGTGCTGCAGCGGAGTAAGTGGTTAGGTAGGCTGCAGTCGGCCACGAGCTCTCCACACTCGCACACGGTAGGTACATTCTGTCGGATGCCCATGCGGAAGGCCAGGGCTGTTCGGAATTGCCCTGGTGAGAAGCAGAGGTCTGGTGTCAGGGGTAGGGCTTGCAGCCATGCCCCCGCTCCCTCGCCTCTCAGGCTGACGAGGCGGAGCGTGTGGCCCATCTCGGGGGCCGACCTGATTGTGTGTGATTCCTCTGTCAGGGCGTCGGCCTTTGCCGCGTGCACTTCCTGAGAGAGGGCGCGCTGCAGCTGGTCTTGGGACGGGGTTTCCTGCTCCTCACGGAGGTGTTGCAGCGCTAGCGGCGGCAGTCGTCCCTCCATGTCTTGGATGGTGAGCGAGTGCGCTGCAGACGGCTGCAGGGCGTTGCTGTTGCTCCCCAGCGCCGCGGTTGCTGGCAGGTCAAGTGAGCGGAGCAGGCGTAGAGCCTCTGTGGTTGAAGCCAGGTAGGCCGGTGCTGCTTCTGTCGTGGGGTCCGTGAGGCCCAGTCCACCTAGGGCTACTGGGAGGGTTGCTTGGCGGATGAGAAAATTGAACTCGGCTTCGCGGCGGGGTGGTTGGATGCTGGCGGCAGTCAGGGCGGTGTTGAGCAGTTCGGCGCACCACGCGTGCCATTCCGAGAGGGGTAGGACATCTGCTGGGGTGGTGCGTAGCAGGTAGCCGATTCTGCGGCTGATGCAGCGGGATAATAGCAGGAGGGCATGCTGTGGATGGATGGATGCTAGGGAGCCCAGGGGTGCCGCCGCGTCTGTCAGGGTGCTGCGGACTAGGTCAGAGCAGAAGCGCTGTGACCCCACAGGGCTTCCCAACACCCGTACCCCCTCGTGGGTGAGGGGGAGGCCCTCGGGGAGCTCGTCGCCTACAAGCGGCGTCATGGACCACGCCGACGACTTTCTGAGGTTGCAGGTGAGGCCATCCTGGGCGAGCAGCGGCGTCAAGGCACTAAGCGCGCCGAGCGTTGCCGTCGCCGGTCCGATCATGGTGATGTCATCTGCATATGCTAGGATCGTGACTTCTGGGTGCTCTGCTGCTATGCGTCGGAGGTGCTGCTGGATTGATGCCGCGAACAGCAGGGGTCCGAGGGGGTCCCCTTGCCTAACTCCCCTTCTGCTGGTGAGTGCCGTTGTGCTCAAGCGGGGATCGGTCAGCAACTGTGAAGGCGCTGCGTAGAAGGAGCGAGTGAAAGGTATGAGCGGTGCTAACGGGGTATTGGTGAGTGCGTTGAAGAACGCTTTCCTCTCTACGGAGTTGAAAGCGTTTTCAATGTCGAGTTGGAGGACTAGGCTGGAGGGTTGTGAAGTGGTGAGGTCTCTGACGGCGTGTATAACGAACTCAGCTCCGCCTGGGACTGACACGCCGAATTGCTGGGGTAAGAAAAACCGCCTTGTTTCTCCTTGCAGTTCCGAGAGTGCCACCTTCGCTACCAGCCGAAGCAGGGACTCCCCTATTGCGATAGGGCGTACCCCCCCCCCTGGTTTCGCGAAGGCGATGAGGCGGGATGGCAAGAGTAGTGCTGCAACCTTGGTGGAGAGATTCGTCGAGAGAAGGTGTGTTACGGCGGAGTGCAGGTGCCCTAGCACTTCGATGTTACTTAGGGCTGGGTCGCGGTAGTGTTCAAATGTTGACCCTGATGGACCAGCCCCAACTCCGCTGGGGCAATCCCCGAGGACGTCTGAGAAACGTTCCGCGGTGCACGAAAATTGCGTGGGTGTTGTGTAGGTGTGGACCCAGTCGGGCAGCTCAATTTGGGGTTGGGGGTGTTTCAATTCCAACTGCTGCAGTGTTGCGATCGTCGCAGGGGCAGCTGGCGAGGGTTGAAGGGCTGCCAACGCTTTTCGCAGGTTACCCCGTTTCACCAACCCCTCCACACGTGAGCAGATTCCCAGGGGGTCATTTTGGTGGTGAGGTGGCTCGGCTTGGTGCAGGGACCCCACGTAGTCACTGTACAGCTGGTTCCAGTGGCCACATCTGAATAGGTGCATCTGTGCTCGTAGCACCTTCCACCTAGAGCTGGACCTCCTGCTAAGTCGTAAGGTGAGACGTGGCAGGAACATGAGGACCCGCCACGCTCCCGCACAGTTTGGCAGTTTAGAGATCCGTAAGAGGGCGGCCAGCATACAGGTGGAGTAATCGCTTAGTATCTGCGGCGGCAGGCGGCGGACGATAGGCAGGTGAGTGGTCGACGTTAGGGTTGAAGAGTCCCAGCTCATCGCGATCTCAAAGAGATCCTCCCTCGATGCCAGCTGGGACGCTGACAGGGCTTGGTCCGGAGGGGGTTGGGGTCTGCGGTTCTGTCGGCGGCTAGAACCTCTCCCCTGCTGCTGCGCCTGCTCCTCCCCCGCTTCCGCGAGAGGTGAGTCGGGATTGTCAGGTTGCCTCAGATCCGACGGTACATATTCGTCGCCGCTCCCCTCTGCGTTTGTATCACCGATTCTTACTGCTTGCGCTGTCGTTCCTCCTCTCCCCCCGCGTCTAGCGAACGACTGGCGCGTGACTCGTTCCGCCGGCTCCCCCAACCAGATTGGGCTCGGTAGTTGGCGCGGATTCCCCCTCGCCGCGTGCCTTGCACTCCGCTGTCCTTCGCGCGCTCCTCGACGCCCGCCTCTCCCCCGCGTGCTTCCCCGTCCGCTCCTCGGAGTGGCTGCCACAGGTGCCGCCTGTTGCGCCTGGGAGATCGGCGCCGTCGGCTCCTCTTGTGTCAGTGGAGCGCCCTGAGCGCTAGCCAATGGATTTCCTTGGCGCTCTGGGTCGTGACTGCACCGCGGAGAGCGATCCCGCTCCCCGTCCGCTTCCTCCTGCGCGCCCGGCCGCGAGCGTGCCTGTTGCTCCGCCGGCGTCCGCTGATCAGATTCGCCGCCGCTTCGAGGATCAGCGGCGCGAGTTGGCTCCGCGCGGGGGCAGGTCCTCGTCACCGCGGGAGCCCCCGCGCGCGGTGTCTGTCGCGCGCTCCGGCGCAGAGGCTGTGGCGCGCCTGGAGCGTTCGCCTCGCCGTCGTTCATCGGCAGCTCGCGACGATAAGCGGGAGAGCCGCCGCGACGATCGTCACGGTGTGGCTCGTTCGCTGTGGTCGCCTCGTTCGCCGCGGTCGCCTCGTTCGCCTCGTCGCGCGGCGTCGCGGAGCCGGTCCCGTGACCGCCGCTCGCATCGTCATCGTTCGCCCGCTCACCGTTCATCTCGTCAGCGATCGCCTGCCTGCCAGACGTCTGGGCATCGGCCCCCAGCTCCGCGTTCGCCCCCTCCTGCGAAGCGCCAGCGGCTCTACTCTCCTCGTCGCGGGGACCGTTCCCCAGGCCGCCAGCGTCAGCAGGGCCCGTCTCGCCCGCAATCGCCTGTGCGCTCGAGCGCCAGTGGGCGTGCGCGTCGTGGGCGACGGGGAGGTTATGGTCGTGGCGGTACTGCGCGTCCAGCGCCTTCCCCAATGGAGCGCATCCTGAAGAGGTTGGACGGTGTGGAGAAGGCTCTCCACCGCTCGCGTGCGGGGTCATCATCGCAATCCGCCCCTCCAGCTGCACCAGTTGTTCCTCTTGCTGCGCTTCTGCCCCACAATCCTGTGGGGTCCTCGGCGCACTCCGATCATCCGCCTCCTGCAGGAACTGGCTTCGTGGGCGCTGGCACTGGGCCGCCGTGGGCTCGGTTTGTTCCGCCGAGTCCTCTTCCTGCTCCTCGTGATCTCGCCGTGTCGTCTCGCCGTGCCCGCGCATCTGCGTTGCTTCCGCCGATGAAGGAAGTTCCCACGGCGATCCTGGCCCACCTATGGTCGCTGGCGGAGTCCCTGCAGAGCCTTGAGCGGATTCTCCATGTAGGCGCTCCCCCCTTGCGTGTGTAGACCCGTTCCATCGTCGTCTTGCTAGGTGTTCTTGCTTGCCTTGCTTGTATCGGTTGCCTAAACTACTGCTTGTTGTTCCCCCTTGCCATCCCTAACGCGCGGCCGAAGGCCGAAGGCCGCCGGCGCGAAGCGCCGAAATTTTCAGCACTAACTGAAAGAATGAGAGATGAAGAGGCCACCGTGGCCTTAAGTACTCATGGCAGAGGGCAGAATGCAGAGGGCAGAGGGTAGAAGGGGAGAGGCTAATCCTCTCTCTCAAGCGGTCCGTGTATTAGATCCGAGCAAGGTTCAGACATGGACAAGGATATAGAAAGCAATGCAACTCAGCTTCTAAACCCCCACATCCTACCTACTCCCGCCACTCTAAGGCAGCTCCAGTGCTGGCTCCAAGACGGCAAAGCAGTCCCCAAGGGACATGCCCTCGCCTGGCAGCCACACAGGTGGGTTCTCCGCTTGAGCCGCGAAGTTGCACTTCGTCATGAAGCTCACCGACTGCGCCCGCTGCAGCGCCACGGACCACCGCTGGCGGAACTGGTGCAGCAGCTTTGTTGCCTGGTAAGATGAGGGGGCTGCGTTGAAGAGCCTGCGCGCGCCGGTGTCGGCCAGAAGTTTGAGGAATTGAGGGACCTCCGCGCAAGGACAGCCGTAGGTATCAACGGCAAGGGGGAAGAATCCGACCCACGAGGCCGTTGAGCCCTCGTAGTCGGAGATTTTCTTCTCAGCCGCCTCTCGTGCGGCCCATCCCCTGCCCTTGACCGCGTTGGGATCCCGTGTGCTAATAGGGTCCGTGATGGTCACATCCCCTATCCAAACCGCGCCTGAGGACTTGTCCCGTATGGCAATGTCAGCTTTCTTCAATGTGACGGGGCAGAATGCCGTCGTCTCGCTATGGGTCATGAAGTCCGCGTCACTGGCCATCCGCAGGCACTCATCGCGCAGCTCATTGTGCGTGTTTGTTCTGCCCTTCCCCGTGTCGCAGCGCAGTAGGTGGTTGGGCAGCCTTCTGTCAGGGATTAATTTCTCTTTGCGGCAATCGCAGGCACCAGGTGCCGAGGAGGGCAGCCCCAGACGAAACTTCAGCGCGTGGGCAAAGTGGTATGGGGCAAGGCGCAGTGACTTGTTGAAGGGGACCGCGTTGAGCCAGTCACCTGCTCCGTACCTCGAGAGCGACAGCATGCGTTGCGTGTGCCCGCTAAGTGGGTTGAGGAGCATGATGCGCGTGTCTTGCACCTGCTCGGCGTAGCGCTGTCCATGAACCGCAATCGAGAGCCCATGCTGCAGCTTGATGCCTTTGGGGTCGGCCCGGTCATTCTGCAGCAGCTCTTTCCCATCATCTGGTAAGGATTCCTCGCACCGCTCCAGCCAATCAAAGAGGGGGGACGTGTTGATGAAGGGCCCGACCATCCGGACCCTTGTTTCCGCCAAAGCGCCAACCGCGGACTCGTCGATGGAGGTGAGAAGGTGCTGCGCCTGCGTGTAGCTTGCGAGGAACCCAACACGCCCTTCCACCGAGGGGTCTGCAAGGCCCAAACCCAACCGCAACCCTGAACCCAACACGCCCTTCCACCGGTTGCCATTACGGCCCGTCGTAAGCTGCCACGTCGCGCCAGCCCCTCCGCCCTAGCAATGACGCCAATGTCATCGGGCTGATGTCTGGGGGGTTGGGGCCACGTCAGAGAATCCACTGTTTCAGTGTACAATTTGTCCCACTCTCCAGACAGGAACTGACGGAGGCGAGTGCTGACAGCCTTCCAGTCTGGGCGTCTAGGGGACAGCTGGCGAAGTGTCATTCGCGCGAGAAACAGAAGGGCCGTCCATGCGTGAAGTGAGTCTGGATATTTCGCCAGGCGCAGCAGCGGCACCAACAGGGCTGTGGCGAAAAGTTTGCGTGGGTCTGGTGGGAGGTGGCGGGAAAGAGGGGCGTGGCGAGAGTCGCGTAATTTCGTCAAATCCCAGGTCCCTACGCTGGCGAATAGCGTGTCGTCCTTGGCCAGTGTTTCAGGGGGTTTTTCCTCTGGTTGGGATGGGACAGGGTTACGCCAGGTGCAGGGAGTGGGGCAGCGTGGGTAGGGGTCTGAATGTGGGAGTTCGGGGTTGGGATTGGTGGAGTGGCAATGTTGCCTGATGCGGCTCGGGTTGGTGTTGGGGGACCCCTCCGAGTGGATCTCACTGCTGCAGCTCCCCCCGCCATGTGAGATGCTGCTACTGCTCTGCCCGCACGAGCAGGAGTCTGAAGCTGCTCGTCGTCCAAGGGCTCAGAGCTTGAAGTCGAGTCCGTGGACTCGGCTGCTACAAAGATACTGTATGAAGTGGTGGTTTCATTATCACCGCTCATGTCGTTTAAAGCCCGCCTCCCCGCCTGCTGGTACACGTTTTCCGGACCACCTCCGCGTGCTCTCCCCCCGCGTCCCGCAGCTCTCCTTCCGCGGCCTGCTGTTCTTCCGCCGACTTGTCGGCCGCTGAGTGTCCGCGCGCCCTCCTCCCGACGTACCGATGAGTTCCCTTGAAGCTCCTGCCTTGGGGCGAACCAGGGAGAGCGATCCTGCCCCCCGTCCGCTTCCTCCTGCGCGCCCTGCCGCGAGCGTGCCTGTCGCGCCGCCGGCGTCTGCGGATCGGATCCGCCGTCGTTTCGAAGATCAGCAGCGCGCCCTGGCCTCGCGCGGGGGCCGGTCCCTGCCTCAGCCGGAGCATGCTCGCGCGGCGTCCGCCGAGCGCTCCGGCGGAGTGGGTGCGGCGCACCAGGAGCATTCCCCTCGCCGACGTTCGTCTGTGATTCGCGGCGATAGGCGGGAGAGCCGCAGGGAAGGTCTTCCCGCTGGCCCCCGGTCGCCGCGTTCGCCTCGTCGCGTGCCGTCACGGAGTCGTTCGCGTGATCGCCGGTCACACCGCCACCGTTCGCCCGCTCGCCCTCATTCTCGTCACCGATCGCCCGTACGCCTGTCGTCCCGTCCTCGATCGTCCCCGCGTTCGCCACGTCCCTCGAAGCGTCCACGGCTCGACTCTCCTCGTCGCGTGGTCCGTTCCCCTGACCGCCAGCGTCAGCGGGGCTCGTCTCGCCCGCAGTCGCCTGTGCGTTCGGACGCAAGTGGTCAGGGGCGTCGCGGGCGGCGGGGAGGTTATGGTCGCGGGGGAAAAGCGCGTCCAGCGCCGTCCGCAATGGAGCGCCGTCTTCTGGATAGGCATGATGACGTGGAGAAGGAGCTTCGTCGCTCGCGTGCGGGGTCGGCGTCACCATCAGCTCCTCGCGCTGCTCCCGTCGTCCCTCTCTCCGCGCTCCTGCCTCACAATCCATTTGGATCCCCGGCGCGCTCAGATCGGCAGCTGCCTGCGGGAATGGGCTTCGTAGGCGCTGGTGGCGGGCCGCCGTGGGCTCATTATGAACCGCCGCGTCCTCTTCCTGCTCCGCGTGATCTCGCCGTGTCGTCTCACCGTGCCCGCTCGTCCGCGTTGCTTCCGCCGATGAAGAAAATTCCCACGGCGACCCTGGCCCGCCTATGGTCGCTGGCGGCGTCCCTGCAGAGCCTTGAGCGGATTCTCCAGGAGTCATATGACTCCATGCCGGTGAGCCCTCCGAGCAGGTTCTCTCAGAAACCGCGAGCTGATTGTCATGCGGCGGCGTCAGCGCTATTCGCGCTCGTAACGCCACTGCAGGTAGAGCCCTCGCCGGGAGCAACCTCGGCCAGCCAGCTGGCTGACTCGGCCCTGGCTCTGAGGACGCTTGTAGCAGGCCCTGGTACTCCTGTTGACGTTGTAGGCGCCACCGTGTTAGTGGTCCGCCAGTTGTGGTTGAACACGAGCGGAATGCTCGCTGCGGTAGACGCGGACCGCATGTAGGTGCTCCCCCCTTGCGCGTGTAGACCCGTTCCATTATCGACTTGCTAGGTGTCGATGCTTGCCTTGCTTGTGTCGGATGTCTAAACTACTGCTTGTTGTTCCCCCTTGTCATCCCGAGCGCGTGGCCGAAGGCCGCGCACGCGAGCGCCGGCGCGAAGCGCCGAAATTTTCAGAATGAACTGAATATGAGGATGAAGAGGCCACGAGAGCCTTTAAGTACTCATGGGAGAGGGCAGAAGGGTGAGTGCAAGGGCAGAAGGGGAGAGGCTAATCCTCTCTCTCTCGCTCTCTCGAACGAGGCGCCGAAATTTTCAGAATGAACTGAATATGAGGATGAAGAGGCCACGAGAGCCTTTAAGTACTCATGGGAGAGGGCAGAAGGGTGAGTGCAAGGGCAGAAGGGGAGAGGCTAATCCTCTCTCTCTCTCTCTCTCTCTCTCTCTCTCTCTCTCTCTCTCTCTCTCTCTCTCTCTCTCTCTCTTTTTCTTAGAAATTGGCTCTGGCCCGCCTATTCCCCGACCGGCCGACGCATGTGGATGCACACTGCTCACTTGCCTCGTCCTTTTTTTAGGCGCCACAAAAATAGAGTCCTTGCCACCCCTCGCCCCTCTTACCACCCACCAGGCAGCTCTGAATAAGTTATTCCCCGATCATCGTGTGTTGACTCACACCGCTCGGTTTCTTCTGCACCCTGACAACCGGCTCTGGGCGGCAATCACTCGTCTCTTCCATGCCAACCTGGCGCACCACTCCCACAGAGTCGGCATTCAGGTAGTGCAGAATGGTGCAAGGAGGTTGCAGCAAGGTGGAGTGCGGTAAAATGCTGTGCAGTGAGGTGAAGATTGTTGCACAGTTCCAGGTTTGCAGTTGACACACAGGTGCAGCCAGGTATCGTGAGGTACAGCGAGGTACAGTCAGGTGCAGATTAACAGTCTATCCCCCTCCCAAAGCTCAAGTTGATGTGCCATAAAGACCCTTTGGACCATTAAGTCAGCCCCTATCCTCCCCGTATCCCCCCTCCTACCCTTTCTCCTTCCTCCCTCTCCCTTCCTCTCCCCTCCACTCCCCCCCCTTCCCCCCCATATGTGCACTCATGCCGCTCTCTTCAGATCCGGTCAGCGCTCGGAATTGATCTTCCATTGGCTGACCGTGTCCTCTCATGTGCTGCTGACGTGGCACGGTACCTCCCTACCATTGGCTCCTCTAACCAGGTCAAAATTCTCTCTCCCTCGCCCCAAATGTGATTTTAGCGAGTCCTTGAATCGTATTTTTGGGCAAGTTTTGTCCCTGCATAGCAAGACTGGACTGTCTTTTAAGGTGCCTCAAAAGTTTTGTCCCTGCATAGCATGACTGGATTATCTCTGGAAATGCATCATCTGTTTCAAATGAGTTTTTTTTTTTTTTTTTTTTTTTTTTTCTATTATTGAATATACCCAACCCGACCACCCTTCCAGACACAGCCAGCCAACAGCACTGGCCAAGAAGGAACGGTGGGAGAAGGAGGGACGGTGGGGGTGGTGGTGGCATCGCTGAGCATGCTGGATGGACATGCAAGGCCGATACGCCCTGCACGGCGCAGACAACACCCCTTTCCTCCTCCTCCTTCCCTGCCCTATCCGATTTGCCCCTTCCAGACACAACCAGCCAACAGCACTGGCCAAGAAGGTGCAGTGGGAGAGGGAGGGGCGGCTGGAAAGGAAGGGACGGTGGGAGAAGGAGAAGGAGAAGGAGGAGAAGGAGAAGGAGAAGGAGAGGGAGGGACGGTGGGGGTGGTGGTGGCATCGCTGAGTGCACAGCACTGGATGGTGTTTGTGACAGCCTTCCCTCATCCTTCCTCCCTTCCTTCCTACCCTATCTGATTGCCTCCCTCCAGACACAGCCAGCCAACAGCACCTACCCAGAAGGAGCAGTGGGAGAGGGTGGGACTTCTGGAAAGGAAGGGATGGTGGGAGAAGGAGAAGGAGAGGGGGGCACGGTGGGGGTGGTGGTGGCATCGCTGAGTGCGCAGCACTGGATGGACATGCAAGGCAGATACGCCCTGCACGGCGCCCACGACAGCACCCTCCTCAGCTTCTGCACGTGAGTACACTCGCTTAACAGAATAATTGAACGCGTATAAATATGTCTATGCTCTGTATATTATTAAAAAATATATTTGCATGATGCAGATCGTATCATTATGCACAGCTCATGCACATGTGCACTTCCGCTCTTGTGTGGATGTTTCTGTGTGTGTTTCCTTCGCCTGCTTCCTGTCAGGTTGAGTGATCAGTGGGCGGAGAAATGGGCCGACATCGGATAATGTGACTTCTGTTGTGTTTGCCCCTTTGCCCCTCTGCCAATCTGTCACTCTCCCACCTGTCAGGTTAAGCGATCAGAGAGCTGAGAAATGGACCGACACACAATTCGAGTTTGCAGTCATGGAGATGTGGCTCCTCAGCTTCTCGTATGCTCCTCTTTTTTTGCACGCTCGTTTTTTTTTTTATTATTATTATTTATCTGAGGCGGCTTAGAATAGTTGGAGTTTGCCGTCATGGAGATGTGGCTCCTGAGCCTCCACTCCCTTTCCTTGCCCTCACTTCGCTTGTTTTTGTTTTTGTTGTTCCTTCACACTTCGGGAAAGATATGTTGTAACGATCAGACGTTTGGCTCGGCTCGGTCTTTTCTATGTTTGTCCGCATGCCTACTCTTAAATCAGCTTTCCACTCGTCTAAGCAGACCTTCCTTTATGCAATTCAATCTGCTTTTGGTTGTGTCTTTGGCACCCTTCTTGTGCGTTCCCAACCCAACACCCCAAAATGTCTTCCTTCCCCTCCTCACAGGGATCGCATTCTCATTTCAGACTTCTCGTCCTTCGGCTGGGTGGCCCTAGGCCTGGCCGGTATTGACGGGCACTCCATGGCGGTTGCTGTGATACATGCCTTTGAGATCGACTGGCGCAAAGAGAATCGCCCTGTGTGCGTTCCAATCTCTCCAGAGCCTTGTGATGTGCTTGGTGCCTCTGCTTCACTGGTAAGTCCACTTCATGTACATGCATGCTTATATTGAATATGTTGTTACAAGATAATGTGCGAACCTAATTGTTTTGCCTTTTTCGTCTACCAGTCTATGTGCAAGGGGAACCACACTGTGGAGGGTGTGGAGCTGGAGGGAGACCAATTGCGTGATTATTCTACTTGTCCTGGATCGTATTTGGGTATACGAGATATGAGAGCCTTTTGATCTGTTTCAGTTCGCTTGTGTTGTAACATACGTTATCGTTGGAAAATCCGCCGAATTGCATACAGCAGTTTTTCCACGATATCGCGGACATGTGACAGATTGTGGAGGAACAAGGGGAACGAGGGGAACCCCTCGTGGTTCCAGTAGGCGGTGGCCATCCATTTTCAAAAACTGTACAAAACTGAGGGCCAGCCTTCCAGGAAAAACATTTCTTTTCGGATCAGTCGTGGTGGTGGGAGAAACTGGAATTGCAAGAGCAGATGTTTTTGTGTGCCATTCTGCGCACTGTATCGTTCATGCTCATTTTCTCTGCTTCTCAAGTAAAAGTCAGAGGTCAGTGACGTATGCATATTGCACACCACAAACTGCGACGAATTTTCTGAAGCCTACGAATTTTCCGCGGACTCCCGAGTTCTGGGCTGCCTTTATGCTTTGCGGTGCGCCCTTTACATTGTGTCGTGTCGTTTTCCCACGGCTGTAGTAATTTGCTCCAGAGGCAACACCAGAAGCCGAAATAATTTAGCGAATATCAAATCTTGCTTAAACTGTGGAATAAATTATCTTCTTGCCAAGCGCATTGTTTCTTCTGTAACCCTCCACACTTGTGAGTTGTTTCAGCACTCCCAAAAAAATCTCCTCCTTTCCATCACAAACACAACTGGCAAACACAAGCCACACCCAACCGATTCCGTACTCAGATCGTGTTCGTAGTTTTGACATGTCAAGTTTATGCGTGTCAGCCCGAAGCGCGAGTGTTTTTGCGTGTCAATCACTGTAGCTTCGGTGTCAGCTCGAAGCGCCTTTACGAAGATCCACGACGCAATATCATTCGTTGGGAATTGCTCGCATATGCAAACGATTCGTGCATGTCCGTTTCTAGGTTTCAAGTAGGAATCGGTGTGTTTTGATTGGCCATTAGGGGGCCATCTGACTAGTTTCTGCGACGATCCTGGATGGTTCGTAGGTATTGACTGAGAGTGTCCGACGAATTTTACTGGCTATCAAAGCTGCGAAAAAATGAGACGCTGCCAACAATGTTGGTGAGAATGGCAAATTGACGCTAGCGATTTTGACATGTCAAAACTACGGACGAGCCCTCACCCTCCAAGCTGCACGCGTGCTGTCTGTTGCCCAATGCCCAGCGTGGCAGCGTCCCATCGTGGTTTGTCGGTTGGTGGTGGAGACATTGTCCCCCCCCAGCTCACAGCTCCAGTTTGTGCGTGCTGGAGAAAATCACGCTTCGGCGAAACGCGGAACATAGCTGTACGGTTTGTTCTTGTTCCATGTTTTGACGTCGTGGTTTAGTGAGTTTGAGTGGGTTGATGCATATACCGTACATCAGTCGTCTCGTCAACGATACATGTGCTGGCGAACACCGCCATTGTCAACACACAACCCCGCCAATCAAACCCTCCCCTCCCCTCGAACCCCCCAATCCCAACCACCCCTCCTCCCCAACTCAAGCAGCTGGCAGCTGCGCTGTCAACCACAGAACACTCGCGGCCCACATAAAAATCGGTCGTGGGTGCTGATAGTTTCCGACGTTTACTCTAGGTTCTGCACGTTGCAAGTATTTCCAGTACGGCCGAGTTTTCAAGCTGATCACTGTAACTGTCAGAAAGCAGTTGACTTGGCTGCTTCAAGTGTTCAGTCGTTCATGCAGGCCATTCGTGCCATACTTCCAATCCTCGACCTATCTTATCTTTCTAAAGCACACGGTCTGTTCAAAATCCACGCATAAGCGTGTCCGAAGTGAATCCGTCGCTGGATGTCGGTAAATTTCAACCCTCGGATCGAGAATTCCAACCGTCAGGATTTACCGACATCCCCAAAATGGATGTCAACGGATGTCGACGTTCACTTCGAACACCTCCTAATGTGTCCTCCCCATGAGTGCTCTGACAATTGTCCGCAAATCTTGCATCACGTCACGTCGTCTAGTTAGCTCCACTTTCGCTGAGTCTCGAGGCATAACGCAAGTGAGAAAATCAGAGTTAGTGCAGAGAAAGATTCTCGAGATTTTCATCCGGTCGCCCGTTGTCATAATGCACGCAGTCAGCGACTCCGAGTCGTATAACGTACAAACACTTCAACAGTTTGTTCAACCATCTTCTGTGTTGAATCCTTCTGGAGCCATTTCACTCAACCGCGACTGCGCAGACCGCGAAAGTGACGAAAGCGAGAAAATGATTTCGCTTAGTGACGGTTTGTGCGAAGACGTAACGACGATGACTGTCACGGGATCATGCTGCGAGGAAGCAACAGAGCACGACGACGCCGGTAGCGATCGCAGCAGTCATTCCAGCAGTCGTCGCAGCAGTCGTCGCATCAGTCGTCGCAGCAGTCGTTCCAGCAGTCGTCGCAGCAGTCGTCGCAGCAGTCGTCGCAGCAGTCATTCCAACAGTCGTCGCAGCAGTCGTTCCAACAGTCCCGACGATTTCGATTTCGCGAGGGCCTTCAGGGGGGTCCCGCGACTCTCGTTTCAAGACGACGACGCTTGGTCGGACTTTTTCTCGGGAAGCACGGCAGCAACAGCGTCGGTCGACTCGCCAGCGTTTCGGACCCACAACTGTTCCCTCGAGCTTTTCCGCAGCGGCTTTCGCGGGGAGCTTCCCGGTGGCGGTGCTGACAGCGATGATTGCCCGGGCCTTGACAGCGGACGAGACGGAGAGGCCGAACCAGTGAAACCACCGCCTGTTGAATGCTCCTCGTGGCGCCTCGCGAATCGGGTCGGAGTCGAAGAGCAAGTGGAAGTAACGGGAGTATCAGCTTGGTCGCAGGCTTCACTTCGATCGGCGGAATGCACGTCGGTGCGCCTCAAAAGTCAAGACGGAGTCGAAGAGCAAGTGGAAGTACCGCGTGCATTAGCTCGGTCCGCGGCTGCATTTCAAGCGGCGCATTGCTCTCGAAGTGTCGACACGGCGGCAGAGGAACGTTCGGATCGGCCCGTGCGAGAGTGCTCGACGGTGTCGTTTGAAAAAGCCGCGTCAGATGCGCTGCATCTGAGCCGAAACGGTGTGATGCGTGGTGCTTCTACGGCATGTGATTACACGACGCGTGATTATAGGTCGTATGATGCATGCGGTGGCTCGGGAGGTCGAGACGAACGGGCTTCGTTAGAAGCTGACTCGAAGAAACCGCTAGTGGCTCCCCAGCGGAGCCTGTGGGGGATGTTTCGCGAGGCGGCGGCATTGACGGGACCTCGACGCGCTACGCCAGCGGTTTCCGCCGCGGCGACGGATGCGAGGGTTGCGACGACGAATGCGACGGTTGCGACGGATGCGAGGGTTGACAAAGATTGTACGACGTCATCCTCCGTTCCGAGGATGGGCCACGTCAGAAGCGGGACCAAGGTAGCGAACGACCGCGAACGGCTGGTAGGAACGCCGATTTCCTAGAATATAACGCTGCCACGTCATCGGTCTTCTCAAAGGAGCTAGTCGACGAGGCTGCTGATGTGGCAGGGCGTTGGAGCCAATCGCGTCGAGACACGTGTACGACGGAGGGTTGGAGCCGAAGCAGTTCGACTGGTACCAATCCTGAATCGCAGAATGGACCAGAGCCGCTCTTGCGCCAAGGAACTCGCGGCGCGTCTGGTGTAACATCTGGTAACGAAGGCCAGACGCAGGAAGGGGGCGACATTTTTTCACAACAGTTCGTTTCTGTTCGCGAAGCAGAGGAGAAGGGGAAGAATAAGCTGAAGGCGACCTGTGTGGAAGAGGTTCGGATACAAGGCAGGTTGATCCGAACCACTTTATGGAAGGATTTTCGGCAACTAAAGCAGGAGCATCAGCCGCAGCAGCCGCAGCAGCCGCAGCAGCTGCAGCAGTGGGAGCAGGAGCAGAGGGAGCGGGAGCAGGAAACGGAAGCAGAAGATGAAGTGAGAGTTGGGACTGCAAGTGTCGTGCCAGGCTGGTCGTCTGGCACCACGGGTTTCTCTCGTGTCAAGCCCACGGCCCTGCTGTGGGAGCAGTATAAGGCCTGGAAAAAGGAAGTGGTGGATGAAAGGCAGCAGGAGCAGCAGGATCAGGAGCAGGAGCAGGAAGCAGAAGATGAAGTGACAGTTAGGGCCAAGGGTTTCGTCCCTGTCAAGCCCAAGGCCTTGCTGTGGGAGCAGTATCAGGCTCGAAAAAAGGAAGTGGTGGATGAAAGGCAGCAGGAGCAGCAGGAGCAGGAGCAGGAGCAGCGGGAGCAGGAGCAGGAGCGGGAAGCAGAAGATGAAGTGACAGTTAGGGCCAAGGGTTTCGTCCCTGTCAAGCCCAAGGCCTTGCTGTGGGAGCAGTATCAGACCCGGAAAAAGGAAGTGGTGTATGAAAGTCAGCAGGAGCAGCAGCAGGAACCGCAGCAGCAGCAGCACCGGCAGGGGGAGCAGCAGCAGCAGCAGCAGCAGCTGCTGGAGCAGAAGCAGAGAGGGGAAGGAGTTGACGAAACAATGTCGTCATCAAGTGGTCTAACTCTGTCTGAGGAACCATTCTGCTTCAAACTTCCCGATCGGGCAGAACCAAAGCTACTGAAAACTGCAAATAACCCTAGATCTAGCCTTGCAGGTCACTGTCAAAATCCAGGACAGGATCTGCACAACAAGCCACCCACGCGCCGGATTGGCTGTCCAGGAAATATTTATTTTCATTCACAAGACTGGCTGACCGGATCTTCGCAAGCATCTATCTCCCACCGTCGCAACCGCCGAAGAAGTCTGGATGATACTGTTCTAGCATCGGCACAAAAGTCTTCCCCAGGCTGGCTTGCCGAACCTGTTCCGCGCGCTTGCAACCGTCGCGCGAGCTTCAACAATGTTCCGTGTCGGTCGACCCTTCACATGTCGACAGTCGAGTCGTTTTTTTTTTTTTTTTTTTTTTTTTTTTGGTGGATATAAGTACACTACCAGCATACATACATCCGCAGTCGTAACTGATGCTAGGAGGGCATGAGGAGGTTACAAGTATCCAAGCAACCAGAGCCCCCCTTATCCTTTTATGGAGGTTGGAAAGCAACACCTCCGTCTTCCCAGATCGCCTTAAAACCCGCTCTCCACGTCATCGAGGCCTCTGTCTCATAGAGCCTGCGCATAGCTCCTGCTTCGTCAGCATTCAAGTGGCTCCAGTCACCCGTCCTTTTCGAAACACTCCTGCCAGCCATTTTCTTCCGCGCTCTGCTGTAGATCTTCACGTGCCTCGTGAAACCAACTGCCATGCGTCTCAATGCTCTCTTTGGTTGGAACCGGCTACCACGGAAAACCGCATTGCACCTCTCCAGCCAGACTTGATGCGCTGTTACGGATATGATTGCAGCCTCTGGGAAGCCAGTCGACGTGCCACTCCTTTGGAAGAGCATGTCCCCGAGAGATCGCATGTCCCTGCCCGGGTTCATACACTGAACCGCTTTCCTCATCACCTCCACCACAGGTTGGATCATCGGGCAGCTGAAAAGGCAGTGATCTTGCGACTCAACTCCGCCACAGTGCGTGCATTTCGCCCTCGCACCCAAGAAGGGGAGCCGCTCCCCTACTTGGAGGTTGTTACTGTGCACCCTCAGTATCACCTCTCGCGCCTTGCATGGGGTTGCCAGTGAGTCACGGACCGTGATAGCCTTCCCCCAGCCGATCTTCCTCCCCAATTCCTCCTCCCACTTCAGCTGCTGTTTCGGTTGCGCCAGCGAGGGTTTCATCGCCTTCCTCAACTTCTTTAGATCCGCCCGCTCGCCTTTCTCACAGATTGCAGAATAGAGCAGTCGCGTTCTTGGAGCGCCGAGTAAACCGCGGGCCCTTCCATCTATGACTGCCATGGGTGAAGCGTGCCGAAATTCCACCGATACCACGCTAGCATATTCCACTTCGCCTATGTTCCCTTTCTTGTCCACCGTCACTCTTCGACCGTAAAGTTCGCCGTTGCTCACATATTGCAGCTGATAATAAAAGAACTCCCCCGGGCGGTAAGACGCAGAGCGGACCAAACTCGTTTCCCTGAAGAGTTCATCCGCCGACAGCTGGTTGAGCACCATATCCTTCCATCTCTGCGGTGTCGCCTCCCACGCCTTCAGGGCCCATTTCCTCTGCTCCACGCCTCCCAGTTCCCTCTCCAGAACCTCATCGCTCTTACGAGCTCTGCTGCCGTCTCCTCCTTTCACCACCAAATCCCCCAGTCGGATGCCCTTCAGACAGAGCGAGCCCGCCTGGTTGCCGAAGGGTGATCTGCCTCTGAAGAAAATACTGCGGTTGAAAAGTAACTGCTCCTCCTCTGCGTCCCATCTGTGAGCCGGATCGCCTATGTCCACAAGTTTTGAGTCCCACAGTGCCTTAATAGTGGCCTTCCATCTCGTGCCCCCTCCCAGCCAGGACTTCAGGACCGAAGGGTGCGCGTAAACCGTGGCCAGGCCAAGGGGGAAAGCCGCCGCCCTCTCCCATAACCAGTTTCGAAGTGGCTCCTGTTCCACCAGGGCCTTTCCCAGTCCTTGGATCACCATGCTGTCAATCCGGTGTTTCAGATCAATCACCCCCAAGCCCCCCTCCTTCCGTCCTCTGCACGACAGCTCATAGCTCCATAGCGTGAAGTGTCGATCAAGGAGCGCTTTCCCACCGGAGATGAAATTATGACAGAGCCTCTTCACTTTGGTCCAGACCTCGTACGGTGGGGCGTAGATCTGCGCCTGGAAGAGCAAAATCGGCATCGCGTAGCTGTTTATGATGGTCACCCGTGCCGAGGTTTTGAGATGCTTAGTCTCCCAGCAACTCAGCACCGCGCTAACCTTCTCGAAAGCCTTGTCCCATGCAGGTCCCGGCGAGCCTCCAGAGGTGATCCAGATTCCGAGCAGCCTTTCAGATGTGTTCTTCGCCGCCCACTTGAAAGACGACGCTATCGGCTGCAGCCTCCTTCGATTTTTCCCGAGCGGCATCAATGTTGTCTTATCCCGGTTCACCTTCAGTCCTGAGATTGCCGCGAACTCCCCCAGCAGTTTCTCAGCAACCGCCACCTGCTCTTTGCCCTTCAAGACCAGCGTCGTGTCGTCTGCATATCCAATGTAGTCTAAGCTCCCTTTCACCCCTCTCTTCCTGACCCCCAGTTTCCTCCGTTGAATTTCTTGGCAGAGAGGCTCAACCGCGCAGAGGAAGAGATACGGGGCGAGCGGGCAGCCCTGGCGCACCCCTTTGGCCATCTCTGCTCGCTCCCCAATCCAACCGTTCAATAGTACCCTGGTTGCCGCTCCATCGTGGAGACCCTTTACCCATCTCGTGAACTTCTCCGGGAAACCCATGTTGCCCAATGTCGCGAAGAGGTATTCACGTGATACCGAATCGTAAGCTTTCTGAAAATCAACCAGCAGCAGCAGCCAATCCTCATCCTCCTGCTCCGCAGCATCAATCGCATCTGCTACCAGAGAGACAGCGTCAGCGAGACTCCTCCCCGGAAGAAAGCCGAACTGGTTGGCTGAGATCACACGCGGTAAGACCACCTTGATTCTGTTCGCCAACACCTTCGCCAGCAATTTGTAGAAGAAGCTCAGTAGAGTGATCGGTCGGTAATTTCCCAAGTCGTCCCTGTCTCCTTTTTTGTGCAGGAGGATCGTGACCGCCGTTGTGAAAGACTCCGAAAGCACCCCTGCTGACTCGAAGCTCTTGACCTCTCTCATCACTGCCGGGCCCAGCAGCTCCCAGTTTCTTTCGAAGAGTTCTTTTGGCAGGCCGTCCTGCCCCGGGGCCTTCCCCGCCGGTAAGCCTTTTAGCGCCGCTTTTACTTCCTGCTCTGACCATTCGCTGTCCATCTGCATGCGATCGCTCTCCTGCAGCGTCTTTCCCTCCTCGATCGGCCATGGCTCCGCAGGGGAGGGCGCCGGCGACAGCGTGTAGGCTTCTCGGAAATGCTCCGAGGCAGCTTGCAGCACCTCGCTTGCTCCTTTTCTCAACAGCCCTTTGAAGGTAAGTTCCGCTATTTCAGTTTTCGCCTTTCTGGACTTGACCAAGCCTGACAGAAACCCTGACGGAGTCTCCCCCACCAGCTCCTGCAGCATCCCCGTCAGAACTTGCAGCCTCTCCTTGTTGCTGTCCTGGTAAAGCTTGAGAGCCGTTTCATTCTTTATCAGCTCCTCGTACAAAGCCTGCGACGAAGGGTCCGACATCACCTTCCATCGAAGCTCTTCCACCTTCAGCTCCAAGTGCACCATGGTCGCCTTAACTCTCTTTCTCTCCTCTGCTACATGAGCTCTCATGCTTGCACGCAGATTCGTCACCAGTCTCTCCAGGCCGTTGTCCGGACACTTCGCCTGTGAGTCCAGTACCGCCGATATAATGTTCCTGACTCCTTCACCCCCAGCCTGAGGTGCCTGAAGCCTCCACAACCCTGGGCCATGGTCGTCCGCCGATGCAGCCTTGAGCGACACCGACACCGCGAACCAGTGATCTGTTAAACCGTATGGAACCATTTTATGCTTCGCCTCCGTTACGCAGTTGAGAAGAGAGTGTGAAACTAAAGCCCTGTCTATCCGTGTACTCGTTTTTGCAGATCTCGAGAAGAACGTGAACTCTTTCCTGGTCGGGTGGAGGCTCCGAAAAGCGTCTTGCAGATCCCACCTCGAGCAAATCTGCAGGAGTCTTTGATTCTCCGCCGGCGTTCCCAGTTTTGAGGACTTGTCCAGCTCCGGGTCCGCAACGATGTTCAGATCACCAAGAAGTATGGTATATGGAGAGGCACCTAGGCTCTGCACGAAGGGTGTTAGTACATCACGAAAGAAGACCCCCCTGGCAGGTGCTTGCGCAGGTAGGTATACAGCCACCACTCTGCAGGTCAGATCTCTCCATGCAATCATCAAGCTTATGAGACGGCCGGATTCGTGCCTAACCACGTCTGTGAACCGCATGCCTGGCAGGAAGCCCAAGACCGCCACCCCCCCAGCTCTCTGTGACGGGCCAACCACCGCTTGAGCTTCCGACCTGACTTGTGTCCAGAAGTTATGATCCTGTGAGACTCGTGTGTCAGTGAGTACAACAATATGTGCTGCCTTCCTGATCCATTTTCCGCATCTCTCCTGTTTCCCACTGCTACCGAGCCCGTTGATGTTGAGCTCGAGAAAAGTTAAGCTGTTGCGTTTATCCATTAACCACTTTCCTTGAGCCCCACAGCATCCACGGGCGATTGGTCTTTATTGCGACGATGCAACCAGCTACAGCGAAGGCAAACATGGCTTCTACTACACAGCTTGCACCAAAAAACCACAGTGTCGTCTCATCCGCTAAGCCGCTGATCACTTCTTTGCCGGTGTGGCCATGAACTCCTTTTTGAAAGCAGCCATCTTCTGAGAATGTTTGCTGACACGCGTTGCAGCACCTTCCTTTTTCAGCCCTCCCTTGTGCCTGGCAGAAGCGACATGAGCCGCCACCTGCTCGAATCGGTTCCCTTGAGCCTTCTCGCATACAGTCTGTACGCATACCCACTCCTCCCGCACACCTCCTGTAGAGGTGAGTATGACTGCGGGGTCTTTCAAGATGCGCGTCGGAGACGCTGTGGCTTTCAGGGAAGCCGCTGCGGGAGGAGGTGAAGAGACAGTCGTTAGTACGATTCGAGAGGCATGATAGGAGCGGGGTGGACAACGAAGGTAACGAATTAGACAGCTGAGGGTGGGGGATCTTTCTGCTTATACCGTTCATGTCATGAACCTTTTTGACCGACAGGTTCCAGTTGGTGAAGTTCTCCTGCCTCGAGGTAACATAATGATCGTGGTAGCGGGACAGGTGCTGGCCGCTGCAGAGCTCGCAGGTAAGCGATGGGTAGTGCAGCATGTAGCGTCTGCCAGTCGACGGGTCCTCCACAAAGTACCTCCAGCGGTACTCATCGTCAGCGTGGGGGACAAACAGACCGCGGATACGGTCGGTGTCCAGCCCAGTCACCGGATCGACGGTACGATGAAAGCCGAAACCGCTGGCGAAAGCACTCCGACCGCGCTTAACCAGCTTCGACACCACCAGCAGGTGACGAATCAGCTCAGCAGTAATGTCCGCAGGAACTCCTTTGACAACAACCTCCTTCGCCGTCGGGTTCAGCAGGCGCTCACGAAGGAAACGCGCATCTTCAGGGTGCTGCCAGGTAAAGTCGACAATGTCGCCATTCACGCACTCGTGTCTGATGACTTGACTCCAAACGAAATTTGCATCGCGGACGCGGTTGAAGGTAACTTGAAGACGACCATAGCGTGTGCCAGAGAAATAGGTCGCTGTAAGTTCCTGGTAAGTTGTTGTCTGCAACGCATCTGGCGACAGCTGATCCTTCCATTCTTCCAGCAAGGCAGCCACAGTTACAGCAGTCCGCTTGACTTCAGGCTCCCTGTTAAACGGCACCAGCAAGGTCAGTGAGAATCTTTTCAAAGCGATAATGCTGCCGAGCGAAGCTGGTTCCAGGTGCTCGTCGGAGTCGTCACTCAGGTAACCATCCTCGTCATCGTCTGGAGCCTGATCTGACGAGGCACCATCGTCCTCCTGCGCGTCCGCATCAGCATCAGCCTCTCCTTCAGCGGCCTCTTCTTCACCTTCCTTGTCAGCAGGATCAGCGACACCATCAGCAGCTTGTTCGCCATTGAGGTCAGTCTTGTTCTGTAGGTCCAATAAGTCCTCGAAAGGGCCAAGCACCACTGGCGACGAGGAGGTGGAAGGCGCACGCCCTTTGTCAGCAGCATCCTTCTCAGGTACCGTAGGGCTGGGTGACATATCGGCTACTTTGTCAGTGACTGTTGTCTTCTTGCTAGTCTTGTTGCTGCGAGCTCTCCCCATGGTGCGAGGATGAGAAAAGCTTGACAGCCCGTTGAAGGCTGAGAGACAAGCCGGACTGAGCACAACTGACGATGAGTCCGTTTGTTTATACTTTTTATGTTTGAAACTGAAACGCTGCAGGTCCAGGCCAGGGATGGGAGCCATAACCTTAGGGAACGCCAAACGGCCAAGTTGGTTAAGAGCCTCGAGTTGTGCTGAAACATAGGAAATGTCATCCTTGAAAAATGCGCGAGATGTTGACATTGCCGAGCGCCAAGCTCGATGATAAACTCTGGGAAGCTTGAGATCTTGATAATAGCCATGTGCAATAGGTAGCCTTGAAGTTGCATGGAACGCTTACGACAGCCTGGAACTCGCATAAGTGGTGTTTAGGTTCCCGTAATGAACACTAAAAAGACACCATTGTGTAGAGCTTAAAGCCGCGCGTCGTACGAGTGTCTCAATGTCAAGATCAGGCTGGAAATTGATGCACACTGACTGAGTTAAAGCTCTCCGCCATGGCCATGGCTGCCTTGACATTGTTTGAAATTGTTTTTTGTTCAATTTCTATGGGGAATAAAACGAAATCGTGTCACCTTGCCGGAAACCTCCAGCTCCGTCTTGTCGAGTCGCTTGAGTCAACCCTTCTTGAGTCGACCCTGCTTGAGTCGACCCTGCTTGAATCAACCCTCAATGTGAATAAAAGCGGTTCGTGTTCCGCTGCTGGTGTTGCGAATCGGAACTGCTTCAGCTGCTGCCTCTCCAAGTGCGGCTGCGGAAACTGCAACCGTGAGAATCTGGGGGAACAGTGTAACTGCAATAAACTGCATGACTACAGTAAACCGGAATCTGCTCTTGTGAGACAAGGGCAGAGGTGTTTGGAGCAGGATGAGATGCATGGGAGGATGTGGCTGCTGCAGCAGCAAACCCAACCTCAGCAGGAGCAAGACCAGCAGCAGCAGCAGCACCAGCAGCAGGAGAAGCGGCAGGAAATGCTGGTTGGGTGTTTGGAGCATGCGCGGAGAGTGCATGGCAGTGCAACGGAGAGGCCGAGACGACGCCGACACATGCGTGAGGAGCAGTTGATGATGGCTCATGGGACGATTAGCATGCCGTGCAATTGACATGAGCACCCCATGCCATGCCATGCGGCTGAGATGAGCATGCCAGTGCCATGCAACTGACGTGAGCATGGCATGCCATCTAGCTGACCTGAGCATGCCGAGCATTGGACATCAGCATCCTCTACATGAGTGAAAGTGACATCAGCATTCCATGCAATTGACATGACCATTGACCACCCAGTTCGACTGACATGAAAACAGATGGTGTTACAAGGTGATGTAACACTTAGCCACCCACTTATTGGCCAATGGCCATGCAGCGCTGACATGTATGTAGGAGGTGGGTGGGAGCAGGGCATTTGACATTCAGCATCACTTTTGTCATTAGCATCAGGAGGACCCCATTCGATGCAAATTTCTCTTTGTATTGTACTTTGATGTAACACTAATTGCTTCTAATATTTTACAGGCACCTGTAAGGTTCTTGATATTATAGCCAAAGCCACTGATACGTAGCTCTTTTTCTGGTGAACTGGCATGCACAGTCTGAACTGAACCATCCAGGCTCAGGACAACCCCAAGCAGCCCCAGATATAATCTTCACCCTCCCTTCCCTCAGCAAGCACAGAAACAATCCCTCCCGGTTTTTGTAGCTATTACGGTATTAGGAGACAAGCCACACCAAATAAACACTCCAGACCAGAGACACTATAGTACTGTACATGGTACTAGGGCTGTAGTATTCTTGAGATTCTAGCTAAAGCCACTGATAGCTCGCTGTCTGGCAAACTGGCAAAGCACAGTCTGAACCATCCAGGCTCGCTACACCCACATGCACCCCCAGGTGTGATATTCACCCTCCCATCCCTCAGCAGCAGCAGAAACAATTCCTCCTCTCCCTGAAAACTGTTCTTTGGCATTATGAACTCTCGAAAGTCGCACCAAAGAAACACTCCTGCGTTGCTTCCAGCCAAGCACGGGACTCCTATTTGCAACAGAGCTTCTTGTGCTGTAGACGAGGCCTTTCTGAGCCTGCGCTGGTTCTCTGAGAGGTAGGCTTGTGTGAATACCGAGTCGCTCAATAAAGGTGCAAGGAGTGCTTGAGTGTGGCGAGATGGGGAGCAGAAGCGGGCGAGTTTGGTGACAGCTGATTGGACGGTGGGGTTGAGGGAGTAGCAAGCACCAATACGAAACCCAGGAACACCCATGTCCTGCAGGGATGAGAGAGGAGATATTTTTGGGACATCTTGATTATTCATGCGGAAAAAAAATGGTACTGAGTAATTTATTTTGAACAACTGTCAACTCCTTTTTTTTTTTCATAATTGAAAGTGTGATCCCACCTTGGAAGGTCCATACACGATGTGCAGAATGGGGTAATCCTGAGGCTCGGCAAGGTGCAGAAGTGATGTGAAACCATCCCCGTTATAGACTGATCCAGCATAGATCTCGTCCGAAATCAATTGAAGACGGTTTTTCCTGCAATTGAGACATAAATCAGAGTTGATAAACTCAGAATCCGTTCACAATAAAGTTCATGCTCATCATCACGGTTAATCATCCAAACCGCAGCTCAACTTACCTGCAAAACTGCAGAACTCTGAGAAGAGTAGCATCGGAAAAGGTACGGCCCAGAGGGTTGGAAGGTGATGACAGCAGCACACCACGAACCTGCGCTCTCCTCCTTTCCTTGCTCCCTCCCCTCGCCTTCCTCCCTCCCCTCTCCTTCCTCCCCTCTGCCCTCTCATCCTCCTCCCACCCTCGTCCCTCCATCCTCGGCTCCTCATCACCTCCCTCCCACTGAGACTCCCTGAGAGCAGCTTCTAAGGAGGATGTGCTAATATCGAATCCAGTGTTGCTATAGGTGGCAGCAGGGATAATGGTCACGCCAGCCTGTCGCTCAAGATCCACTGTGAAACTGAAGTTAGAGGGGAAGGAAAGGGGGCGTTTGTCGGAGGTGGGGAGAGGCGGGAGGAAGCGGAATGTTGGGGGTCAGGGTGGAGTGAGGAGGAGTGGAGCCAGGCAGAATCAGAGACCAGGGATGAGGTTGAAAGGGGAGAAGGGGAGTCAGTGGGAGTGAATGGGGTTGACTGACTGAGGGGAATGAGTATTAAGTAGTACAAGGAAACTGGAATGAACCAGAATAGAAGCATCCTTAACCCTCCAGTAGAAGCACGACTAACCTGGGGTTGACGCACAGATAATACGAGGTAGAAACAGCTTACCCCGGATAGAAAGGAGTTGGAACGATGAACGAATCGCCTGCGTCGGCCAGCACATGGGCCAGCAATCCAACGGCTGCAGTGACTCCAGACGTGATCACCAGACGGTCAGGATCGATCTCGGTTAGCTCGTGCGGATTGTGGGAAGAGGACGAGCGATCGTGGGAGAGATTGAGAGCATGCGTCATGAAAGCAGCCATTGCCTGCAAATAAGACCATGGCAATGTTGGGATGTTGGAAGGGGAGAGGTAAGGAGACGCAAAAAAAGGAGAGCATGAAGGACAATAGAGGAGGAGAAGGAAAAGAATGAGAGTTTGCATTGAAAAAGGGCAGTAGACAGATGCCGACGCTGGCAGTGGCACGGGTGTAACAAAAAGGAAGAAAAGGATGAGGACAGAACGAACCAAACCAGTGAAGTTGCCTGACTTTTGTTATTGGAGTGCGCTTACCTCACGGAAAGGCTTGTCTCCATGGAACTCCCCATACGCTGACGTGGCATCAATGGCTGGCATGTCGCGCTGGAGGCGATCTGAGATCAGATCAAGCGACAGCTGATTGGGTTGGGAGAGGGCGGAGAGGGAGGGGAGGAAAGAGATGAAGAGAGGAGAATGTGAGGGAGGGATTACGTCACAAAACTCCTTTGAGAGGCGAATTGTCAGGACCCTTCTGGTGTCATTTCAGGTTAGGATGGTTAAAATTTGGAATGAAGAGTTTGATTACGTGCAAGGCGCCTCATAGAGCAATCATCACTCTGGTTACTACCCTTGACGGGTACAGTTCCTGGTTACTACCCTTGACGGGTACAGTTCCTGGTTACTACCCTTGACGGGTACAGTTCCTGGTTACTACCCTTGACGGGTACAGTTCCTGGTTACTACCCTTGACGGGTACAGTTCCTGGTTACTACCCTTGACGGGTACAGTTCCTGGTTACCACCCTTGACGGGTACATCCTAGTTACCACCCTTGACGGGTACAGTTCCTGGTTACCACTCTTGATGGTCACTGGTTACCACTGTCATATAGCGACATCTTGCTCTGATAATCAGCAAGGTCGAGCTGAATAGCACAATCAGGCCGTGGCACACTGGTTACCACTCGAATGTTACCACTCAAATTTCATCGTTCGTATGTTACCGCATTTTACCACGCACTTTGTTATCAGCAAGACCCAGCTGAATTACACCATCGGGTCGCGTCCTCGCGTCGTACGGGTTTTCCCGCGCAAATCCCAGGCCTTGATAGTACATCGACGGCTCTTCGGCAGCTAGTTGCGCGCCGCGGCTGGAGAGCACGTCACTCTCGTTATAATCACCCTCCGACATTGCTGGGACTTGGACGGATTTAACTCCAGCGGCTACGTGCGTCTCCTGCCTAAACTGACATTGACGGGAGATGGAAGGAGGACATTGAAATTCTGTGTTTAATTGCTCTACCCTGATCCCAACAGTCGGGAGTTTTCGAGTTTGATTGGGATAGCGAATTGCGCAGCGGCAACTTGCCGGCGCGAATGTACCGGCATTTGACTAATTTAGTAGGCTTCATCACAGATTTTGGCTAAGCTGTTTCAACCTGTGGCTTTAGAACATCGCCCTGCATTCGGAGAGAACGGTTCTGTGGGAGAACTCATCCTCGTCAAAAAGCCTTTAGATCAGATTCCGATACTTCCTCATAATGCTTCCAGACCAGAACCTGCACTAACTATCATGTAATTTGGGATTGCCGATAATCAGCTACTTTTATGCATGATTTATTTAAGGTAAGCGTTCAGAATGACATGACATGACTTGCTATCTAACCATGTGATGGCACTGCGTGTATGCTTCTAATTATTGTTTTTAATCCATATTATTATACATTTCCAAGTTTCCTCTCGATAATTATTGTTAGGAATGAAAATACACAATCTGTTATACTTGGATCATTTACCGAATCTCCCTTCGTAATGGAAGGTTGTCAGAATCTAGTCTTGTAGCGCATATTCGCTGAATGTGCCTCAGAGGAATCAGCTGCGACTCGAAACGGGAAAACTGTGCAAAAAGGCGAACATTGGTTGAGTTTGCCTACGTGGAAGGCCTCTCGCAATCTCAGGAAAAGTCCCAGCCGTTTTGTCGGCGCAAAGCATCCTGTACGTCACAGCTGTGACACGTGGTGCTGATCCAGACCAGAAGCTCGAGCTGTGGCGCGAAGGACTTGAGCACTGGTGGTCGCATCGCATCTCCTTCCCCAAATGCCAGGAATTGTCGGCTTGTGGATCTTCACTCACGATGCCATTCGACGACGGTGTTACCACGAGTTCAACGACTTTATCATAATCGTCACCTAACTGGAGCTTGGAGTGCCATGATCTGTGCGAGGAGGTTCAAAGATACCTATCTCAAGAGTTGGAGACCATATTTTCTTAGGATCAACCTTGATTTCAAGAGCCGTTTCCTGATAGTTTTCGTTATTTCGACAGCATCAGGTTCTGTTCGAAGCGACGCCAGGCTGAGGTCTCGCAAGTTTGCTTTTCCTCCGCTGTGTCTGAGTATTCTTTTCTCAGTTCCACTCCATTGATGCCATGGTCGTCCTCGCAATGACCGATCTGGGTGCTGCTAGAGGAGCGGGGGACGCGGACTGGGAGCTCGAGGAGTTTCTCCGTCGAAGGGAGATCGACGGTACGCTGGCGGTGCTGCGCAGGCACGGTCACGATCTAGCAGCGAAACGGTGCCGGAAAGCACAGGAAACGGAGTCAGAGGCAATTGAGTCGAGTCGAGCGCAAGAAGCGGAGAAAGCGGTGCTGATTTCAGACAAGATCTCTGCGACGAAGATCGCAGAGCTTAAAGAGTCGCCGTCAGCATCGTCGCTGTCGCCCAGCGACAGGCTTACAGGATTCGACGGCGACGAATGGGACGATCCATGGACGGACACGGAGGACGGGTCCTCCATTACCTACTCTGACGGAGTTGACGGTGACGGATTCCGTCTGGAAGATTTGCCAGACGTCCAACCTCTGTCAGTTTGTTTCACGAGCAACACTGGGGATCACGGAGTAGACGAAGTCTTGAACGTGCCTGGGTTCGAAACAGACGGCGCCGTCGCAAAATCGCCACACCAACAAGTCGCCACCCTGGCAGATCGTCTAACGAGTAGATCTGGCAGCGATTCGCCGACAGGAACGGATATGTTGCCATGGCCACTCAAGGCAGATCAGGCGGCGGCTGCTTGTATTGGAAGTGCTGATACCAGAAGCACTAACAGAGGTCCGGTTCGGGAAGATGACGTCGCATCGTGCGATCATTTCGACGACGGAGATGTCGTCAACGGTTCGTCTGTGACGGCCACCGATCTCCAATCGTTCCTCGAGCGGCTGCGAATCCCGGAAGCCGCCTTGGAGTCGCACGGCTGGCAGCACTTGATGACGCGCGCGACGCCTACGATGCAATACTCGTCGCATTCCAGCGACTGTGCGATCGAGGGTTACCCGAAGAGCACGTGTTACCGAGGTCGCATGGTGGTCGAGGGGGTGACGTTGGAGACGGTGCGGGATTTTCTTCTAGACGACGAGTTTCGGGGGGAATGGGACGAGAACCGTCTCGAATCGACGGTTCTGGAAGACTGGAACGAAGCTGGTGTGTGCGTCGTTCGCTGGGTTCGCCGTCTTCCGTTTTTCCTCCGGAATCGCGAGTATGTTGTCTCTCGGCGCGTCTGGTCCCTCTCCCGTCACACACCTTCCGAGCCTCTAATTTCTCCCGCGCTTCACACCCCTCCCGAGCCCCAAACCTCTCCCGAGCCTAAAGCCCTCACCGAACCTCGTCCCCCTCAAGAGCCTCAAACTCCACCCGAGCCTCGAACCTCGCTCGCTCGACATACTTTTTTCTGTATCAATCGACACACGTCACACCCATCAGCCGTCTCTCGGCCTTCCCTGCTGCGCGTGCCATACTTCTACTCCTCGTGGCGGATCCGATATGTTCCAGGGCGAGAATGCGAAGTCGCGGAGCCAGGGGAGAATCTGGCGGGGCAAAGAGGCAGACTGGAAGGGGAAGCGAGCGTGGCGGAGGGGCAGGGGGGCGATGCGGATCAGAATCGCCGGAATCTGGGAGTGGAGATAGTGACGTACCACCAGGAGGAGTCAGGGATGCCTCGGGAACTGACCAGGGTGGCTGTAGTGCGAGGCATGTGGGGTCACATGCTGGGAATTGAAGCTGCCCTGAGGAATTACTGCCAGGCTCAGCGCACTGTCAGGAACTCATTGCCTCCTTTCCTGCTGACTAATGATTCTTGAGTCAGACTCGAAAGCGAAGGTAATAGTTTGAGAATTATGCACACACTGACCCTGACCTGCGTTTGAGTGGAAACGACCCTGATTACTTAATGGCAATGCGAGATGGGGAGCCGCTTCTGGGAATTAAGGCTGACATATGTACATAAAGCTAACATCTACATTTTGACTGGCGCAGGTCTTAGTCTAGACTGTTCGGGCAGCAAGAGATATATCCTCCACTGTTGTACGTAGCTACGCTTTGAGACACTGTGAAATTCAAAGTTGCCAAAATGCTCAAGCACATCTTCACCTCCAGATGCCTCCAATTAAAACCCAGTTGCCAACATTTCAAGTCTCCATGAGCCATGAGCCTTGAAACATTTCCATGATCTCAAACTTCAATAACTGCCGTTTTGGCCTTCCTTTTCCTGCTCCACGCAATGAGTCTGCTTAGATCTTGACACACGCTTCGCAGCTCAGAAGACCTTTTATGCTGAAGACCGCACCCAGCAGCTGCTAGAACGTGGTTGGGGACCTTTGAGCTCAAGGAAAACGAGGTCTTCCTGTGAAGTTCTGAACGTTAGGATTCAGGCGATATCAGTAGCCTCAGATAAAACTTGGGTATAAATATTCAGAAACTACTCACCTAAAGTGCGCGAAGATGTAAATCTGAGCCATTAGCTGGTTCTGTTGAGTTTGGGTGAAGCCAATTGACGCCGATTTTTGGTCCAGGGATGTACTTTTGTTTGCCATATGAGCGATACTCAGGACCGCCTTCAACGCTAGCTGGTCCTCGCAGTCACAGATATGGCTCGCTTGTTCAACCACAAAGGAAGCATAAGTATGTCGTGACTCGCAAGGTACAGCGTGATTTAGATCTGTGGTACACGTAACAAGCCCATCGAAAACGTTCGTGCGCCAAGGTTTAAACGTGTCAAGAGCGATTCAGTAAGTG